AAATATCCGATACAAATATCAGATAAAAATATCCGATACAAATATCAGATAAAAATATCTGATACAAATATCAGATAAAAGTATCTGATACTAGTATCAGATAAAAATATCCGATAGCAGTATCAGATAAAAATATCTGAAATTAACATTACATAAAAAAAAAAAAAAAGCGTGAATATATTTATCTACAAATAAATATTTAATTAAATTAAACTAAATGAATAGATAGTTCTAAAAAAATTGTGCACAACTAAAATTATAACTAAACATTTCTCTTATATCAATGTGGCATGTCTGGACAACCATTTTGTATCCATGTGAGCATCAGATACTTTTGTATCAGATACTTTTTGGTTGTATCTACTGGTTGTATCAGATACTTTTTTAGTATCAGATAAAAGTATCTGATACATACAATCCGACCCATCCCTAGAAACGAGAGGGTTGGGATGATTCTGAAGTTTATTATGGAAGGATAGGTATCTGGATTGGGCCAGATCTGAAACATAAGGAACATTAAGGTCATTGTGAATGATTTTATTTATAACAAAGTAGGGAGCATTGAGGATTTTGGATTGTAAGGATTGGATACGAGAGGAATTCGATGGTTTAGTGGAGCCCCATAGCTCAACTCCGTAAGTCCAAATAGTTCTTATTGTAGTCATCTATATGAGTCTTTTAATGGAAAGTTTAGAGTTGGATTTTTATTAATTAATTGGAAGTTTAGAGCGATTGTCTAGTAAGTGCTGGAGTAAGCGGCAACGTCGAGGGGTTTCTTGTCCTTTCATTCTGGTATGATTAGGCAACTTAATCATTATTTGTTTACAAAAATAACTTTTGTAAACAAAGGTTGAATTTTTTTTTTTAATTCTTTCAATAAAGATTTTATCACTTTTAGTTCGGTAAATAAAAAGTTAAAGTTTCTTAGTGCCTAGTTATTAGAGTTAAAGTTTCTTAGTGCCTTATTTTTTAGTGTCTAGAGGTCTATTTATTATATTTTTTTTTGTTTTAATACTACAGCCAAAAAATTTAATTTAAATATTGATTATGATAGATTACTGAAAATAATGCATTTTAGAAAATGTAAATAAAAAAATTCTAAGAATCAGTTTTACTAATTTTAATGTTCCACATATGGAACAATGGCAGGTTCAGGCTATAGTAATGTTCATTCTATTCATTTTTTCTTACCTTACAAAACTGAACAAGAAAATTCATAGAACTACTAATTGCCATTCGAAGATTTTCGATTTTTTGTGTAATACCTTACCGATAGAGACAAAACTGCGCAATTTTTTTTTTAGTTCCTTAGGACACATATTATTGGAAAGAACATATATTGGAACAAACATATTGGAAACAAACATCCTTTGGTGTTAGTTTTCTCAGTCGTTACTGTGTTCTTGTCGTGACTGCATCTCGTTTCTTACAATAATTAGGTAATGCGGGTTTTACCACGAAAAGATGGTCTTCCTACATGGCCGAAGACATCCATCCCTCCTAGCAGGCTTAAGGAAAATGGACATTACATTATTTCGGTTCCCCAAGAACGAAGAATTTAAAATATCAACGCAAATAATGCCAGAAACGCATTCATATTGATTGTTTTCTCCAATATCACGGATTTTAAATCGTACATTAAAATAACAAGTTTTTATTTTATTCTGTATTCTTACATACGCATTTTCTATTATTTTACAAACAATTATAATATTATAATTTTTACTATAATATAATAATAATTGTTTACTTTCCTAGCTATACTAGGCAAGAAAAGTATTGCGATCGAGTCAAATTTCGGATATGCGGTTCTGGACGGATCCATACGTTTCAGAGCCCCCTGAGTCCGAAAACACATTTTAGCCATTAGTCTGTCTGTCTGTACCAAGATTTTCTCGGTAACTACTGAACCAATTTTGTTGCTTCTTGTTTTATTTTGTAGGGTTTTGACTATTGATGCCTGTGACAAAATAGCTTGGGCGCAATAAATGAAAAACTTCTTTTTCTATAGACTGTAGCGCGAAAACGGCACTAACAATTTTGATGCAACTTTCCTATAATGTTCTAATAATTGTTTTTTCAATTTTCGAATATGGACTAAATTCCCGTGAAAATTCAGGAAAAAAAGTTATAAAGGAAAGAAAAATGTTTCGGGGCCTAACATGCTAAATATATATTATATGTTAAAATTTATTATAAAACTTTTGAAAGGTAATTAAATTACCCACAAAACCAAAAAAAAAAAAAATCATATGTACAGATATAAAAACTTTTATGAAATAGACAGGAAAGTCGTGTGAGTGGACTACACCAGATGTTTATCAATATTAATGAAAACTACACTATTCTTGTATTGAATATTCTAATAAAACTATTAAGAAAAAGTTCTTTGTTTTTTCTTTGAACCTGCCATTGTTCCACTTCTGGATCAAGTTGAAAAAGCACCAAGGAAATTTTTTTTTTAGGAACTATCTAAACTGAACCATATTAAGACCAATATTACAGAAAAAAAAACACAAAATGTCTACTGGAATTAGGGAGCGGTGTGTAAAAGGTTAACTAAGTTGTGATTTAATTCAACATTTCTTAGATTAATTCAGAATTTGAATAAACTACATCCTACTTGGTATTCGTATTTTTTGCCCATCTCTGTTTCAGGCCAGTTCAGAATGATGTTTGTATGAGTATTAGTTTTTGGAATAAAGTGATGAATTTCTGAGTATGATGTTATATTCATATGACAAGATTTTGGGGTCATAATAAAATTTACGATTTTTGACAAATAAACTTTATTTATTTAGCATTATTATATTTCCTTTTAACCTTTACAAGAAAATAATGAAACTTATCGTTTCCATGGAGATGTTTCAATAAGCCAAAATATTAGGCAAGGTACTATTTTAAAAAAAAAATCTCATCTGGTAACAATAAAATTAAATTTGGTATCTCCACTTAATTTAAAACTAGATTGGATTTTAGATATTACAGAATTGAATTACAAAATATGGAATTTAACAGTGTTCTTAAAATATTTATGTTTTCCTTAGTGAATTTTCATGGGAAGAATGTCATAATTTAATTAAATTTTAATTTTACATAAAATTATACAGTTTTGGTAGCATCTATAGAAGCAGCACCAGTTTTTAGCAACTTTTTTTATTTTTTACAAATCATGAATTAAAGCAGAGAGACAAATTCTTATCAACAATAATTAGTATTGATAAAGAATTCACAGTCAATGGTAACATATGTTCAGTGAGTATTAGTGTTAATGACTTAAATGAAATAATGTCAAAGTTTTGTCATTAGTAAATCTGCAATGTCCCTTTGGAAGAATTCATCGGTAGAATGAACAGAAACAGGTTGAGATCGATAAACAAAAATGCAGCTAAGCCTGCATTTGATCTCGACTTCGATCTTATAGAAACCAATACGAGATACAAATACAAGTTAAACAAGATACTGGGAAGTGGCTCTTTCGGAGTCGTTTACCTCGCTGAAACAATCCCTAAATTCGAGGAGGTAATAGATTCAAAAGTTCATAGAGTAAAGATTACATTTATTTATATCTTATAGTTATTCTATATGTACAATTAAATATTATTTTTCACCATCGAGATAAAATTTATTTTCATCAATTATATCACCCAGGCTTGATGAATCAATTTTTTCATTCAACTGAAAGTATTATGTAAAAATGTAATATATTTTAATTACTTGTGTGATTATAGAGAGTATAACTAATGTTATGATATGGAATGCAATGAATTCAATCTTTAGCATTATAAAATCATGACTCATCTTAATTATTCATCAAAGTTTTAAGTATTGATGAAAATAAATTAGAAATTTCATACCAAATAGTAGCTATGAATATTTTTGATTAAACTATCATTTGTATTGAATAGTTTTAATTATCATGGTGTATTAAATTAACAAAGATTGTATTTCAATCTATGATTGGCAGAGTATTAAATACATACTGTACTACTTCAAAGATGATAGATAAAATTACCAGTTTAATCAGCTAGTTAAACATCACTTGGTTCATTGTATATTTTTTAATTTTACATGTAATTTTGATAAATATTTTAAGCTAAAAGTATAAATACACACAATGGTAGTGATACAATGAGTAATTTAACTGGTATGTAAAGTAATTTCCAATTTTCTTTTTCTTCCACCCATTTGCCTTTCAGCATGGGAGTGCTTCAAGCCATTGATACCATCCCTTTCTGTTCCTGGCAAAATTTCTTATTTCTTCCAAAATTTTCCCTCTGCACCTTCCTATTCCTTCCATGTGGGTAATATAAGAGGTATCTTGGTCTTCTTACCTCCATGGTTAGACCAATAGGAAGAAGATTTCCAATTTTATAATAGGCTAAACCTTGTATGTACTTAGTTCTTGTAGTGTTTACTACATGGGTGCAATCATCAGTTATTTATAAATTAGAAATATGTATCTACTTTAAAAAATCAGTTGAAATACGTTTAAATATAGTTGTGAATAGAGCTCTGTGTTATTAGATTGATCGAGTTACATTTTCATTGCTTAGGACAAGTTCTTAAACTCAGCGTTAAGCTCATCGATGGTATCGAATCCGTTTCAAAACTGGCCTAAACGATGGCATCGATGAGCTCAGCGCTGAATTTAGGAACTTAACCTAATGTTGATATTTTTATAGTATTTCAGAATGAGTAACTGTTTTATTTACATTATAAGTTATTACTAATTTTAAAAATTACTTGTTTTAGCTCAAGAATTTGGAAAAATTAGATCAATCGGTAAGCATATTACGTATTTGTTATTATTACTATTTTATAAATAGCATTTATTATTATTAGTTTTAAATAATAATATTAGGCTTCTGATAAAATAAATAGTTTCTGTTTTGTTATTATCTCCAGTAACGTTCGAATGAGTAAATAGATGAATAATAAAACATCTGTTCATTCGACCATTTGCGGTAATGATTGTTTTTAATAATAAAATATAATGAATTTAATATTAGTAATTAGATAGAATTAGAGAACATGGAAATACCTGTGATAGATAAGTTGAAAATAGGATTCCCCAAAGGCGTCGAACTGATTGTCGGCCATAAATTCAAAATTTTATACCATCTTGCGAATGGCTTCCGTAGTAAGATATATTTAGCAGTAAATGAAATGACAGGAGAAGTGAGTTTATGAAAAACATTGATAATGAATACATATCATGTTTTTTAAAACGAACTTTTTTTTAAAAAATTTGTGTATTTTAAATTGGCGAAATAGAACAAGATTATGGATTAATCGACCGGAGCTCCCCTTGTGGGTAGTTGGTGTCCATTTTCACTCCTGAATGGAAGATGCGAATGGGGAAGGAGTCTCATTTGGAGACAAGACGTTTTTTGATGACTTACCCTAATATTTAAGAACTAAATCAAGTCTTCCATTGCTTTACTGAGTAGGAAGTTGATCCCACCTTACAATGAAATACGTTTGTAATACATGAAATACTAATACCGGTTATGCGCCTGTAACGTTCCACAACTATGGGAAGCCAAATGAGAATGACGTCATTATCCGGAGGGGGAGAGGGTGATGTCTAAAGCCGGCACTGGCTAAACCAAAACACCTAGTCCTGTCATAGATATTGTTACAAGGAAATATATACAGATTTCAAAGGAAAAATTAATTTTTTTAATAACTTTATTAAAAAATAAAATGTATATCTATAGAGAGTAAAACGAAAAAGAAATTACTCAAAATTTCTCCCTTTTACCTTGACACAGGCATTAAATCCCCGTGGCCAGTCATCAATAGCAGCACGCAGCAGAGGTGCCCATCCTCCCCAAGTCGATGGCTCATGAACTATCTCCCCCTCTCCAAAAATTTTATTTCTCTCCTCTTCTTAAAAACAGTGCGAGTGAAAGTAGGATTAGACAAATCGTGATCATATGCAATTCCACTTGCTGTGGTCTGTCCCATATTTTTGTCCTAGTTCTCTGTTTTGAAACGTTTCACTACGAAAATTCATAGCCCGTCGAAATGTGTCCCCTCCTCCTCCCCTCAAATATTCAAAAACCCAGTCAAAATATCTCCCCCTCAAAAATTTTTATTCCGCAACTTGCGTCATAAAACCCCCTTCTGTGCACCCCTGGCATACAGTATTTCTTGCGGAAAGCGCTCAACTGCTCGGACCAGAGATTGTTTGAGGCTTTCCAAGTTATAGTATGCTCTGTGGCATGCCATTCTCTCTAGTTCGGACCAACGCCGATAATCTAGTGGGTTCAGATCAGGTATTCCTGAGGACCAATCCGAGGCAGAGATGAACTCTGGAATGTTCTTTTGCACTGATGAGGTGATCTGGCCTTGTGAGCTGGAGTAGAATCCTGCTGGAAAACCCAATGACTTCCAGCAAACAGAGTATCGTTTAGAGGCTTGACAACAGGTTCCAAAATATCGTCTCGATAGTTTTTAGCGGCTGTTAAAAACTCCTTTTTCACAAAAATGTAGCTTTATGGAGCCATCAAAGCAAACTCCCCACCAAACCATCACTTAGGAAGGCTTATGACCTCTTTCCACTCTTCCAATGACTTCCTGTGCTTATCTAGAGCTGCATGCGTACACACGATCATTTTGGCGATTAAATTTTTCTTCAATTATAAAAATTTTCTCATCGCTAAACAAAATCTTTCGATGAAGACCATTGTAACGGCCAACGAGCATTTTGCATCTATCCACTCTATTTTTTTAGGAAGTTTTTTAGCCTTTGTCCTGTTATTCTTCGAAATGCATCCATCCTAAGGTCACTTTTTATCATGCGAGACATTGATCTGACAGATTCCCATTTCCCGAGACGTGATTTTTTATTTTCGAATGCGATTTCTTCTGATTCGAGCAGCCACTGCTCTCAATACATTTGTCGTTCTCACAGTGCGGGGGTGGCCCGGTCGAGGTCTGTCACCTGCTGATAGGGTCTCATTATATCTATTTATAGTGTGGTACACGAACACACTGCTGATACCCAAAGTTTTGAAAATCCCTGAGCTACATTTTCCAACTTTGTATAAGGCGATCACAGCTGTTCGGTTTTCTTTATCACCCCACTCCATGTTAACTGAGAGAAAGAAAAATATAAACTAATCGGGATTATTATCCTGACATGCAAAGAATGTAACCTGATAGAGGCAAGAATTATCTAAATAATACCCAAAGATGTAAACAAAGTTCAACTTTTGTAACAATATTTATAGCAGAACTAGGTATTTATTTTATTTTTCTTAACAATAGCAGATGGAAAATATAAAAAACAAGAAAGAAAAAGTATTAGCACAGTGAAATAACCATTTATATATCCGTTTGACCCATAGTTTGTGAAATGTCTTACGCACTATTTGAACTTAAATCGATTTCAGCAATACGTGTAATGACAATCCTTTCTGTGCATATTATTTCCTTGAAGAATCGATAATTTTTTTATCGATCCGATTCATAACCTTTATGAAGAGTGTGCGTACTCATATAAGAAAACTATTGGACTCTCTCGAGAGTGCAAGGGGCCAAAAGATATTCTTAGGTTTTGGGGATTCTCTGCTTCTCCGCTAGACATATACTTTGTTTTAATTTTACTAATGAGGAGCCCCATCTTAGCTGCAGTTTTTCGTATTCAAGGAAGGCACCTTCGAGAGCTGCAAAGAACCGTGCAACAATATCATATCAGGATAACCTAACAGTTGCACCATATTTGTAAATATCGTGCCCCTAGTCTGAATGCCAAAGTCCCTCGCCGAATTCTCCAGAACCAAATTAAACAATAAACATGTCATCATCTTGTCTCAGTCTTTTGGTGGGAAACTCCGAGGAGCATTTCGAATGAATGCGTACTCTGCACTGGATGTCCTGCCACTAGCAGATCCAGGATTTAATTTTGGAAGGGGGCTTCATCCCGAAAGATTTTTTTTATATACATATAACAATAATTAATTAGAAAAAAAAAAAGAAATTAACTACCTATGTTAAATGGTGTTCAAGTGGTTCTGGAAGTCCTATTAAATGTAATTAAACCAACAAGAATACTTTAAGAGATAGTTTTAAATATATTTTTCTGTAAAACATAGTTATATTTTACCATTTTTTTGGGGGGAGGGCTTCAGTCCCAAAGCCCCCTCTCTTCTCCGTAGATCCGCCTGTGCTTCCTGCATTGTAATTTTTACCAGACAAATTAGTTTGGTGGGGATATTTGGTTCTTCCACTGTTTCATATATCTTCATTTTCTATATAGTATTATATTATCTGTTCTACAATAATTACGTTGATTATATTATCACTCAACTACAAACTTTTTTGGGGAGGTGGGAAACCATCGCCTCGTCAACCAGAATGAAAAATCTGCTCTTATACATCCCTTCATTTAGGCCTCCATCTTTTTCTTCTCCTTTTTCCGGTGGCTTCTCTGGTACGGTTTTTTTTCTTCTGCCCAAGCAGAAATGAGTAAAACCTTCAACTTCTTTCCAAGCAGACACAAATTTCATTAACGTCACATCACAAAGTAATCAGCTGAGGGAACTCGTTCTTCGTCAGAATGTATAGCTCTGTCTCCCTCATCATTTTGGCACTCAATGCCTCTTAAAGTGTACAGGCTAATAGATATCTATGAATAACAAAAACCTAAAATGATTTCTTTTGGTAAAAATAGATTGTGAGACTTTTCCTTTATCGTGCAACTACTTCCTGGTCTCCTCGGATTTCTACTCCTGTTTTCCACCTTTGAAAATTCATACTGGACGGACTCAGAGAAGAATTGGCATCATGAACGAACCGTCATTGTTTTCTCTACAGTTTAGTCAACCACGCTCCCAAATTTGGTTCACCGAATCGATGCATACCGGGTTCCTATGAAAAAAGTAATATTTAAAAAAATTGTAAATCGAATCCGTTTTTTAGCAAATCTTAATAAATAAGGCAAGGGAAACAATGCCACCTTGACCATGATCATGGTAGCAAGCTTTTTCACCTACCATGGATTTAGAGTAATCGTTTTTCAACTAGTGAATTATTTGATTTTTTTTTTTTTTACAAATAATTCATCGATGCTAATTTTTTTAGTATTCATATCTCTAGTATTTTAAACGTATGTATAGTTAAATATAATAAATGATAACAGAATGTTTACGTATGACCGTTTTATATCTTCACGGAGGAAGTAGCTGTGAAATTGGAACACGTCAACGTCAACCATCCCCAGCTGTTGTATGAGAGCAGGATATACAAGACCCTGAGCAGTGGCAATGGGATTCCGGTCGTCAGGTATGATTACCATATTTATTTAAAACTTACCGTTAGTAGTTAAATTTGTGGAGTTATGTAATTCTTTATTTATTTACCATTAATATATATATTTGGGTATTATTTTCTATATTCAGCCCTCGTTGTAAATAAATTATGTAACGTAACGTTATCCTTTTGATTTTCACTTCAACGATATGATTTCTCATTAAACAATAATATCAAGATTTCATTTTTATATATTTTTAATTGTTATACAGTACTTAAAATAAACTGGGGTAGCCATGCGGGCTAAACGCTTGCAATAGGTTATCGAAGTTAAGCAACGTCGAGCGTATTTGGTATTTGGATGGGTGACGGATTTGGGCGACTATTCCGTCAGAGCAAGCCACGCTGCCCTGGAATCCTCCTCCGAGCATGTGAGCTATCAGACTACTGGAGGCAACTCACACCGACCGGACGTAAGACTGATGGACCTACCTCGTATACTTGGATCGGTCTAGACCAATTTGTCTCTATCCTTGAACCCGAGTGAATCGGTGGGAAAGACATTGCCAGATTGGCCCAAAAAGAATCGGCTATGGAGGCCTACCGCTGCACCATGGATACCATGGTTTGTAGCAAAGTGAGGTTGGGTGATCTCTTCCAGGCTATCTGTGCTCCGGCAAGCAAGATGCGTCTGTAAGGTGACCACATCTAGCCAAAGATCTTCATAGTCTTGAGCAGCACTGAAAATCAACAAAAAAACATGTACAATTATCGTTTTTACATAAATTAACAAAGTTTAAACTTCTTACAGATTTCAGAATGGGTCCAATCAATCTAAACTTAGTTTAATCGATAACAGTGTGTGTGCTATATCGATTAATTAGTTTAATCGATAACAGGTTGAAAGGTTGAAGCGACGATACAGATAATTAGCTTAACCTAATCATAGATAATTAGGTTAATCGATAAGAGTGTGTGCGCTATATCGCTTAATTAGTTTAATCGATAACAGGTTGAAAGGTTGAAATGACAAGAAACCGCTCGAAGCTTCCAATTAATTGCAAAAGAATCATATTCATGAGTACAATAAGACCTACTAGGATTTATGGAGTTGAGCTTTTAGGCTCGAATAAGCCATTGAATTCCTCTCGTATCTAATACTTACAATCCAAAATCCTTCCTGAAATCCTCAATGTTCCTTATGTTTTCGATTTTACCCAATCCAGATACCTATCCTTCCATAAGAAACTTCTGAACCATCCGTGTGTGGGCTATATCGATTAATTAGTTTAATCGATAACAGTGTGTGCGCTAAGTATTGTCACGCTGTAATGTTTATATCTAATCCGTGGCGTCCCCTTGGCCTCAATAGCCCAGGGATCGTCAAATATATTTGATATTTTTATGGTCCAAGAAACATGGCCTTACATTAAATATTTCATTAAACAAATATATGAGGTACAATTTAATATTTAAAACAAAAAAACTAACGATGTACCTACGTATTTTCAGGTGGTATGGAACAGAAAGGAATTATAACATCCTTATCATGGACCTCCTCGGCCCATCATTGGAAGACCTCTTCACTTATTGCGGCCATGAATTTTCGATGACGACTGTTTTGATGCTGGCCGACCAGATGATTTCTCGCATTGCGTTTGTACACTCTAGATTATTTGTACATCGGGATATCAAACCTGATAATTTCCTCATGGGGATCGGAAGGAACTGTAATAAGCTTTACATAATTGACTTTGGTTTAGCAAAGCGCTACAAAGACCCGAGGACTCTAATGCATATGCAATACAGAGATGATAAGAATCTAACTGGAACCGCGCGTTACGCATCAATAAACGCCCATTTAGGCGTCGAGCAAAGGTATACACAATCCTGTTTCCTTTATATTATCTCTGCAAAATTAAGACTTTAGATTAAATAATTCCTGAAGATGTCAAAACAGATTGTTAGAGACGAAGCATTGCATTATGTAGAGTATTTATCTCTCCCCTTCTTGCATCACAAAAATAAGGATGTCGGCAACATATGGAAATCAGACAATATTCAGATGTTCCCCTTTAAGACTTTGAGTTTATGTTCTTCATAGTGATCTTCCAATTATCCTTAAGGATCGATACGTTCTTTCTTTCAGGTTAGTCCGGCGGCGTCCCAGGAGCCTTCCGTGGTTAAAACACTCCGGTCTTACTGTAGTTTTCCACCTGTTCACGAATTCTTTATAGTTCATATAGTTTTTTTTTTTTTTACATTCCTACTTATACAAGTTAAGGAAAGTATTGCAATCGGGTCAAATTTCCGACATGCGGTTTTCGACGGATCTATACGTTTCAGAGCCCCTCAGTCCGAAAAACACATTTTTAGCCATTGGTCTGTCTGTGCCAAGATTATCTCGGAAACTACTGAACCGATTTTGTTGCTTCTTTTTTTATTTTGTAGGGTTTTGACTATTGATGCCTGTGACAGAAATTCGGTGCTCCATGCGCAATAGCTTGGGCGCAATAAATGAAAAACATGTTTTCCTATAGACTGTAGCGCGAAAACGGCTCTAATCGATTTTGATGAAACTTTCCTATAATGTTCTAATCATTTTCCTTTCAATTTTTGTATATAGACTAAATTCTAAAAAAAAATCAGGATTAAAAGTTATAAAGAATAGGAAAATGTTATGGGGCCTAACTCCCTAAGTATATATTATATGGTAAAATTTATAATAAAACTTTTGAAAGGTAATTAAATTACCAAGAAAACAAAAAAAAAAAAAAAATCATCGGAATCGAACCAGTATTAGCGATGATACAGCTTATTCTATTTTTTACACATTTTTTTAACTTATTACATTCCTACCTATACTAGGTAAGGAAAGTATTGCAATCGGGTCAAATTTCCGATATGCGGTTTTCGACGGATCTATACGTTTCAGAGCCCCCTGAGTCCGGAAAACACATTTTTAGCCATTGGTCTGTCTGTCTGTCTGGAAGATTTTCTTTTTTTATTTTGTAGGGATTTGACTACTGATGCCTGTGACAAAAATTCGGTGCTCCATGCGCAATAAATGAAAAACATGTTTTTCTCATGACTGTAGCGCGAAAACGGCATTAACGATTTTGATGAAACTTTCCTATAATGTTCTAATAATTGTTTTTTTTAAATTTTGGTATATAGACTAAATTCTCGTGAAAATTCAGGAAAAAAAGTTATATAGAAAAGAAAAACGTTATGGTGCCTAACTCCCTAAGTATATATTATACGGTAAAATTTATAATAAAACTTTTGAAGGGTAATTAAATTACCAACAAAACAAAAAAAAAAATCATCGGAATCGATATTTCTTTGCTATTTAAAATTTTATTAATACCTTTCAGCATTGTGAGACCTGAATTTTTTATAGAAACTTCTTCCATTTTTTCATATAAAGTTTCTCCCACTTGGCCTGGTACCATCAGTTGTAAAAACTATTTCATATCTCTTGTTTTAAGGTTCAATGCAAGATTTTAACATTGATGAATATTTTTAAACATTAAATAGATACTTTTGACAATTTGACAATGAACAGAAATATGAAATCTTGCCAAGAACGTAGGCAACAAACTAAAATAGAAACTTAGTATTATGTTTATGTGGGACAAGAAGGGAAAACAAATATTTGAGAATAACTATTTAGTGTAGTTCTATTTATCTAGTATTGGGAATGAAAGGGAGAGGAAGAGAAGGAGAGAAGAAAAGGAAAAAAAAAAAGTCTAATTTGATATATTATTGAATCATTAATTAATTTCCAGATATACACTTTTTTATATTGTTTTGGGTTTTAGAAATAATTATCTATTTATTTATTTATTCTATTTACTTATTGGGAATATATATATTTTTTTTTTTTCTTCTTTTTTTTCTTTCAATTCCTTGTATTATTGGATTATATTGTGAGATTATAATAAGCAATAGGAATCTACCCATGTATACATATTTATATCTTTATTTATTTATGTTTTGTTTGTGCTTTCATTGTCATTCAATACTAACAACTACTAACACCAAATGGGCCAATCTACATGGCTAACAGATGTACATATTAGCCAATATCTATCTATAAATAAATAACTATTCATTTGTATACATATATTTTGTTTATTTCATTGAATTAATAAAAGTATGCAATTATATGCACTTATCTTCAAATATGCATTTATCCTCAAATATGCAAACTGAAATTTGTCTGATTGCATCACAGTGTACTAATTCGTATAGATATTTGATCATCGGTTAAAAAAAAATAAAGCAAACAAAGTATGCAATTGCATAAAAATCCGGGGCTTGGTTAATTAAGTAAATTACATTCAAATGATGTGATGTTTAATAGTTATCATATATACTTTTTTATTTTATCAATTTTTCAGCCGCCGAGATGATTTGGAAGCCTTAGGTTACGTCCTAATGTATTTCAATAAGGGCTATTTGCCGTGGCAAGGACTTAAGGTGACAATAAATTTTATATTTTGTAATCTTTATTTGGTATGCTTTGGTATAGGTATAGGTGCTTAGATGCTTTCAATTCATTCAAGATTTAATTTTAAGTAAAATGGAAACAACTCTGGAAAATGAAATTTATTATGTAAAAATGATATTTTAATTCTATATAGCCTTGTAGATCTGTAAAAAAAAATAAAAAAAAAATACAGGAACAATAACTTTTTTAGCAATTTGTTATATATATTTTTTGAAATTTTAAATATATTTCTTGTTCTTGATACATGCTTAAATTCATCAGCTGTGTATAGTTTATAGTTTAAAAAAAATACTTTACCAATATAATATTTAGAAATTTCAGATATTTTAGTATTTTATTAAGGTACATCATTACGATTTTGTTTAAAATGATTAACTATTTTGCAAAACAAAAAAAAAGTACAGAACATGCAATATATGGACAAAAACATGCTTAAAAAAGCATTATTGGTCAATCTACTTTAGTTCACTAGTAAAACATCAATCATTAGTCTCTATATGTTTAATCATTCTTATCCACCCAGTCTTCATAAAATTGTAAATAGTTACTACTGTAAATATGTATATAAATTATCACTGTTATTTTTACTTCATGTTTATTTTCAATTTTTTATTTTTTAATATTAACTGATGTAAATTAGAAAGTAACTTATAATTTCTCTTATTATTTTTTTATATATTTTATTTATTTATTTTTTTTTTACTATTTAATCAAACTATATTCTTGTTTATGTATCTCTGAGGCTCCTTAGCCCACATTTTTGTCTCTCTGTATTATTCTAAAGGGACTCGTCTCAGAATAAATAAAGCATTATTATTATATGGGTATTTCATATCTTTATATTTTAGGCTGCTAACAAGAAACAAAAATATGAGAAGATTTGCGAGAAGAAAATGTCAGTTCCAGTGGACACTCTTTGCAAAGTAAAACTCATTAAGTAACCCAGTTAAATTTAATTTTTAATTTATTTATTTATAAAATTTTTAATTTCTTTATATTGGGTAAACAAATCCGGTTGTACTTATTTATTAAACATTCTAATATTTAAATTATTTTTCTATCGAATAAAATTAGTATATATCAAAAGAAAAAAAAAACGCTGCAAATTACTTAACAATGGTTTATTATTTCCCATCAATTATACATCTAAAGTAACATTACCTTTCTAGTGACAAATTAAAAGAAATAAAAAGTTAATTCCAATTATTTGCCTAAACATTTTTTTTCATCATTAGTAATTTGCTAAAAAAAAAAAAAGTAGCATTACTTCAGTAACACATTCAAAAATCAAAATCCAAAACAAAGGATTTACAGTAGAACATCAAAAACATCTAGAGAACATATCCGTGCTCCTAATTGTCCGATTTTTTTTGGTTTCTAGGAAATTTTGTAAACTTTTAAAAACCATACCATATCGACAAAAAAGTGTATACTTTTTGATATTATAAAATAAGGTTGTGTTTATTTCTTCACCATATTTATTTCAATTTACACAGCTACATTTCGGCTGGTAATCCATCTTCAAGCCATCTGTAAGATAAACACCATTAATTTTATATTTTGATGTAATACTACATTCCATGAAGGTGGTATTGGTCCTTTTTAATTTAATATTCTATGAATTATAACCCTAAATAAGTTAAGTCAATTTTTAAATTTGTAATTAACACTACCAGTTAATTTGTAAATTAACAATACCACTAGATATAATGAGGTTGCTTTTCTATTCAAATCCAGAAATATCAAACATAGCTATGTAAATTGAAATAAATATGGTGAAGAAATAAACACAGCCTTATTTTATAATATTAGAAAATTTTCACCTAAAACAAGCACAATGATGTAGAGATGGTTGACCGTTGATATAATATGAGAAGGAGTTAGTCGAGGGTGCGGTCAAATAAATAAAAAAATTAAAATATATAAATTATTTTAATTTTTGCCGACGTTTCGACCCACTTTGCAGGTCGTCTTCAGGGCGTAGGATGTGGCACTGCGGGAGGCAGTTGAAACACTGGCCTACATACATCAGGCCAGTGTTTCAACTGCCTCCCGCAGGGCCACATCCTATGCCCTGAAGACGACCTGCAAAGTGGGTCGAAACGTCGGCAAAAATTAAAATAATTTATATATTTTAATTTTTTTATTTATTTGACCGCACCCTCGACTAACTCCTTCTCATAAAACAAGCACATATGTATACTTTTTGAGATATTTGGAATCTAATTTTAGCATTCCTCGTAACTTTTGTTCAATTACTGAAACCAATAATCCAACCAAGGTTCAGATTAAATATATGCATTCTTGGCTATAATTGTCACTTTATATCTGTAATTACTTTAAATTCTACCAATTCCTATATAAATAAGTCAAAGAAGTTATAAAAAATATGTCACAATAATTACTCAAAACAGTTTCCAAATTTCAAGATTTTTTCATGTTAATAAAATAATAAAAATGATTACTACCTATATATAATCTATACATACATACATTTGGTCTGTAACGCCAACAGATAAAAAAATATACATACATTTTTATTTCAGGGATTTCCAATTGAATTCGGAATGTATCTAAACTATTGCAGAGGATTAAAATTCGAAGAAACTCCTAATTATATTCATTTAAGACAAATGTTTAGAGGACTTTTTAAGAAAGTTGTAAGTGATCATGATCACAATTTCGATTGGACGATACTTGAAAATAAGAAATCAGCATCGCACATGAAATCGAGTCTTGCGGGTATGCATTTCTTATCATACATGTTTTATAGAATTAAAAAAATTAATGCAGCAGAAACAGTTGTCATCCTTTATCACTTTTACTTATTTAAGACTCTGATAAAATAATAATAATTAATAAATTTACTGTCTTTTGCAACAAATAAAATAATATTCCTCCTCTTGAGTTAGCCATGGTTCATATTTGTTGAGAATTGATACAGTAAAGGTTTGAATACATTGATGATCTTTGATTTGATATAATTCTTATCTATTTTTGATACTATTGTTATTATTATCCATGGGGATAAACGTTAGTGGGGGTTGGTTATAGTGCATGATTATCAGTGACTGATAGCAAGACTAAAATTATTAAATGTTTAAATCTGCATTTAAATAATATTTATAATAAGATTAAGTAATGTGAGCCGTTAAAAAAATTCACCAATGACAATAATGTATACAGAGTAATTTATTAGTATGAATTTTTATTTCTAAAAGCACAACCATTTAAGCCCAATTTTATATAAATTTTCCTTTTTCAGCGTGAAGAACTGCCTAGGAAGTGAACTATTCTTGAAAAAACACTCAATATTCTAATGAGAAGTAAAATTTTTTTTTTTAATTCTACAACTTAAAGTTTGTAAATCATAGCAAAAGACAAATAGAGTTGATCTTAAAATAACTATAAATTTACAAAACTAGACAACAATTTTAAACAATAATCAACTTAGTGATTGAAATAATTTGATCCAAAACATTTTATCTTGAACAAAAACTTGCAGGTTTCAAACTTCTTAAGCTCATACTGCAAAAATAGATGTCTTGGATATAAAATGGTTGTGCTTTTAACCATCGATATGTCCAAATGGGTCTTTTAAAATTATTGATTTTATTATTGAAAATTTATAAATAAAACTAATGACAAAAATAATATACTAACAATTGGAGTTCAGACAATTAGAAACTGATGACAACTGATTTTATTATTTCTATATTCAACAGTACCTTAACAATAAGTTAACTTTAGACCTCAATTCAACTAAAGAAAAATTTAATATTGTATATAAAATATTAATATCCTTGATTCTAACGAAGTTTTTTTTTTTTCATTTTATGATAGTAAATAATTCAATAAACATGAGAAAGTTCCTAATTATTATTAATATAAATATAAATTCTATGTACACCTTAAAAGATATGAGAGCAATAATTCTCAATAAAAATACTTCATTTTTTTTTCCAGAGATTAGAGAACAAACTACATCATTGAAAATATCAAGATGAAAATCATATAAATATTACAAAGATTGCTAAAAAGAAAACTTTTTCCTTATCCATGAATTATTTGTTCAGAACTTTTTTTACTTTGTTCTTTTGGTTCATTGTGACAATCTTTATCAACACATAGTCAAAGCACTAATGTTAGCAAAATAATAATTTTTTTAGTCAGCTATGCCTCGAAATAAAATTATATGTAGTTATATATAGATCAATTTTTTTCTTCTGCTAACTGTTTAGGTAAAAATTTTTAATATAGTTGAAGACAGAGCATTTTCATCATGGTGAATAAAACACATTCTTGTTTCATTGACATTTTGAAATAAGTTTCATGTCATTATCAGGACTGCATCGATGACAACATATTGCATATTCACATTCAAAGAAACCTCAAAAAATGTTTTTTGTTGGAACGAATATTGGACACATGTCAAAGTTTACCCAGAAGTCACCAGGATATTTCTTTTAACTCATGTACGCTGTTGGTATATAGCGCTCATTGATTTGGCTTGATATTTGAAAACTGGCTGCTCTTAGGGGTTATAAGTGGGTCAAACATTAAAATTTCTGATTTTTTAAATTTTTAATTGTGGCTTCTTCATTGTGGTTGTGTGACATAAGCATTTACGCCTACTCACAAGTGACGACGATGGTCAAGATTGTGGAGGCGGCACCATATCAAACTCAAGTCTAGCGATTTTAAATCCGCCTTGATGGGCTCAAATTTATTTCATGGCAGAACTACGGAATGAATCTCAACCTTCCTACTCTGGTTGACCCTTTGACTTATGCGAGTTTCTACCATACGTTACATCCTGAAATCCGTAAAGATGTCCAAAAAAAATGAATTTCTTTTTTTGCATAAATTTGTTTAAAATGCTATTTTGAATCACACTGCAAGATCTTAGCTTTCAAAAATGCATTTTAACGTTTTTATTCAACTTTTAAATAACGGGATATATTCCTTTCTGACCACATATGACAATACAAAATTACAGCTGCAATCTCGCAAACACTTTGTTTTCTTGCGTATTCGATTATTTCTGAAAAGCAAAAAATAACTTAAAATTATCATAAAAATAACTGTAAGTGATAATAAAAATTAAATTATATTTTTTCTAAAAAAGGACACTGACCGCAGTAGTCGAATTATATATTTATTTGTATTTACAAATTTTTTTCTTACTAAAAAAAATTCCATATTGAAAATAGTGGTTTTAAATTTTATTATTGCACTTACATTTATTTTGAGTTTCAGACACTTTTATATTATCTATATATATAAAAATGAATGTATGTCTGTCTGTCCGTCTGTTTTTCCTTGGTGCATTACTAAACCATTCATCCGATCGCTATGAAACTTTGGGAAGTTGTTCCGTACACTCCTGGGAAGGTTTCTGGCATATTACTTCTGTCTTATGATAATTTTATATATGTAAAAAAAAATAAAAATGTAAATGTTTTTCTATTCAAAGCCGCAAAAAAATGTGTCGCTATAAACTGTAGTGCCAAAACGGCTTTACCGATTTTAACGAAACTTGGCTAAAGTCTTCCCCTTGAAATCCTTTTAATTTATGTGTATAACATACTTTCCCGAAAACAAGCTGAAAAATGTTACGATGAATTCAATATTTTATTTGACGATAACTAAAAAAGTACAGAATTTTTGACTGATAATACACACATTTATTTGAAAGATTCCTGATTTGCCGACAAAATAAAAAAGATGTCATCGAAATCAGACGGTTCTTTGCAGAGTTATAGAGTTTTAAACATTTACTGCTTTCTCTTCAGAAAAGGCCGTTTCCTTTTGCTTCCTCACTACTGAAGGTAGGCAAGCATTTTTTTTTTTTTTCTTGATTAATCGAAAATTTTATAATTACTACTTCAATTTGAATCATGAGAAAACAAATCATTAGAATTAGTTTAAATTGAAGCCATTTTACAGACAAATTTGTTCCTCAAATTTTTAAAAATGACAGATGTCCTTTGCTACTAATCTACTCATATGTGCTTTCTATTTTCTTTCTTTTTCATTTTGCCAGGCTAAGCCACAGCAGCGCGTGGCCGGGTAAAGCTAGTATGAAATATATATATTGTTTTTAGGTGGGTGGAAAAATGATAAAAAACATTTTAAAATCAGTAAAAAAAACTATCATTTTAATTCTGTATATTTTTACATTTATTAATTTATACTATTACATTTTAATTTTTGTATATTTTTACATTTATTTATTAATTAAATATAAATATATAAAATGTACGAAAACTTACATTTATTTGTTTAGTAGAAAGATATTCACGTGTACCAAAATCAGCATTCAGTCAAAATAAAAATAAAAGGAAAAATTATAAAATTAACATTTATTTGATGTTTAAAACATTTAAATAGAATATAAATAAGATCATGGATATGACACAAATAACAGAGAAAGGACATACCTTAGGTTCAGAATAAATCTGCAACTGATAGCTTCCAAATGGTCAGTATCTAGAACAACCGAACTGAGTCAGCTATAGGCGACTAATGAACGCACCAACAAAGCCACGAGTCAAATGGTGAAGGCGGGACTTGCCCCTACATGTTTAAGTGGCGACCGTCCGGGTGGGAAGTCATATGTCCCGGCCGCATCAGTGACCCAACTCACTACACTGGGATGGCATGTATCCCGTCCACAGTCAAAGGGTTAAGATAGGTTGGTTGAACCAAGATACTCTTACACTGAACTTTCAACAAAACGTTAACCATCATTAAACATGACTAATTTTGTATGATATGACTAGGGAGCTAATAAATCAAAGAAATAAGGAGAAAAAATTAAGTATATTTGGATCAATCAAAATATATTTTACAATTATTATTTAGATATTTATATAATATATATTGCACTTTTTTTAAATAGGAAAAGAATAAGTAATTTTCTTACAATTTCATAAATATATATATATAGGTAAGAGGTAGAAATATTTGTCAGAAGCAAATAGGAACAATTAATCTATAGCTATGTTAAGTTTTTCAAAATACAATTCGTCTTGCTTTCATTTTTTTTTTTCAAATAGATGAATATTGATTTACAAAATTTTAATTTCAATAAATATAAAGTTACAACCTCTAAATAGGTACATGTTATTTTAATATTCCAGACATAATTGATAGGCTGGCAGTGATGAAAACTATAGCACGACATTATAATATTTAAGATAGAAATTATTTATTACAATAAATTATATATTTATATATAACAAAATATAATGGATGGAATATATTAGACAAGATTTATCTAGTCAATTAAAATGAGTGAAAAAAATCACAGAGCCTAGATAAATAATAAAATGCAAATGGAATTGCATTAAATTTAATACAAAATAAATTTTATAAATGGATGAAAAATATTTAACTCTTATTATTTACAAATGGTAAATATAACATCTTAATCTAATGTTCTACATTTTTTATTTTAGCCGTGTGTAGATCACAATATCAACTCTATATATCCACAGAAGATAAAATCACAGTCTAAATTATATACTTAAAATATAAATAACATTAGTTATGGTTTATGAACTGGTGTTCTAACAAAAATCAAACTAAAAACAAGTAACTAAATTAAATTAATAAAAGAATAAAAAAAAAAAAACAGAAATAATTAATGCCAATATGTCAAATAATTACATAATAGGAAACTAAACAATACAAAAACAACTATCACAAAGCAAGAAACGAAACACAACAACCGAATTTAGGGATTGAAATTATAGTCAGGTTTTGTTACAAATTGAATTTTAAAGGTTGTTCAAATTAAATTAATCAACTAAATTAATTGAATTCCTTTTTTTTTTTTTTTGTTATCCTAAATATTTTATATTAATAAAATTATTTTTATATTAAAAATACTCATAAGACTGAAATGGAAATATTTTTCCATAATATTGTAAAAATAAATATACCAACAGAAAGATATAAAAAAAAAAGTTTAGGTATTATAACAAATACCTATAAATTGGCACTTAATCAACGATACACAGCAACTCCAGAGAAATTGTTAGAGAGCCCTTTCATATTTATACTACTTTCTAAATTATTTAGGGTTATTTTTATATATATATATATATATATATATATATATTATTATATATATATATATATATATATATATATATATATATATATTATTATTATATATATATATATATATATATATATATAAAGGGTATAATTTAAATTCTAACGGAGTTGAAAAATATTTTTGAATTAAAATATAAATGTAATATCACTAAAAAAAAAATAACAATATTTACAACAATTCATGTTTGTACGAAATATTTATTTTCCAAGTTAAACAATATAGCACTGCTTTTTCGGGGCATTTTTAAAAATTATTTTTAAGTTTAAGTTTTAGTGTTATCTAAATTTAATTTTGGTTTATCATTGATTATACACTCCTTATTTTCTCATATATATTATAATTTAATATTTTGCTTCATTTGCTGATTCAATTTAAGAGAGGCAAAAGTCAAGGAGTCCATGTAATAAAACGTAAATAAATATTGAATTAATTTAGTTTTAAGTAGTTCACCAATTTTTTTATCTGAGATAGTTTATTATTGTCTTGTCTATATTTAAAGATTTAATTAAGAACACGCTAAGAATTATTTTTATTTACAAGACCGTATATTGGTGCAGGGCTTTTGTAATAGTTTTGAAAAATTAAGTATAATTACTTTTATATACTTAGATGTTGATTTCTGCGCTTATCTTCCCAATAAAAAAAAAGTATTGGACCCCCCTACAACCATTACCTAATATTTTCTTCATTCATATTACTCAAAATAAATTTTCTTGCTTCATAATATAACAAGAATAAACATTCTTACCCGGAAAAATATATATAACTTATTATTATTGATTTTTATTCACTACATCTTCCCTCCTAGCTTTGACATGAGTAATGTTAACAGAATGAACGCTTCACTTAAAAAATTAATGCACAACTTAAAAATTTTTCCAAACCCCAACAAGGCTGTTTCATTTATTAATTAATAAGTTTCGCCAAACATTAAATACTATAGTTAAATTTACTTATGGCCTAACAAAAAAAAATGTATATTTTTCCAATATTTCTGGATTTTTCTGACAAATCCAGGCTTTGACTGTTAAAAATTGAAAATTGCAAATAGTAACAATGTTTAATACATAATTATAACAAATTGAAAAAAATATATTTACATTCAATAAATTATTTTGCTTTATAATGCTTAATTTTTCGGAACAATTCTTTAATTTATTTATATAGTTTGAAGTCATCAGATAAAACTTCACTTGCTTATGGAAAAAATATTAGAACAATAGTTCTTTATTATTATTACTATTTTTGTAACGGTTTTAAATATTATACTTAAGCTAACTTCTAAAATCTTATAATTCCATTTGATTAAGACACTAAAGTATATCCTTAATAGAAATAAATTTTTTGTTCACTTAAGTAAAATTTATTTTAATGGACGTTATAAGATTTTATAAGTAAGCCATTGATAGGTTTTAACAAGAACTAATTGAAAAGTTGAAATTAATTAACGATGAATTAAAATTAAAATAAAAAAAAACAAGGAAATTTGAATTTCATAAGTTAATATATTGGTAAACAAAAATTTCCTATTATGATTTACTTATTATACAAACATGTCAATAGTAAATTCCATCAAAAGGAAATAAAATCTATTATACCAATTCTTATAAAAAAATTAATATAGTCTTGAATATGATTATTAATTAATTATTGAACTAAAAACATTTTTTTAAATATGGATAAAAAATATCAATTTTTTATTCAAATTTTAATACAAAATGAATATTAATTTTATAAATTGTTTAATAGTGTAACCACAAATCATGAGCTATTAACTTTTTAAGAAGTTGTGTGTTAGTCAATTATTATTAATTAAGGAACTGAATATTATTTATAAAAAAAATCGTCTAACAAATTTTTCTCGTTTATTCATTACCACTGCAAGGTTATAAGTAATGAAGTAATTAATAGCAGTTACGACACTTATATATGTGTAAAGATATCAACACAAGAAAGTAATAATCAACGTTGGCAGTTTCTAAGGAAAGGTTAGATTTAATTATCGATTTCTTGACTTTCTATATGATTATATATAATATAGTTATTTATTTACAGCTTAAAACATAAGGAATATTAATGATTATCATGAAAAATAAATTTTGAACCTTCTCCTAAAAAGTCTTAAGAATTTGATGTGATGGTGTACTATTGTTTATTTTGTTTTTAAACTTAAATGTACAAAGTAACTGATTCTTGACAATAACGGCCACCAGTTACACTCCCATATCATATTTTAAAATTAAATTATAACAAAATAATTAAATTTTTAAAATCAAATTATTTAAATAATATAATGAAAATATATACATATAGATATTCATTATAAAAACTCAAAAATTAGAAGAAAAAAAAATGTAATTACTTTTATTATTTGGCCTCAAGATTAAGGGTAAAGTATTTAAATCTACTTTCTTAAATATTAAAAAAGAATTCTTATTATTGGGCAGTGAACATTTGGATTATTTAGTTCATTTTTAAATAAACTAATTGGAAATTTCGTATTTTGGAAATTATTATCATGAACCCAAATTTTTTTATTTAAATTTTAAATAAATAAAGAATTACTATCTGTATCGTTAAGTAATTATTTAACATTCTGTTTATAACTACGTAAAGTCGGTTTGTATAAATTTACGTAACAGTAACATAATTAAATTATGTTTTCAAAATAAATTGTACTTGATATAAAAACAAAGAAAAAAATAAAAGAAAGATATTCGAGATCCTAAAATGTAATTATTACACAAATCATCGATAAATATACAAAAAAAATAACATCTGTTTTACCTAAAAAAAATAATAATAAATTTCATTGAAATCGCATTTAAATTTTTTATTAATTAATAACCTTTAACGAATGGTCTGGGACATATGAAGGGGAGTAAGCATCAATTCAAATGCTGCATCTTTCAAATTAGCACCACGGAGATTAGCTTCTTGCAAGTCGCTTCCAGACAGATCACAATTCTGAAATAAAATAAATTTAGAATTATATTAAAATATAAATTTCTTATAATATAATAAAATGATGTTTACTTTAATTTAAATATAGTTTAAAGTATTTGAAAAAAACAACAACATGTATAACAGAAATTCAATGCAAAAAAATAAGTTCTAGGTGGCTATTCAACTCCTAGAGGACTGCACAACATAGTTCTGAAAATATGAATGGAAAACAAAGTTTATCAAACTACAAATGGTCCTAAACTCCATTTTACGCAACGCCGTATCACAACATCAGATGGGGAAATTAAAGAACTGATGGAGTTGAATGATGGACTGATCAGTTTTTAACCTGCGTTATAGTGATAATGATAAACATTTTGCATCAGTAAATACAGTATAGATAGTTTTTTTTTTCCCAACTATAATTAATTTTTTTTCAATTTTTACTTTCACTTACCTATATATGAAATATATAGTAAGGGAAAGTATTGCGATTGTGAAAATTTCCGAATCTGAGTTTTCAACGGAAATACACGTTTTGAGGTCCACTGAGTCTAAACAACCAAGTCTCACAAAATGGTGTGTGTGTGTGTATGTGTTAACAGTCCAGATCAAAAACAAAAAGTCGTAGGCAAGTGAAATTGCATATTTCAGATTTTTATATGCTAGAGATGCTACAGCAACTTTTTCATCAAAATTGGCTAACCAGAAGTAGCACTTCATATAATGGACTAAACACATTTTTGCGATTTTCTCAAAAACGGCTTTAATGATTTTGATTAAATTCACCGTATCAGAATAAAATTAAACAGTTTTATATAAAATGTTTTTATTCTGATCGATGGTCTTTAACAGGGCTTAAATGGCTAATCTTCAATATTAACTTCCCCTAAAGTACTTTTAATGTTTTTTATTTGAAACAATCGACCATTTCACATTAATCTCTAATATAAAAGATAGTTAAATATAAAATATGAATGAATTTGATAATTAACTAAAGCAGAAATAAGAGATTGTAACAGAGAATAGTTGTAATTGAGAAACCATAGAACATGCTTCCATATGTAACATGAGCTTAATATAATAAGAACTCCGACAATATTGTGTAAATATACATATATGGTTTTAATGCTATTGTTGATATTATTTAATTTTTAAATGTATGGATCACAGCTATATAAATATTAAAATTTGTATATATAAGGGTACTTGTACAAATAAAAATAACCACAATGAAATATAAATCAATATAGCATTTATAATTTTTATTTTCATTATAATTTTCATTTTGTGTGATACACGCACCCTCACCATATTTTTTTGTTCTTGCTTCTGACATGATGATATAGAAATCTCGTACGATATATATCAGACTCTTGTACCGAAAGATAAGAGAAAAAAATGTTAGTTTGAAATCAATGTCACATGAGTTCGCCCTCAGGCTGCTAACAAATTGTTGGTGAACTATTGTATTATTATCAATAAAATAATTGCAATATTAATTTTTCCAATTAAAATATTTATTGTGCATTATAAGATACACTAAGATGCCAGATTAAGATAAAAACAACAACAACCCATATAGCTATTTAATTCAAGACAAAATTTTAATTATTTTCTTTTTTGTATAGGGATATTTTCTTTTTAAGTAAAAGGATATATTAATATTGGGATGTAATCATGGTTAAAATGAGACAGCAGTAATACAAAATTAAACAGATAGTCTCACTCGTTCATATATTCTTATTGCGTATGAAATTGTGTATTTAAGGTTTGTATATGTCTGGGATCATCAATTTAACACATTTTTACGATTTTCTCAAAAATCGCTTTAAAAATTTTGGTTAAACTTGTTATGCTAATGTAACAATTAAGTGTTTATATATATAAGGTAGGTTTTATCCACATTGATGTCCTCTAACAAGGTGTAAATGTCGATTTTTCAAATATTCTTCCAGTAAGGTACCTTTAATTTTGTATGTTTTAAGAAATTAACCATTTTATACTGCAGATAATGGTTAAATATAAACAGTGAAAAACATAGATCATGAACTAAAGGAGAAATAAGAAATGGTATCGAGGAGTCGAGAATTGACTCGTACTCGTTCGGAATAATAGGGTGATAATGGGGAGCCAAGAACTGCCGAGGAAACCCGATCATAATATTTACTTATACATGTACAGTTTTCATAAATGCTAGTGCTGGTATTATTCAGTATTTAATGGTATAGATTACAATATAAAAATTATAATTTGTATATAAAACAGTGTTTAAACAAATAATATACTCACAATGTTATATCTGAACTCCTTACTGACACTCTTGTCGAACTAAAAAGAATTCGTGGCACTTAATTATTTATTATAATTAAATAAATAATTAAAATATACAATCGTAAAAGGAAATGGTTAGGGACGAAAAACGCACAAACATAATATATCAGACGAGAAAAACATACAGTAATTAATTGTTTTAAATAATACGTTGTAACATCTATGATTTTTACTTCCAGTTGCTACAAGATAATTATTTTAATAGTAGTATTACTTTATTACAGGCGCTAATAACTAAGATGTTTTGGGCCTAAAACATCAAATTATGAAAAGATATATTTTTACTTAAACTAGAGTGGTAAGTGAAAGTTGTATAATGTGTGCACTGCATCAGATTTTTTTTAACTATTATTAAATACTACAAATTCGTTAGAACTAATATAAATTGGATTTAGCAATAATTATTAAATATGAAATAAAGTCCTTTTCCACAAGTGGAAGTAACCCACATTGAGGCATATTTTTAATAATTGAATTATTATAATAAATGAACTCTTTTGGAATTTTGAGTTATTTTTAAAATTAAAACCCCAATTTTATCATAACAATATATAATAATAAAGAGAATTACAAGATATCGTTTCCCTGCGAGAATTTTCTATTTAGATAGCAACCAGCCTCAGCCTATTGTGCCTTCATCGGAACTAATTCATCGATATAACTATCTAACCCTTTCTTCTTGACAAGAGAGGACCCCAAGGAGATTTAACATTCAAAGGGAATCTGGTAGTCTCGTGTATGTCATTAATATCCATCCTACTTCTCGTATCATAGAGTTACAATTAATTAAATAATTATTAAGGTTTCTATAATTTCCTTCCATACACTATGTGGTAAAAACAATCTCCGAGCAGATCTTGTAGTATTTACATTTTCTACACACTACTAGGTGAGATAATACAAACTAGGTGTTTAAATACCTGCAAATCAGCACCAGCCAGGACGGCAGCTCGGAGATCACAGTTTTTAAGATTTGCATTCTTTAGCGTGGCGACCCTAAGATTTACTCCTGCCATATTACTTCCTTCTAAATTTGCACCTTTTAAGTTCACTCCTAAAATTTAAAAACATAAAATTACAAAAGCACGTATATATTAAACTGGATATGTAGAAATAAATTTTATTTCCATCAAGAAAATCCTATTATTAGAGACACTTCATCATCGGCGAATACTTAATAATGAATAATAATAATTATAAAATAAGAATAATAATAAATATAAAAAGGTGCAAAACATGGGTTAATATGAAAATTATTCAATATATAAACTTCATTTTTCATCATCATCATCATCATTATCATGAATGGTTCTACAACTCCTGCAGAGTCAAGGCCTCCCGCAATTTCAACTCCCAGTCCTCTACAAGTAATGCCGCTGCCTTCCAGTTGTGGACACCAAGGATACTTCGGGCGTCGGCTTCCACTCCATCAGCCCATCTGAGTCTCGGTCTGCCTACCCGTCTTCTGGCGAAGGTCCATTCATTTATCAACTTCCTTAGCACATGTTGTTCAAGCATACGAAGAATGTGTCCTGCCCATCTCAACCTGTCAAGTTTCTTTAGCCTCACAACATCGGCTTCTTTATATAGCTGCATCAGCTCATCGTTGGATCGCATTCATCGCTCCTGATTAATATTTATTATTGGGGCGAATATTCTTCTTGGGACACGACGTTCGAATCGAAGGAGAGCTGTTTCTTGGGCTCTAGACATTGTCCAGCACTCAGACCCATATGTTAGTACTGATCTGATCAGAGTTTTGTACAGGAGCAGCTTGGTTTTACGAGAGATCACTCTACTTTTGAGAAGTTCCTGGAGACCAAAATAAGCTCTATTTGCGGCCATGATGCGCCTCTGTATTCCAGGATTCATGTCGTTATTTACATTCACTTGAGAGGCAAGGTATGTAAATTCCGAAACATCTTCAAAAGTCATCCCTCCGATTTCTACATTTGCCTCTCTTTGGCCTCCACCCTTTGGATCGGCCCACATAAACTTTGTTTTCTTCTCATTTACCTTTAAGCCAATTCTTGCTGCTGCTACTTGTAGCAATAAGAAAGCATCTTTTATAGCTGCCCGTGTTCTTCCAACCAATGCAATGTCATCAGCAAATCCTAGTAATTGCACCGAACGATTAAAGACAGTTCCACTAATCTGAATTTGGGATTTTCTAATGGCACATTCGAGGGCAATGTTAAATAGGAGACACGCTAAGCAATCTCCTTGGCACAATCCTTCCTGCATTTCAAAGTAGTCCGACATGCTCCTGGGATGATGATAAATGGAGGAGGCACAAAAGCAGAGAAACGCCTCCATAGAAATAAAGAAGAGTTCGAGCTTGTGGATGTGTTGTGCCCAAAGCAAAACCTGCATATATGACAATATGCATACTCTGGAGGGGTTTATTAAAATCAGGAAACTCTAGTTGGAAAAGCGTCAGACATGGACAAATAACCAGCTGTAAAAATAAATCGGTACTTGTTAAATAGCCGGTCGGGTCCGACTGCTATCTGCCAATGTTTATAACCTTAACACGGATGATTCTGATAAGGCACTGGTTCACCTGGAAATGATTATACTTTGCTTCATTGAGTTGTTTGGTGTTGTATCCTTTCCAATAATCAGAATAAATAGTGCTTCCCTCTTGTATATTGTTTTTAATAAAGATTGTCTTTCTGTCGTTTAATTTGATGATAAAACACTCGTCTGCTTCTTGGCAAACTCCGCCAAACATCCATTGCTCAGGTAGAACTCTCTTTACTTGATTTTTTCTCTTAGAAAAAAAGACTCTGGTCTACTTCAACGACTTTGCCAGGCCCTCCTAGACTAGAAGAAATCCTCGACCCCTCTAACCACGTTCCTTTCCTTATAGAAACGTTTTTGTTAGAAGTGCGAAAGCATCTCCATTTCGTCTTCCAGTCCAACTTCATTTATTGACCTTTATCACAATATTTCACCTTTAAAAATATCCCGGTGTCTTGAAAATATTTGATAGCATCTTCTAAAGACGGAAATTCGAACAATGTAACAACATCCATAATTTTACGAAAATAACATTAACCCACAGCATACACGAGGAGCAAAATATAAACAATGGAATAATTTAGGTTAGATGAGATAAGAAGGGAGGTTATGTGATATAAGATTAGATAGCAAGGGAGGTTTCAACCCCAACAGCTATTTAACAAGTACCAATAAATCCACAAGAACAAAACAAATAGATCAAGGAAAAAGTGATCAAGATGCAGTAGATGTACAAATAATTGTTTTAGTATCTGCGGATATGTATAATAGATAATGTCTCTGAAGTTTTCCAGATTTCAAAGATGAAAGTAATATAACCAAACCAAATAAAGATCTTTTTAAATAATATTTTTGGATAACATAATTTTAAAATTTCAATTTATTTTCACAGATTGAAGAGAGCATTAAAAAAATAAATAATGGATTAAAATAACTATGCCTACCTTCCATATTAGCCCTTGTCCCTGCAGGATCTTCAAAATTACAGGCTCGCAAGTTTGCGCTTTCCAAATTGGCACATAACATTTTAACACCAAGAAGTTGTGCTCCTTCTAGAACTGCATGAGATAAATCAGCTCTCTCTAAACAACACCAGCTTAAATTAGCTCCATTCATACGACATCCATGAAGACAAGCGTACTAGTTATTAAAAAGGACAACAAAAAAAAAAAATGTTAATGTTAAAAAACAACAAAATAAAAGAAAAAAAAAGTTCTCATACGAATAAGACTACCTTGAAATTAATATTTCTAAGATCAAGCCTTGATAAGTCTGATCCAGCCAAATTGACTCCTTGAAATCTAAGTTCTGAATTAAAGGGTGTCATTATTAACGCATTAATAACATCCCTTCTAGAAAGGGGTAAGTTATCCCTCGCTTGCTGAGAACCAGCTATAAGGTTTTCCAGTTGTGGGATGACACTTTCGACACCGAAAAATCGAGCTTCCTCCAAAATTCCTACAACATGGGAATTTTAAGTTTAAAAAAATCTCATATAAAAGTTTCTTAAAGGTGACACAAATAACATGATGAAAATCTGACCAATAAATATTAAATGAAAAAGAAAATGGTCCTACAGCAAGTTACAGCTGGTATTGAATTTCATATTATTAAAGCATGGAATATAACTTAACAATTTTTCTTAGAATATTTAAATATTTTTCAATAGTTCTGCTTTATAGAAACATGATCATTCAAATCATTCATTTACTTTTTTCTACCAAGCTCAGTAAATTCACTTGAAAGTTTCCTGGCATATACTTTCATTATTGTTCTGTTCTAGGACACAATAAAATTTTGACAATAGTTAATTATGAAATTATTTCAGTTGAAATTTATCCTTTTTTTTTACCTTCTCTTACCTATACATGTCATATATAGTAAGGGTAAGTATTGCGATTGTGGAAATTTTTGAATCGTTATTATCGTGAATATTACGTATTTAATATAAGTATAAATATGCCTTAGATATGGCAGCAACTTTTTCCTTAAAATCAGCTAACCAGAAGTGCCACTTTATATTAATGGTGAAACACATACATTTTTAAAATTTTCTCAAAAAATGGCTAACGGTTTTGATTAAACTCTGTGTACCAATGTATAATAAAGTGGTCTTTAATACCAATCAGGTCTTATTTCCATTGATGTCACTTTATGGGGCTTAAATGCCAAATGTTGATATACGTCGTCCTCTAAAGTACCTTTAATATGGTTTATTTTAAATAATTAATCATCTCACATTATTAAGAGTTGCGAAAAAATGATAAATATAACTTTTGAAAGAATTTGATAATTGAATAAAGGAGAAAAAAAAAAAAATCTTATCCAGGTCGAAAAAAAATCCTAGTCAGAAGGTATACGTTTAATATATCATTGGAAAGCTAAGAGTTTTAGAAAAACAATATCTAATATAGAAAGTTATAGAAGGTAACGGAGAGTAGTATAAAATTATAAATAATAATTTCAGAGAACTAACATTATTTAATGTAAATCACATGTTTTCAAGGAAATTAAATGAAATTTTCTTACTATATGTAAACTTTTAAATGTTTTTCTAAGTTACAAGTAAATAAATTATTTATATATATTATGCAATACACAATGGTATTGTAAACTATAAACAAAGATAGGAAAGTTATATATGTATACAAATTGAGGAATGTAAAAAATGAAATACATTTAAAATATGTATAATCTTGTAGATAGAAAAAAAATGGATAAAAACAACAATCTCTTACTTTTTATGCATCACAGTGCTATGCCAAAAGTGATACTGAATCTTTCCAATTCATAAATAATAAAGAAAAAATAAAATAAAATAATGGTGTATGAAAAAGAATATATATATATATATATATATATATATATATATATATATATATATATCCTTTTTATATAATAGATAATTAACCAGCATTTGATTGGATTGTGAAATATATATTATACCCATATATACACACACACAGACTTCCATACACGACCATTTTGGGAAACTTTTTTATTTAGACTCCAAGGGCCTTAAAACAAGTATTACCACGGAAAACTCAAATTTAAATGTTTCACAATCACAATACTTTCTTTATAAGATATAATAATCTAAGCACTCTTGAAGCCCATTATAAATAACATAAAATTATCATCAAATTAACATAAATGCTTTTTTTTTATAAGTATAAAAAGAAATGATATTATAACAGTAAATACCTTCGAGATTAACATTGGAATCAAATATAAGCTGTCCATTCCTCAGATAGTTTAAAATTGGTTCAAAATATGACGGACTTCTGTCTATCAAATATGCTCCTTGGCTATCAACATTGCTCGGAGTCATAAGATAGCCATTGTCCCCTTCAGCAAACATTCTATTAAAAAAAAAAAGATCTTTAACGACAATCATCATAAAATAAAAACATTTTTACTTAATAAAATATGGTTTTCTTATATATTAACATAACAGGTGCCGAATTCTAGACAGTATATTGTAAGAAGGAAAAAGTAAACCATACATAGTTCGGAAAATTATTTTTTTGTTATAGACAATATTTTAAACAAATATAGTGTATGTTTTGCTAGTTTATTTAGTTCAATTGAGAAGCTGTTTGATCAAGATTTTTTCAAATAATTTAAAAATAATAACACTCTTAAAAAAATAATATATATATATATCAAGCAACATGAATAAAATTTAATTTACAAAAATTATTTGTAGTGAATAAACATAAATTTCCGGAAGTGTAATGACACTTGGTAATTCCTTCCGCCAACCCTTGCTATAATTACAGTGCTCAATCACCATTCTTTATGTGAGGCAGGGCTTGACATTTTTAAGAAAGTTCTACTTTGAGTTTCAATAGAACTTTTTTGGTGAAAAAGTTGTAGATTTATTGTAAAAGCTTAACTTTTATTTATTTAGATACCTCACAGATAAGTTACATAAATGAGAAATAAGTGGTGTATAAGATATAATTATTTTGAATGAATTTCCTGCTCCCTATATCAAGAATCTGCTGCACATTACCACTTTTAAATTTAATTTGGTACTTTTTGTCTAGCAGGCCGACATGAAATCTCACTTCTTATCTAACGTCACATCACATAACCTCCCTCTTCTTATCCCGCCAAACCTTTGAGTTATTGGATTGTTTAGTTTTCAGTTATTCCCTTATTACGTTCACTTATTAAATTCTTTACTTTTGGCCCGTTTGTGTTTATTTCTCATTTTTTTTAGTTTTTGGCCCGTTTGTATTTATTTTTCATTTTTTTTTAGTTTGTGGTCCTTTTGTCTTTATTTTTCGCTATATTATGGATCTTCTTAGAATATGGCATTTGCCGTCTTCAGAAGAACAGGCAATTTAATATTTTCAAAATGTTGGGATACTTGCAGACGTGAAATTGTGTGACCGTGGTCATCGAATGAAGTTAACCAAGAATGGCAAATTGAGATGCTGTCGTAGGACTTGTGACACAAAACTTTCAATAAGGAAAGGAACATGGTTGGAGGGCTCGAGGATTTCGTTTTTAACAGCTTTAAAATTGATTTATGGGTGGTTCCATAACTTAACATAGATGAACGATGCGAATTTTTGTGGCAGCGGGCTCACAGAGAAGAGGACCCGTTCCCGATATTTTAAATAGCATAAAACAATTTTGCCTTCCAAAATAAATAAGACAAAGTGAAAATAAATTGTACATATGTAGTTTATAGTGTTGATATTTTTTCTTTTCTATGTAAATATGTTCTTTAAATGTTTTTTTATTATTTGATTTTCATCTTTTATATCTACATAAGTTCTTCAAGTGTTTTTTTATTATTTCATTTTGATGTTTTATATGTACATATCTTCTTAAAGTGTTTTTTTATTATTTCATTAATATATGTGTCGTAAAATAAAAGTATTTTTTTTGTTATTACATTTGTTTTTGTATCTGTTTACACTTTCAATAATACGAATTTAATACAATAATAGGAAGATATGAAGTAGGAGAAGGCTTATCACTGCGTTATCAGAATTATCAGTGTTCAGGTTATAAACATTGGCAGATAGCAGTCAGTGCCGGCTTGCTAGCCAAACATTACCTTTAATTTTTTGTGACATGAATTGATTTAACAGAACTTTTAAAATAAAAGTTCTACAAAAACAATAAAAATTAACTTTTTATTTCAAACCCTGATATAAACTATTTTCTGGTATGTTCTGATTAACAGGACAACAAGAGGGTGGACGGCTGGAGTTTCAGCCCCCGGACCTATAAAGTTTTATTTTTTAACTTATAAATTTAAATTAAAATATAGTATAGATAACATAATAAATATTATATAATACTTATATATTACATAATATTTTTGTTTATAAAAGGTTTCGGTTATATTTTAATGGTAAATTTAATATTTTATTGAAAAAATTATCCCAGGGGCAGTTGGTTTCTTTCCACAGCCCTGTAGATTAACTATTTAAAGATGGTCGGTTTTTGTCTTAAGTTTATTTTATAGATCATGATTGCAATGATTTTCTATAAAACATCAAGAGCAGGGAAATATCAATGAAAAAAGATATTTTTAAAGGTACAAAAACTATTATTTATTTATTATTATTCTGTAGAATAATTTCAGCAATAGAGTTGGTTACATTAAATTGAATAAACAAATTAAAAGCTGGATTGAAGAGGGCCAGGCCAAGAAGACTTAAAGTTTTTGAAAATATTTTTTAATGTCAACAATGAACTTATTAAAAAGTTCCTAAATTACATTATATGAGATACATTAATGTATGGATGGTATAACCAAGTAATGAGAGGATGAATAAATTTATCTATAATAACTATAGAAAGAGTTGTCAATTTTAGATAAATAAAATCCAACATAGGGACAATTATATAATTGTGGTAGATTTTGAAAGCAAGTATTAGGTGATACATTCGTTAATCATGAACTGCTGACATGACATACTGGGGTTGGGTAGAATGAATAATATGGACCTCAAGCTATGACAAACAAATGAGTTTAACTAATTACAAGAATGCAAGGGAATCAAAAGTAATATTTTAATATTGATAAAATGGAATAAATATATAAAGATTATTAGGTCATATCAAGGGGTTATCTAGAACAGATAAGTCCAAAATTGTGCATGGGAAAATATTATTGATTCCTCTTTCCAGGTTAATCCCTGTAATCATCTTTAAAATAAAAATGATATGAATTTATATATGATTTAAAATACTATGAAAATATAAAAGTTTCCCTAAAGTATATTAGTCTTTTAAACTAACATAATTTTCTTTCTGCTAGGACCATAAAAAAAAACAGTTATAAGTTTTCATATTACATCATAGAAATTATTCAAATTTGTCTGAGATCAATGAACAAAAAAATAATAAAACAATAAGGATCAATAACAAAACATTATACCAAATAACAACACATTTAATAATACAAGATTTTGTCTACAATAAATTTTCATGAAAACATCAGTTTGTGAAATCATATATTAAGTATTTCAATCTTTCATTAATCTTATTCATTAAAAAATATGACGGCTGTATTTTTATTTACTGCAATGAAATATTTAATAAAAATATAACTCCATATCCTTAAAGATATTATTAGAAATAAGAACAAATGTGTGACATAGAACATAAAGTGGTAAAACATCAGGAACACTTTTAGTAAAATACTTTGGTTATGGTAAACTTGAAAATTTTTAATTTGAATCATAAAGACATTTTGAACTTAACATTTTCTTCTCATAGTACGACTATTACCTCATCTTTATACTCTAAAACAGATGTCTCAAACCTTTTGTTTTTTTAATAAAATTTATAATTTAAAAAGCTTTCAAATTATCATCATCCCGACAAAAAAAGACCTTTGAAAATAATATATAAAGATACCCGTCTTGATGCGTGTGTTTTCAAAACTTACTTTGTCTCATCTCGATCCACTGAATTACCATAGTCTCTATTTTGAAGCCTTGTTAAATATTTATATTAACTTTATTTATTATTAAAACAAAAACAAAAACTGAGAGAATGATTCGCTAATGCCTGTGAAATCCTGAATCATTCCAAAGTTATCCCATTCATGGCATATGAGCATGACAGGGCCTATTTGGTATGATTTCAAGGCTTAGTCAAATTATAAATAAAGGATACTGTAATGCTGCACTAAACCCGTTCATTTTAAACTTATTTTGAAATAACAAGAAAACTATATATCTCCAGGAATACTGCAATTAATAAATAGAAAGATATTTAAATTATCTTCTGAGCTCATTTCAGTATATATTTTACTTATAAATAAAAATTAAATAATTGTAAAAAAAAAATCAAAACTACATTGTATCTTTTTTGAGCTATTTGGAAATTAAGTTTTGTTTCTTTAATAATATTTTTCCAGCTTTTCAGAGGAATGTGCTTATATTTCAGAACTTTTTTTTTTTTTTTTACATCTAACGTTTTATACATTAACCAACAATATATGTATATAGGTACATAAATAAAAATCAATTAAACAGAAATAAATCTAGAAGCAGCTAATTTAATACTCACCTCGCTAGCATACTATTAGGTTCTTTCGTAACAAGAGTACTCCTAGAAGTGGTAAAGTATTTACCACCGACATTTAAAGTAACCCAATGCGAATTCTTGATTTTTCCTTTAATCGATTCTGTTTGAGCTATAGCATTACCTTCTCCAGCTGCTGGACCAAGAGGAATAAATCCTTCACCAGCAGATACATAAAGGATATCATCATCCCTAAAAGTAAAGTAGAATATTAAAGTTAAAGGGTTATTGAAATGGCAGTAAAATTACGGCTTGGTTGAAAATTTACAATTTTTTGTTTTCATTAATAACCTTCAACCATTTATATTCAATACAAAAAACTACTGAATATAAACACTACAATAAACTGAGAATTGCCAACTAAAAATATATGCATTAAAATAACTGTCAATTTAATAAGTATTCAATTCAGTGATTCTCAACAGTTTTAAAAAAAATATACATTGAAATTTTGACATATCATTGATTTTTATCATAATCATTAATTGTATTTATCATTGAAATGTATAAATAATAAACAAACATTAAAATGTAATGTCTAACTAAATTATTCATAGTAGTATTCAATTAATATCATAAAATAAATTTAAGAATATCAAATTCGCAGATAATTAACCAAACTAATACTAATAGTTTTAAAATATTTGTTAAGACTCTCTAGGCGTTAAGTAAATAATGATTGGTACAAAAATCTTTGCATCAAGCTGAATTTGTTAACAAAGGATTGAGATGTTTCGATTACTTCCTAAATTCCTCTTTCAATTAAGCGCTAAATATAATATGAATACCTAATTAATTTTATGTCATCGATTTCTCCACCTTTAGCTGTGAAAATTCTCTTAGCTGCTATATTAAATTTATTCCCAGCAGCATTAAGCAATTCTTCCAAGGAATGAGTAATTAGCAACACCTAAAATAATAAATTGAATAATTCAAATTAATGAATAAGGATTATAATACTTAATTACAAAATAATTAGACAAATCATTGAATTATCGATGATACTCACTTTACCATCGACTTCAGACCCATTTCTAAACACAATCACTCTTTTCATAGTGACTTTTTAAGCAGTGAACAGATACTGAATAGGCTTCTTTCAAATTGGATATCTCAGCTGTATTTCTGTTTACTAGTTCATCCCTTCTAATCAATGGGCGTTTCACAATGATATTCAGAAGGCGCTAATATTGACTGATACTCATGTACATTTAGAATAGAATTTTTCAAAAAGGTTACATAATAATATTATTTTCCCTTTTTAAAATTTTTCCAATATATTCATTCATTTGTAAGTGCTGATTTTGAAAATATAGTATATCTTAAGGTCGTTAGGATTAGTTATAAAGTTATATAGCGCTCAATAAAATCTCGACAATTCTAATAATTGTTTGAACATTAAATATTTTTTATAATGAAAACAAATTTCTTCTTGAAAAGCTGTTTTATCCTTTGAATGAAAATATGGAGGTTGCAAAAGTTCTGTTGGTTGATTACGTCACTCAAGATGTCAGTCTCATGATGGTTTCGTGTCAGCTGTCTGGAGTAATAAGTCTGTGATAAACCATTCCATTCCCTTAAAACTCTATATCTAAGATTATAACGTGAATATTAATGAAAGGATCGTGACATAAACGAAATCACCAAAATGTGGAGAATGCGAGAACTTGCTGACAAAGTGTAAGTCTCCAGAGTTTAAAGTAGCCTTCCCTTCGGCTTGCGAAGCCTTCATGGCCACTTGTTTATTTGTGTTTGACATATGTTGGAAATTGATAACTTTAATTTCCACCCAGCTTATTTCTGTATAATATCTCATGTTATCTTGAGTTCTATCTGGTATAATTAGGCTAATTGGGCTTATAGTGATTTTTTAAACTGATAATATTTATTATATATTTTCATCTTAATTTCCCTACAGTTCAGTATCGCTTACAGGTGTTATGTTAGATTTTATTCATTACTGACATTCTAATAAACTTGTTTCAGGACCAATGTTGTCATGAACTATACAGAAGTTGAGGCAAAAGTGCGGGAAGCAACTAATGATGATGCCTGGGGTCCCACAGGTCTGTTTTATCATTTAACTATATAAATTGTTCGACTAAACTGTTTTTACTCAATATTACTTGTTTACAATGTGCAATTGCTTTCGTCCTAATTTGATATTCCGTTTTAATATGAATCTTACCTAGGGGGGCGTGCCCAACCTGCTATCAGAACTGTTACAATGAAAGCAATACTAAACAAATTTTGATTTTATTTATTTGTACTGGACTACCATAATATGTTAAGTTGTTATGTTGTTAATTTTGGTGAGTTTGTTACATTTATGATATAGATGGATGCAACTGCACTCCCATAATCAAATGATAATTAGACTTTTAAGGGGTGAGAACCCTTCTGAAATATTATCTCAGTGATTAATGTAATATTAATTAGTTCATGAAACAGTGTTTTAATACAAACTGGTGGTGGTTAACTGTTTTTAGCTGAAACATGACTACAAATGACTGAATTTGTAGTTAAAATAATGAACTGTGTACGTTAATTTTAGAATAACTTAGAACATAAAGAAGAGCTGGCTTACTATGTTGGTATGCTAAATGTGAATGTATGTATATGCAGGTGCAAGCCAAAGCTGTCTCTTCTAAACTTTTTGTGTTGACCCTCTGGTATATCTGGCAGAGGTTGTTAACATTTCCTGATCTAAAAGTTATTCCTAAGAGCTCTATTGTTGGACCTCTACAAATAAAATTTCACTAAACCTGTTGCTTCTATAACATTTCCAGTTCATTCATTTACCATCATATTTATCTTAAGTTTAAATTCCAGAGAATAAATTATTGTGTAAAGTGTGTATATGCATAATGATAATGTAATGCTGCATTATTTTATTTTATTTTTTAATTACTTTTAAGGAAAGTTAATTACATTAATAAATATTTACATACTAATATTAGGCATTTATTTTAGTTATCTATCAATTTCTCAAGTATGTATGGATAAGTAAGGCATCAATAAAAAGGGATAACTCATTTGATTTCATTTTTAAACATATATTTTTTTAAAAAGTAAATATAAAATGTTAATTTGTTTCCTCAAAACTCCAAGCTATTAAGAAGAAAGATTAGCATATCAAAAAATGATTCCATCAATGGCAATCTTCATAATTTATATTTTCAAAATTTTAGAATTTTGGGTTATCTGTTTTGTCAGTAGATGCCTCAAGCAATTAATATTTATAGCACTTGTATTTATTTGTATTTCCACATATAATAGGGTGACTACGTTATATTTAGCTTATCTTAATTATTCAGAAAGGTGGTTATCTGTAAGTTTAAGTTGACCTAAATGATAACTAGTTACTTCTGTTTAACTTAATTTGCTCAGTCTTTTATTAATGTATCATTTCTATTATTAAACATTTTTTAATTGGAGTTAAAAAAAGCTAAGCTTTATTTAAACCAAGTAATTTCTTCATTTCAAAACATATAGTTTTTTAGATTTTTATACTGTGTTTCAACATTAATTATTTATTAAAAAATTATATTTTAAGTATAATAATTTATTCTGTTTTCAGTTTATAACCATATACTGAAGTTATCTAATTGAATATACCCAGTTTGTTGGTATTGCATGTTGTAGATAAGCTGAAGAGGGGGTTGTGTGATGGGTGAAAAAGTCATTAGTACTGCATTATGTCACATCTAATTAATTTGGTTGTTTGATTAACAAAAATATTATCTATATTTCACTCTACCACTCTCAGTTACTATTTTTCTTTTTTAGTTTTATTTTATTTATAAAATCCAGAAACCTGATAATATTTCTGTTTTTTAAAATTAACATATATGTGTGTAATATATATATATATATATATATATATATATATGTATTTTTTTTTTCGGCTGTTAAATAGTATATATTCTAAAGATTTTGAGGTTTATTCAATAAATAAAATCATATTTTGGTGATGTTTTGAGACTATTGTTCTCATATTCATGCCCTACACTGGAAGAAACATGGTTTATAAACAATAGTTTCTAATAATTCTTCAAAACACTAAAATGACTTACTATCAGAGTACACTTTAAGTATTGATGTATTATAATACCATAACTAAATGAAGTACAAGCAAACTAGAGACTAAATTGTTCTGTCAATTGTTGAAAATTATGAATTACTTCATTGAACACTAAATAAGTGATAAATTAAAACATATACACGACTACAACTTCCTAGTACTATTAATATATCGATTAATTATGAAAGAAATAGAGAGAGGTTGAGTCTTGGTAAAGTGGTATTTGTGTTGTTTTTTTCTTCCATTTTCCTATATAAGTAGGCAACGAGTTTTATTATATTGGAATTGTATATATTTTAATTGATATATTAGTGTAACATATCTTCAGTACAGATATACGTTAATTAGATTTAAATAACAGAATATTTATTTATTGTTTAATATAAATAAATATTCGACAATTACTATGTTTCATTAAACATTTATCTCTTGAGGCATCTACTAACAAAAAAAGAAATTTCTCTAAATATTAGAATGTATTACTTTTTTAGTCTTATCTTTTAGGTTTGGTGCCATTTTTTAATTATTTTTTTTTAAAAACATTCGGCCAAAGATCACCAAATATAAACAGTCACGTCATGTATAATTTATTTATTTATTTGACTTTTCCTCTTCAGATCCTGAAAACTAATTTTAATTTAGTTATTATACTTTAAACTATATCATTATAAAACACATATTAATTTTATAGTCTAAATTCTATTTTATGAAGCAGTGCATAGTAAGTAGTAATAAATTTTGCATTAATTTTATCTAAAATGCTATCTTATAAAGAAAAAAATTATATAATAGAATTTAGACTATGTATGTTACTGATTGTTATAAAATTAATACGTGTTTTATATTGATATAGTTTAAAGCATAACAAATAAATTAAAATTAGTTTGCAGGATCTTTAAAATGGCTCCTGAAGAAGAAACGTCGAATAAATAATACATGATGTGATAACAGTGTATATTTAGTGACCTTTGGGCCTAATGTTTTTAAAAAAATATTACCTTTCAAGTGGTTACAGAGAAGTTTTCTTTGATAGTTTTTATGTATGTCATCAGTAAGGGAAGTAAAAACTTCCTTTGTATTCTCTACCCTTTCACTTGCTTTTTTCTATCCATTCCTTAAATACAAAATATCTAACATTCATTTTCATAACCTTAATTATGCTTTTAATTTGTTCATGATAAAATAAATACATTGAGAAAGCTTATTGTGAATATGTTTCATGGTATAAGATAAAAAATAAAAATACACACGTGCATATCAATAATTAGTTTCCAGTTTGTATATTAGTTAGGTTAAATTATTGTATGTATTTTAAATAAAATTTATTAAGTAGTTAATTCTGTTTTAGGACCTCTCATGCAAGAAGTTGCTCAGGCTACATTTACGTTTGAGCATTTTCCTGAGGTTATGACAATGTTGTGGAAAAGGATGCTGCAAGACAATAAAAAAAATTGGAGAAGGACTTATAAGGTTCTGCCTTTTTGGATATTAATTTTAAAATATAAATTAAAATTAAAAATGTGTTTTGATAACTCTTTGATTTTGTGTTCAAATTTCTACTTGTCACCTTTTTTGTTAATAAATATTTACTAACTTTTGGAGAGTTGGCTGACTGAAACATCTCAAGTAACAGTTTTTGACTAAGGGTCAATTGTGGTAATGATGGCAATTGGATATTTGACAATTGCGTGCCAACAATCATCCCACCCAGTTTTAGAAATGGGTCTGAATAAATTTAACAATTTCCTAACAAAAGAAGAAATGTATTTCATTTATTGAAATGATCATAGCAGTTATAATTTCTTATTTGAACACGTTTCCTATTAAACAGAGGTATTCAGGAAATAATTATAAACTTTATTACTTCTCACTTTTTAGTACATTACAAAGCACGGTTCTAATTGCTAGAGAAAATTAACAAAACATAATATTTATATATTTATTCCACTTCATTTCAGTAATAATCATGGAAAACAATAGCTCATTATATTGCAGAAAACAATAGCCACTCAAACATGATTAAATACAATGAAAATACAAATCGTTCCTAGTTACCTGTATTTTATAAGGTTATCGACTCCTTAATATACATAACTTAGTATAAAATATTTTTCAGTCTTATGTTTATTGTCATATCAGTCTCAATGTTTCTTTAAGATGTTTTCAAGAAACAGGTTTAAAATACCTAATAATTAAAATTTGTAAAAAAAAAAAAATCTTGAGTAGATTTTCTATTTAAGTATGTTTGTTGTTTCTATACCATACTACTGCTGTTATTATTATTGAATTTTATTAAAACAATTTATAACAGTATATCACAAAATATGCACCTCTTTGTGACGTACAGACAAAATAAAAACTTAGTATTTGTTAACACATTTCAACCTTAGCAAACACATTTCATAGCAAATTTTATTTTTGAACTAATTGTAAAGAAATAGAATATGCATACATTTTTCAGCGTTTAAAGATATTTTGTGTAGTTCGAACAGAATTAGTTAATTAAATCAGAATTAGAATTAAAATTTCTAAGAAAGTTTAAAAAACATAATTTTTTTTAACATATTTAGAACTTATAAATAAAAAAATCTTACTTTTGTATCGACAATCATTAGAATTGTAGCAATTTCAATTAAAAAATGTTTTAATAAGTGTCAACTGTTGTTTTGTATACAATACTGAGGGCATGGGAAAAAATTAAACTTTCTTGCAATTAAGATTCATTAATAGTCATTTTAAACCTTTTTCTTGAAAATGTCTGAAAGAAACATTGAGACTGATATGATAATAAACATAACACTGAAAGACATTTTATACTATACTATGTATATTAAGGAGTCTATATCCTTATAAAATACAGATAACTACGAACTATTTGTATTTAATCATGCTTGAGTGGCTATTGTTTTCTAGTAACAATATACTGAGCTATTGTTTTCCACGATTATTACTGAAATGAAGTGGAATAAATATTATGTTTTGTTTATTTTCCCTGGCAATTAGAACCGTCCTTGGTAATGAAATAAAAAGTAAAGTAATGCAATAAAAAGTAAGAAGTAATAAAGTTTGTAATTATTTCCTGAATACCTCTGTTTAATAGGAAACGTGTTCAAACAAGAAATTATAACTGTTATGATCATTTATATTCTGTCACAATATTGAACATTGCTAATAGTGAGAAAAGAGTTTATTCACTCCATATTTACGTAGAATATAAATAAATTAAGTTAAAAAAAAAATTAATAGTAATAACTTAATAATGTTGGGCGGTTTAAAAAAAAAAAAAAATGAAATTAACCTAATGAAGTAAAATAACACATTTGACAGAAAACTCCAAACCATTCCTCTCCTCTCTCTCCCCTCCCTTCCTGGTCTCTCCCTTAATTTTGTCATTGGTATTATAATCCAGTGGAAATTTAGTAAGAGTACTTTTTTAATCAAAGACGCTTATGACTTAAGTAGAGAATCTTGCTATGGTTGGGACTCCAATATTCCTGAAGATAAAAAGAAAGATTTTTAAAAAGTATTTAATTGTAAAAAAAAAGAACACATGGAGGCTACAGAGAGAGATCAAGCGCAGACATATATAACAGGATTGAAGGCTTTATTGTAACAAGCAGAAAACAAAGACTGGAATTCTATGGACAGATGGTCTGAATGATCCAGTTAAGGCTTAAACAGATTTTTAATGAACTTTAGGGCTATAAAAGTCAAAGTGGCTATATTTTTTTTTTCTGACCTCGCCTTTTAGGCTATTTTTCTGGGGCAGGGGTAAGGGCGGAGGATTAATGGCAGAGTTAAAAGACCCCCTTGGCACAGGGAGGCGAACTCATAATTATTTTTAATCAAATTATCTCGTATATCAGGTTGCCAGGCAACAGCAGTGCTATGCACACGTGTTAGCCCTCTTGGCCACTCTGCCCTTCATCAAGGTGACTGCGAAGGAAGAAGAGCTATTTTATCACACATATGATAAGTGGAACTTATATGTATTGATTTCCTGTATCTTCAACCTCATCCCCTACCAACTTCTTTTAAATCTATAGTCAACAATATCCTTATTTTAACAAAATTTTACTGATTTGGTTATAGACAATGGAAATTAAAATGAAATTGAATCCACAATACCTCATATTGAAACATATGTAATTTCATTCATTGATTGTTATCAAATTGACTGTTAAGGGTTACAAATTCCTATTTTAGTTCTTTTTATCGATTATCGATCATATTATAAATGATCTTAATATATTTGACGAATTATATGGTATTTTGTGTGGTTATTCAAATGTGATTTATTAAAAAAACATTTTACTAATTTCAGAGTCTTCTCCTTTTGAATTATCTTGTGCGGAACGGTTCTGAAAGAGTAGTGACATCATCTCGAGAACATATATATGACTTAAGAGGTTTAGAAAATTATGTTTATGTTGATGAAATGGGTAAAGATCAAGGAATAAATATTAGGTAATCTATTTATTGTTTTTTTAATATATAATTTTACTTGTACTTATACTTTTAAATATTATTTTCATATTAATTAAAGTATATTTTTAAATATCATAAAGTAGTAAGTATGAGACAGAAAAAAATGTTGTCATAGACATAGACAATGTTGTCACTAAAAGGAAATACTGAAACTATTATGTAAGTTCTAAAAAATCATTTTCTATAAGTAATTTATTTTATCTTTATTAGGCATAAAGTAAAAGAATTGATAGATTTTATACAAGATGATGATAAACTCAGAGAAGAAAGGAAAAAGGCCAAAAAAAATAAAGATAAATATGTTGGTCTTTCGAGTGATGCTATGGGGCTTAGAGGAATTGGTAAGTATTTATTACTACCTATCCTTCAAATATTAATAATATCTTATGATATAAATATTTTTAAAAATCTGGTGCATGCATCACACGACTTTCACTTACCCCATCCTCTTCACAGCAGAAATAAGTATTTTCAGACAAAGGGGAAATGAAAGTAAAAATTATTGACGATATATTTATTTACAATCGTATTTTATACAATTGAATATTAAATTATACCAACAATAGCATTTATGAAAACCACATATGTGTACGAACATAATATTGTCGAAGTCTGTATTATATAAAACTCATGTTACGTATGGAAGCCTGTTTTAATTTTTCGGTTGAGCTCGGGCAAGCTCGTTTTCCTTTGACTCCTCTATTACAACTGTTATCCGTTACAATCTCTTATTTCTCCTTTAGTTAATTATCAAATTCTTTCATATTTATATTTAATTATTTTGTATATCAAAGATTTATGTGAAAGGTTAATTATTTCAAATTTAAAAAAATCTGGTGCGATGCGCGCATCACACAACTTTCACTTACCATCCTCTTCTTAATTAAAATAAGTATTTTCAGAAAAAGGGGAAGTAAAATTAAAAATTGTAAATGCTATACTGATTTATATTTCATAGTGGATATTTTTATTTGTATAATATAAAAACCTTAAATATGCAAGTTCACTTTCGTATGACTCTTTGTTTTTGAGCTAGACTGTTAACACACACACACACACACACAGACCATTTTGCGGAGATTGGTTATTTCGACTCAGAGGACCTCAAAACATATATATCCGTTTAAAACAGAGATTCGAAAATTTTCACGATCTCAATACTTTCTTTTACTATATATTCCATATATAGCTAAGTGAAAGTAAAGATAAAGGTACTTTAGGGGAAGCCAATATTGAAAATTAGCCGTTTAAGCTCTGATAGAGAACATCAATGAGAATAAAACCTACATTATATTAAAAATGCACTAATATACTGAGTTTAATCAAAATCGTTAGAGCCGTTTTTGAGAAAATCATAAAAATGTGTTAAATCAATTACCACGTACAGTTTGCCAATTTTGACGAAAATGTTGCTGTAACATCGAAAGCTTATAAAAACCTTAAAATTGCATATTGCATGCAGACCATTTAGCGGGACTTGATTATTTTGAAGATTGAAAACTCAGACCGGAAAATTTTCACGATAGCACTATATTCATATAATACTCATAGTTACATATACGTTGCATGTATATGTAAGTGAAAGTAAAAATAAAATATCTTTTAAAATATTTTTCTATTACCAAAATAGTTGTTATCAGCTCTTTTCTGATTGGCTTCTAATTATAATTCTAACTGGCTACATAGTTATAATTTAATTTTTTTCTCTGATTAATATTTTTAGACCCATTTTGTGGTATTGATGTCTCTTATTTATTAATTCATTAAGAAAATAATTTCACTTCAACGGCCTCAAGCTATTTTTTAAGAGGATTGGTTATGTTTGAAATGAGGCCTGTTTCCTCTTTTTCTTTTCAAGACCAACGCATACCCCTTAAAGTGAGAGGAACAATAATTCTAAGTTGTCAATTTTATGATATTTTTTCTCTTCATTATAATGTTTTATATAATTGTTATTGCATCCATAAATAGCTATGGCTTGTTTATTTTAAATAGGTGAACGGTGGGAAGGGAGTAGTGGTGGCAAGTGGACTAAAGAAGAATATGACTGGAGTGATTCTGCCGGAAGGAGAGATGATTATGATCCTAGGTATTAATTCCTCTTGGAATAGATAATTCAAAAAATATATATATGTATTTTTAGACCACTTGATTCTTGTGAAAATATAGTAGAAAAATAACTTAGAGATATAACAAAAGTGCACAAATTCATTAAAATATATTCTGAAAGATTGTAACTCACCTTTGAAAAACTGGAGAAATGCATGTTCAAGTGCATACAATTTTTGTTCTTGATTTTATTGTTCTTTATGAATTAGAAAGTATGAAAAATATAGATTATATATTAACACAATTTAATATTATTTACTTGTTGATTACGAATTATCTAGAAAAATTATATTTGTTGGTAAAAAAAGTATCATCAGAATATACTGTTACAGCGGAGACGAAGGTGATAACTCAGAGGGAGAAACACCAGCTCCGAGGAGTCCAGCGCGGGTATATAGGGATACTGAAAACTCTATTCAGAAAGATTCACCAATTAAAAAGCAGTTGAGTCCTGCACGGAGAATAGACCTAGGCGCTGCTGCCACCTATGGAAAGGTAATTTTTTTTCCTATACTCTAAACATGAAATAGTTGCTAAAGTTATGACAAAAAAAAAGGATAAATAAAAAGTTTATACAATAAGTTTTAATAAATATAATTTTCCATAGGAATTTTTATTTGTTGGGCGCCTGGCTTACCAGCCTTTCATCTTAAAAAAGATAAATCTAGAAAACATAAGGCACTTACCAATTATTTGGCCATCATTAATTATTTACTCTACCTAGCTCAGGTGAGAAGGGGTTAGGTTGGATATTTTTATAAAGGTTAACAGATCTATTTAAAAAAAGAAATATTTACAGAATTAATACTATGTACAATAAAAATAAATTAAATACAATGAAAGAAGAGAGAATTTAAACATAATTACTATATACAATTAAAGATAAATAGGATAATAAAGAAAGTAAAAATAACAAAAAAAAAAGATACTTATTCTATATACAATAGTATGGCATGCCACATCTAAACATGAAGAAAAGATAGTCAAGATACAAGAGATCTAAGATGTAAGAGCACATGCACATGCTAAAATATCAATTAGTCATCTGGTACAGGAAAGGAAACAGAAGAGTTCTATTTTTTCCAATGCTTCCTTAATCTTGGTTACGAAGTAAAAAAAAAAAAAAAAAAAAAACAATTATGAAGGGTATTCGGTGAATTATCAATATAAGTTACTAATTCATGATCAACAGTTACATCTTGTATTAATGTGATCTGAATTATTGTACTCTATATCTGATCTTAGTATTACATAATTTTAAGGTCGGGATCTTGTATTAAATCTGGCTGTATACCTGATAAATCTTCTTAATGTTTGATGGAATAGAAAACAAAAATCGTGCTTATTTTTCTAAGATTCAAATAAGCCCCAGGGAGTTTAGGTGCAATGATGTTTGACCACCATGTACAGTTTAATCTGAATAATTTCAATGTTTTAAATTCATACATTGTAAATAAAAATCTGGTTTGTCTGCTCACATGACTTTTCTATTGATTTTAGCAATACCTAGTTGCGTTGAGAAAGTAAAAAATTTAGTGCAGTGTTCACATCACACAACTTTTACTTACTAACCGTTGAAAACGCAGATGCGAAAATTTTTAGGATCACAGTACTTTTCCTTACTTCATATTACATTTACTGGTAATTTATAAGTAAAAATTCTCTATTTTAAATTTTATTGTCATTATGTTTATTAATGATTATATTAATAATAATAGTCATAGTCACTGTAATGATCTTATACTTTAGTTATACGAAACTTAAATAATTGTTGATAAAAAATGTTAACAGTATTTATTTCTAATTCAATCCTTTACAATCTTTACAATTTTCCTCAATCCTTTACAATCTGGTTTCCATTTCCATTATTCAACCCAATCTGCATAGCTAAAGATTACCCAAGACCTCCGATCCTCCATAGATAAACAGGAAGTCTCTACCCTAATTCTTTAGACTTTTCCAAAGCCTTTTATTCTACCAGTCATAAGATCCTCCTTTCCAAACTTAAAAGCCTGCCCATATATCAAATAGCGTTCTAACATTTAAAAATTGATAGAATTAAGTTAAATATATGCACAGTCGCGGTCATAGAAATTGTATCACATAGTAAAAATTTTATTTTGTTTACCAGATTGATATATGCAAGATCTCCGAATATTTCTTTGCCAGTTTTGAGACGATATTCTAAAGATAATCACACTATTAAGCGGTCGCATTATTTGTTTTGTTTTTTCTTCTCCCAGTTTCTTTGTTTCGCTACATGTTGACTTTTATTTTTTTGTTCAAAACTATGACTACTGTTTATTTGTGGTACCCTGTCTTGTTGCTTTTTTCCGTGAAAATTCCTTTACTTCATGTAACGTCACAATTTTAATATTTTCTGATGAGGACAATTTTTGCAGCAGGTCATAATTACAGCTTTTATCCTAGCATTAGTTTAAACTGAACTAAGAGACATTGTTAAAGTTTTCTTGTTACCTAAATAAGTAAAGAGAAACAACAATATTCAATGGAATCAACATAATAAGAATCAAAAGAAATAGGTGATGCGATTTCTATGCATAAATAAGAATGGCAAAGTATATATATATAAAGAATCATTGTGGCCTCCATTAGAACTGTCTAATCTTATTGTAGCATCTAATGATTAAAAGGTCCCCGACCTATGGCATATGATATAATAATGGACATAACTATTAGGTTGCAATGAACAAAAAAAAAAACTTAATATTTTTATTGAATATTTAATAGTTGACCGTTGCATTATAAAGAAAGGAGATGGTCCGGGGTGGCAGTCATAAATAGGCTAAATATTGGCAAAACTATTTTATTAAAAGTCAACGTTTCGACCCGACTTTGCAGGTCTAGAACGGACAAGATACAAAAAGATAGAGAATTGTGGAAGTTAAATAATATTTAGACAAAAAATTATAAACAATGTGAATAAGCTTATTAAAATTATAAACAGTAAGTACATTAAAATATAAACTGAGTAAGCTGAGTAACTAGATCCTAAACTGAAGTAAATAGATTGTATGTTTATTAATGATTATATTAATAATAATAATAATCATTATAGTCACTGTAATGATTTTATTCTTTAGTTATATGAAACCTAAAGAATTAAAGATGTATATAGGAATAAAATATATAATTAAGAAATAACTCAAAATAAAATTCAATAGCATGTTAGATAGGGAATCTGCTGCCTCTAGGCCACAAGTGGCCTCCTTGACATGGCTTTCCAAACTTTTTGCACAATATTTATTAATCTACTGCTTTTTACTTCAGTTTAGGATGTAGTTACTCAGCTTACTATGTTTATATTTTAATGTACATACTGTTTATAAGCTTATTCACATTGTTTATAATTTTTTGTCTAAATATTATGTAACTTCCACAATTCTCTATCTTTTTGTAGCTTGTCTGTTCTAGCCCTGAAGAAGACCTGCAAAGTCGGGTCGAAACCTCGGCTTTTAATAAAATAGTTTTGCCACTATTTAGTCTATTTATGGCCGCCACCCTGGGCCATCTCCTTCCTTTAATATTTTTATATGTGAGGGATTTAGTGCCTTTCAATTGCAAACTCTATACCTCAATAAAAAGATATCTATTCTACCGTATTATGTTATATTATTATATAATATATTATATTATAGCTTAGATAATATATTTTAAGCTTTACCTATTGTTAATTGATGTTTACTGATACAAAGTCCATTGCTCTAGACTACTCCTTCTAATACTGGAATTACGGAAAGTGAGCCAGCTAATGTTCCATCACTCATCGGTGATGTAGCAGATGATCTGTTTGACCCTAGAAAGGGCGTGGATCCTCCACCTACCTCAAACGTTACAGAATTTGGAGACTTCACAAATGCCTTTCCTCCTCCCGCCAGTTCAAACACCAGCGGAGCTGATGTAAAGGACGATTTTGCTGATTTTTCTTCCGCCTTTACTGCTCCCTCAAGCTTGCCTCTTCAGACACATTCACTTCCTCCGATCCAGCCACCGCTTCCTAATGGAAATTCAACAGGTTTGTAATTTGACTGTTTCATATAAAATTCATTTTGAACTAAATATTTTATTCAGAGACTCCTGTGTGACAAGAAAAAAAAGTGAAAAGATATTTCTTGTTGGATGTTCTAGAAATGAAAATAGTAAGTAAATAAGGAGAAGATTAATTTAATTGATGTATTCCCTGTTAAAAGAAAGTCCGTTTTTGCTATTGGTCTCCCTGAATTTAATTTTTTTTAATTCATTTTATAAAGAAACAATGAAGTATACACATACTTTTTGCCCCCACTGTAGGCAATCAGATTTAAACAAAGCAAACTTGTATTTATCAGAGAACAGCTGATTTCCCCTAAAAAACTGATGGGTTTGTTGATGTATTCTCTAGCAAAAGAAAGTTAGTTTTTGCAATTGGTCTCACTAAATTAAGATTTTTATGTCGGGACACAGCCATAAAAAAAAATTAGAATTTATTTTATAAAGATAGAAATGAGGTGTGCAAATACTTTTTGCCCCTGCTGTAGTTGCTGGCAATCCGTGACATAGCCATTTATCCATTCTTTTTGCGTAGCTCCATCCTCACACTTTATAACTATCTTTGTAAATATGCTTTACAAATTCGGGACATTAAATATTTAAAAAATTGACAAGAAAACTTACTGTTGAGCCATTGTTAGCACATCACTAATAATAATAGAAGAGAAGAACGGTTTGGGTGATCAGTAAAAACAAATAGTAAAAATAAATAATTATATTCATTTTTACTATATTTTTTGACTGATCGATCACCCCAACCATTCTTCGCTTCAATTATTCACTACCATCAACCATGAATCCACAATAATAATAATTATTATTGTATAATGTTTTTATTGTTTAATGTTACTAAGTCTTTTTGGATAGATGGCTTGAAAATGTCATTGGAATCCGAAACGTTGCCAAGGTTGCAAAAAACAATGAAGAATGGCGATTAAGATAAGATCCCTAAATTATTTTATTTACTAATTGAAACTTCGCATTAAATAATTTTTTTTTTTTATGTTTTATATCTATTTTTATAATAAGCTCTTATTGAGAAGCATTTAAAACATTTTAACATTGGTAATTTCAAAAAAGTTAAGCCATGTATTGCGGATTGAGAGACAAGTTTCTTTTTATGTTATTTAATTATTATTGCACATTTAATTATTATTATAATACATTTAATGCTATTAATGATTTTTGTTTTCAGTTACCAAGTCTCAGTCTAATACTGAACTTTTGATGGGATTGAGCGGTTTTAGCAGTCCTGTCCATTCTCAACCACAATCTTTGAATTTGACCCAAACTCCTCAGTCTCCATCCATCAATCCTCTGGATTCACCTATGTCAGGTATTTGACCATATTTTTTATAAGTTTTATTTAATTATTAGTTTATATAATTCCATAATTTGTGTTATTTTTCATTGAGTTACATCAGAATATATATCTTGGGGAAGATAGTCTGATTGGCAGAAAACTTCTGTTATTTATGACTGAACTAACCAATATTAATTAGCATTATAAGGCTCAGTATTATAAAAATAACAAATAGTGGACACAATAAAATTTATAAAACGTGTTTTTAATTTGTTCTTGTTGAAGAAAATAATTTATGCCATTTTATTTTTTTAATATCCTCTTCTTTTTTGTCAGAAGATTTGCACTGGCTTTTTTTTTTCGGTGGCAGTTGTCGTTTCCAAATTGGCCATGTAGAAGTTGTTTTGGGAATAGTTAAAAAAAATATCAATATAAATTTTTTTTTAAAGGAATATGCACCCGTATTCGAGGTATTTTGATAAACAGAAGCCCCCACCCAAAGAGTTAAACTGCTGATACTAGTTTTCTTAGACTCATTTCTTCAACTCAAACTCATTTATTATTTTTCTGAATTTTTCTTTCATTTTGATAAATATTTATTCATTATAATTTAATTATTTTATCTATCATTATTTATTTGCTGAAGGGGGTTATGTCTCCCTTTCAGCTGTTACCGGTTGGAAGAAACTAGAGGATGCAGAGGATTGGCTACTCAAGTTCATTGCTCTTCTTCCTGGGCCTCTTGTTGAGCAGCGGATAATTTCCTACAATCAAGAAAATGTGTTAGACTCCGTCTACTATGCAAGAGTATTGGAAGCTGTTTTAAGTTTGCCTGGCGATTCGGAAATATTAAATGGACTGTTTGTTGTTGAAGGTGGAAGTTATGGGATGTTTTTAGAATCTCTGACGATCTTGTCGAATAGCTTGAAACAAGAAGCTGCGCCTAGTTCAAGACTCAATAGGACGTTACGTCTCCTCAAAAATTTAATCACAAGTGAGGCCATGGTCTCGGCAACTGTTGATGTATGCTTATTCGTTACAAGGAAATCTTCCGCTGAGTGTGCTATAGCGATGGCCAGATGGGAAGAAGCGGTACAGTTAGCCGTTTCTCTTCCCGTAAAGATAGCGAATAAGCTCGAAGGTCATGCGACTGATATATTTCTGCCAACAAATTTTTCAAAATATGTTTTTGTAAACTTGGCCAAGGTTATTGGTATTATTTATAACATAAAAAGAAATTTGAGCGTTACTGTCAATAATAAACCTGTCTCCTTGTTATTTAGCAAAATTGTTGGCAATTTTTATTCTGAAGATTCAGCAAAACTTTTTTTTCAAATAATGTCTTCTTGGTGTAATGAAAGACAGACGTTTAAATTTTTAATATCAGATATTTTATCAAAATTAGATCAAAAATGTGTTGAAAGAACAGCTTCTCTGATTCTTCAAAGTAACAATTTAATGGTTTCCGATTTATTAGGGAATTGTATCTTACAGCCGTCATGGAAATATGTTTTATGCCGAAAAATCCCTTTTCTCATTTTCCATTCTTGCGATAATATTATCATTAACCTCGTGAGATATTTAGGTAATTTAGATGACAAGTCATTTTTAAGTAAAACTTTAACCGATTTATTAAGAATATGGTCTGACAAAAGTTCTCTAAAACATACTCCTTATGAACAGCACTTGTACATAACTAAGATAATATTGTTGTCTCTCCGAAATTTAACTGACCATATTCAAGAACATACTGAACTCAAATCTACACTTAAAATACACATTTTGCATGGAGTTCCTGTTCATTTAGAGTCTACGGCTGAAAATATACGTGTAATGGGAATGGTTTGTGGTGAAACTTTCATGTCTTTAACTGAAAAAGATACCAATAACAAATTAAAATTTGATTATAGTGAGATAAAGTCAAGCAGCATCGAACTGGCTAACGAGCTCCAAAAAATTGCAAAATATAATTTTGAAGATGAGAGCTATATTTGTGATGAATCAGGTGATGATTTACTAGAGAAAATCTTACATTCGCTTCCTGAAATGCGTAAAGAAGAAACTTCCAAATCTTTAAAAAATCAACCCATTTCTGTGATACCAAAAATTGTAGCAGGCACTGAAGCATTAGATTTAGATAGTGATGATGAATTTGAACCCTATGATCTGTCTAATGATGTCAAAAGCAGTGTCTTAAAACGTCCTAAATACTTACGAGACCTCTTAGAAAACTTGAATAGTGAAAACGATTATGAGCTTTGGGAAGAAAGTGTGAAAGCATCAGAAGAATTAGTTTTGAAACAATTGCCCTCTGATGATGTTTCATTAGCCATTGCTTTACTTAATGTTTTTCTGACCCTAAGTAACAGATTTAATTTACAAGACTTCGAATCTTACAAGTTCAATACTTGTCTTGCTATAGTTAAAACCAAACCGGTAGAAACTGCTGAATACTTGGGATTTGAATTCAATACTAATGGAAAGTATTCATTATCTACTAGGCATTTGATGTTGGATATTTTAGCTGGAGCATCTCAGCAATTATCGAAACCCTTAAAAGAAGAAAAAAAAAGTGTTGTTATACTTAATAAGATTTTAGGTCAGGTTAAAAGGATCGGCACTAAACCTCGGTTGAAAGTTGGAAGCGCAAATAAATTCATGTGTGTCGGTTCGTTCATTTTTCCTTTAATCAGAGGAAAATTCTTCAAGGGAAATGACGAATCTCCAATATTACTTGCTGCCGCGTTGCGTACCATTGCTGTCATAACTCTGTTCTCTCAAAATCTCGGACAACTGACTGTTAAAATCTGTAAAGAGGTCCTGGAACTTGCTTGGTTCATGAGATATCATAGTGATCTATCCGTGAGGGGTGGGGCTATGGACTGTGTCGGGAGTGCCTTATTGGCCGCATCTGATTGCTTAGACCAGCTGTCGGACGAGCTCTTGGAAGCCGAAGGGTGGTTGATAGATTTGGTCCAATCTGAGCAGGATCCTGCTCTTAAAGTTTTCGCAACAAATGTTATTCTTCTTATTGAACAAAGTCAAATCTTACAAAAGAGGGTTTTGTTTTAATATTGCAATGTGATTGTATCTAAAAAAAAAATTTAAATAATGTTGTAAATACTACTATTTTTTTATGTTAGTGTAATATTTATTTACTATACAATTCAGTTTTTTTTTATATATATAATATGATTTTACTGTAAATCGAATTGTAATTTTTTGTTTTCTTATTGTTCTCTGTAAATCATGTGTGATCTATTTTGTCTTTTTTTATAAAATGCTTATTCATTTTTCTCTCTTTTTTAATTTTTGTTACTCAATTAAAACTTTCGCTTATCAATTGTAAATATAACTGCTTAAGAACACATTATTTTTCTTTCCCTATTTACTGGTAGTTTCTTTTGATTGTGTAACTAAATCAAACTGTGTTTATTTCTTTTTTAATTCATTATAATTATTATCTTTCTTAAGGTACAATAGCCAACTGAGATCAAAAGATAAATTGAAAACTCCTAATTTGATCATATTTTTAACTTCTATTGCTAATAAATAATCATTGTTCAAGTTTGCTTAAAATTCAGATGTAATATTAGGTGTGATACTCTACTAGGTTAAGTTTAAGTCTTAAATATAAAAATAATAATTTTTTTTTTTATGAAATTTTTTATAAATGTATCATAATAGTGAACTATTTTTTATAATAATAATACAAGATTTTTGTTAGAGATTCTGAACTATATTATGATTTTTATATTATAAATCTTATCTCATTTGATTATGTGTTTATAATCGCCCAGAATTTCCTATCGGTTTTTATACATATTTTGGATATGATAATTTGTCGTGAGAAAAAGGATTGCAAAAAGTGAAACCTCCATGATCATTATTAATAATGTAGCTTTAGTTAACATTATTATAGAACACTATAAATCTAATACAAATATTTAAAGCAACTATAATAATATAAATTACATATATAATAAATACCTTAAAGAATGGGTAAATGCATGTGGTAGAGGGCAATGTTGAAAAGCTTATGAAAATTTAGTCATGAAACGAAGAAAATTGGAGGTGAGACAGGATTGTTTTTTTATTTATACAAATCCACAAAATAGTAAATATTATTATTATTTATTAGAATTTCAAAGCATCAATGATGATTAAATAAAATATTTAAGGCTTTTAGTAACAAAAAGTGATAATTCCAAATTCTAAAATATTTAAAATATATATATATATATATATATATATCAAGTTTGCCATTGATAAGTTTCTGACATTTTAGCTTGTGTATTACAGTGCAATTTTTTTATAGCTTAGTCCCTTTTTGGTCGTTGATGCCTCCTATATAACTTTCTCCTTTACACTATTAAATGTAATGTTTATCTTTAAAAACAACTTAATTTTAATCATTTTTTTCTGCTCCATAAATCACCATAAAACATTTAATTAGCTCTTGTTTCTAATATATAGTTATATATTAATTATTTAGATCATTATATTTGGTTATCAGGAAACTCAGTGCTGAAAGGTTGGCTGCATTGTGATGAGGTGATACTCTGTAATCCATGTTTCATAGATGTGACTTTAATTACTTATTTATGCCCTTATGTAACAGAATAAATAATAAATGTAATCTTAATGAAGTCCAGAATGAAAAAAAAAAATATTAAAAAAGATTACAATAATTTTTAAAGTTGTTATTGTTATTTAGGGCTTAGAGGTATAAAACCCAAGGTTATCAACATCTCATGTTTTTAAAACTGTTAAATGATTTACAGAAAAGCAATGCTTCTAAAAATATTTATTTATTGGTTTTGTTAGAAACAAGTGTAGTTCGTTTTGTAAGACATTTGTCTCTAAGATTAAAGTCAGTTTAGATAGCCTTTAGAGCACTTAATTTATTTTTAAACTAAATTTTAAGAACATATTATTAACAGTTTAAAACTATTCCTAATGCAATTAGGAAGATATTACTCATTGAGTATATGTTTGCTCTGGGGTCCGTAAACTCCTACAATGATATTATCAATGTTGTTAATGTTTTCTGCAGAATTAGGTCTCGAAATAGTATCTGAAAGTTAAATCTGTTATTAAAATTTAACAAAAAAAAATAAGTGGAAGTTTTGAAGCTGGAAACACTATTCTAGAATAAAAAAAATCTGGTGCGGTGCGTGCATCACACAACTTTCACTTACCACCCTCTTCTTAGCAGAAAAAGGTATTTTCAGACAAAGAGGAAGTGAAAGTAAAAATTGTAGACGCTATATTTATTTATATTTAATTGTGGGTATTTTTATTAGTATAAGTACCCTCATTTATACAAATTTTAATATTTATATCGCTGTTATCTATCTAATTAAATATTAAATAATACCAGCAATAGCACTTATGAAAACCACATATTTATATAATATTGTCAGAGTACGTATTACATTAGGCTCATGTTACGTAGGGGAGCGTGTTCCTTTGGTTCCTCAATTACAACTATTCTCCGTTACAATCTCTTATTTCTCCTTTAGTTAATTATCAAATTCATTCAGATTTTTTATTTAACCATCTTTTATATTAGAGATTGATATGAAATAAGTCAATATTTTAAAATAAAAAAAATTAAAGGTACATTCAAATTAGTCATGAATATGTTGTCGAACAATACAATTTTTAAGTGTATTCAAGATTTCGAAGTGAGAAAATAATAAATAAAAAAATGCTGCAAATTATTACACAATGGTTTATTATTTCCGAGCAATTTAACATCAAAATTCACATAACTTTCCACATTACATTAAGAAAAATAAATATAAAAGGATTCCTAACATTGGCGTAAATAATTTTATTTTTTATCTTTGATAATTTGCTTTAAAGAAAAAAGAAAATAGACAACATTGCTTCAGTTGATGTAAAACTTGAAAAATCAAAACCAAAATAAAAGATATTAGCTTTAGAACATATAAAAAATATTTAGAACACCATATCTTTGTACCAAATTGTCCAATTTCAATCATTTATTTTTTAGGACATTTTGTAAACTTTCAAAAACTCAACTTAAAAAAAAAAAAGTGTATACTTCTTGAGTTATTCGTAAATCTAATTTTACAACCCTTCGTAAATTTTTTCCAGCTTTTTTTCGTTGAAGTACGTTATATAGATAAATTTAAAGGGCATTGAGAAGATGACTAAGTCCAGTTTCATTAAAATTGGCACATTCGTTTAGGTGCTACAGTCTATACCAACATAGATTTTTCGTCCTCCATCTTAGAAGAAAAGGGCAGATAGTATTGTCGAGATAGGAGCATCATCCTGTGATGATCTCAGACTTTGATTCCAAATTAGAAAAAAATCAGTCCAGTAGTCTTACAAAAAATACTGTGGATGGACAAAATTATTTTAATGCGATTTTCAAATTCTACATATCCTGAAATGTAAAACTTTTGAGGTGGAGATTAAATATCTGAATGGTTACAATGGTTCATTATTGAAAATAAGGAACCAAAATGAAACATCTGCTGGTTATTTTATATAATATGAAGTGAGAAGATCAAAACAATAAAAAAATGTTTCTTGAGCTTACATAATACCAAGTTTTATTGTTTCATTATAAGAATGCATTTTAGGGAATCATTGAAGGAAGTTAGTCGACTGTTCTACATATTATGGTTGATAAATATTCAGGACGCAGTCTTTTAAAAAAAAATTTTTTTATTTGTGCCAACGTTTCAACCCAAACATGTGGGTCATCTTCAGGGCATGGTTCGAGCACTGAATGCTTTCAATTACTGACCAACGTACTTATACTACTGACCAAAGCATTCAGTGCTCGAACCACGTCCACATGTTTAGGTTGAAACGTCACAAATAATAAATTAAAAATTTTTTTAAAGACTGCGTCCTGAATATTTATCACTCATTTTAGGGAATGTTTTCCCACCAAATTTTTACCCACCCCTTTTAATTATTTTCATTTGCAAAAATTTATGCTATTTTGATATATCTTTCCTGAATATTATAAGATTATTTTTTCTAAAGTCATTTAATTCTACCTGTTAACAGGAATCGGGGGAGGATTATTACAGCCTACTCTAGATAAAAACGTGCTGCTACAGCTCCAGCCTTCACAGTCTTCCACAAACAGCACAAAACAGGTTTTCTGCTTATTTTTTTACTGCCTTAATGCCTTAATTACTAAATAACGAAATTACTAACTTTTAATTTTTCCATAGATCGGTAGTACATGGAGTGAATTAAATTTAGATATTGATCTCGACGGACTGAATTTAAGTGGAAAAAACAAAACTCGTCCTGCACAACCAACAATGAACCAGATGGCATCGTCAATTGGTATGTTTTATTGATTTTTTTTTTCTAAACTTAGTGAATTATTTCATAATTTATCTTATTTTTACAAGGATTTAAACTGATTACTAAGTAAACACTACTTGAGTGTATTGTGATGTTTTCTGTTTTTAGGTAACAATAAGCTAAAAAATGTTTGGTTTATTATTTTCAATAATGAACCATTTTGATCAAACAAAAAATTCAAAAACTTAACCCCCTCTCAAAATTTGAGAACATAGAATTCGAAAAACGAATGAAAATTTTTTTGTCCGATCGCCGTTCGTGCATTTTCTCCAAAACTACTGGACCGATTTTTTTCAAATTTGGATTTAAAATTAGAGGTCACCCGAGGATGATCCTCCTTCATCGACATTTCTATTCGCCTTTTACTTTCAAGATGATGACCGAAAAATCTGCTTTGCTATAAACTGTAGTGCCTAAACAAATGTTTCTATTTCAATGAAATTTCGCTAGTCTTCTTCTCGATGCCCTTTAAATTTATCTATCTAACATACTTCAACGAAAAGAAGCTGAAAAAAAAGTTATGAGGGATGTTAAAATTAGATTTCAAATAACTAAAAAAATATGGTTATTTAAGAATTTATGGAATTTCCTAAAATAAAATCGGACAATGAGGAGCAAAGGTATGGTCTCTAGATGTTTTTTTATATGTTCTACTACAAAGGTTATATCCTTTGTTTTGGTTTTTTATTTTTGAATGTGTTACTGAAGTAATGCTAATTTTTTTAGCGTATTACTAATGATTAAAAAAAAAATGTTTAGTCCAATAATCAGAATCACCTTTTATTTCTTTTTCTTTGTCACTAGGAAGGTAATGTAATGTTACTTCATATGTATAATTGTTTGGAAATAATAAACCATTGTGAAATAATTTGCAGCGTATTTATCAATGTTTCAAATTTACTAATGAAGCAGTTTTTACACATGTGATATGTAAAATAAAGAATACAGGAAATGCCGAAAATATACTGGCTGACTAGATAATATTGTCGATTTATTGCAAAAAGTACAGTTTTATATTGCTAAACTTTTAAGAACATATTTGTGAATCTCGATCATATTTATCTATGCAAAAAAATATTAAGAGCATCAAAATAACACTAAGCCTATTTCGTGTAAAAAATAGTCCCTTGAACTTTAAAATAGTTTTTAACAATGATATGATCCATAACAAAAACCAAATTATTCATGCCAATCCAGAATTAGAAACATGCTACCTCTTTGCATGCCTTTCTGAAATTAATTTCCTTTCATGCTCTGTGGCTTAATTAATTAGAAACAAAAAACTTTTTTTATTTGAAGAATCATATCAAATACAAGTAGCTCTGTTTAATTGAATAATAAATGGATGCCCTGTTCATCCATGTTTTAATAATATTAATTATGGAAAATTCACATTTTAGTTCGACTTAAATAATTTTATAAATAAAAGTTTATATATAAGTGATAATTAAATTTAAAAAATATTTTAAAAAACTGGATGTATTGAGTAGCGTCGAAAGTAGGAAATACATGTACTATCTCTAGGAAAGAACAGTATTATCATATGATGATATGATTGATATTAAATACATATATAATTTCAATAGTTAGCAGGTATCTGACTCAAGAAGTTTTTGAGTGTGGATACGGAGGGGGACATGCCGAATTTTGGAAGGGAAGGAATTCTAGAAATTGACAGAGAAGACTACAAAGGAGTTTTAGAATGAGGCAGATCTATGAGAAGGGATGTACAGATCAGAAGGTCGAGATCTTGTGGTAAGGGAATGGATTGAGGACTTGAATTGGAGAAGGTTGCAGGCATAAGACGGTTGATGATTGTTGATGATTTGATAAAGGAATGTGCCTAGGATATATTGTCTTCTTAAAAAGGGAAAGAGCCACCCTAACTCAGTATAGTGGTGGGAGACAAGGAAGCGTCTTAGGGTCCCAATTAAAAAGCTATTCATTAGTCTTTTCAGTTTATCAGGGAGCTCCACCGAGAGGCCATCGTACACCACATACAGCTGTAGTCAAAGTGAGGGAAGATAAGAGAGGAAACTAGGAGTCTATGGATATTTTGGGGTAGGAGATGGCAGAAGCGATGAAACAGTTTGGGGGTAGAAATTGCACTATGGGAGATAAGAGAAATATGGTGATTCTGGGAGAGGGCTTAATCAATGAAAAAGCTTAAATTTTTAACAGAGGAGTTGGAGGTGATTGGATGGTTATTTAGGTAAAGTGAAGGAAAGTTGGTATGGGATCTAAGAAAGGGAACCAATGACAATGGCCCGAGTTTTAGCAGCATTTAGCAATGATCCTTTTAAGTTTTTCCAGACACTGATTTGATCTGCTGGAATTTTGGCAAATGCTACTAATAACTCACCGGGAGAACAGGATAGATAGATTTGAGAATCGTCGGCACAAAGATAATGGGAAAAATGGAGGATTACATCATGTAGGTCCTTAATATAGGATTTGAAAAATAATATACATGTATATATATATATATATATTTTTTATTTTTTATTTTCCTTCTATGGTAACTCGAAAGAAGGAGAGTTTATTAAGTAAATATTACATGCACCATGCCTATTATAATTAGGCACACTGCATGCAGTACATGTTGCATTTTATATTACATTATATATTTAGATTATTTCGCAATATTAGCTTTAAAAAATAATTATATTCATAAAACAAAATATATATAAAAAAAAGAAAATTATCAGAATATAAAGATTTCTATAAAGTTGAATAGTTAAAGAAATAAAGCATACAAAGGGCAGCTCTTTTATTAATATTGATTGTTATTTATTTATATTTTTAGGTGTTAATAATATGAACATGAATGTGAATAATATGAGTATGAACATGAACAACAATAGCGGCAGCCTGCTCCGAAACCAACAGCCAACTAGTTTCCAATTTGCTAGCTTTAAGTAAGCAAACACTGACGAAACCATTTGCAAAGCTCAACTAGTTTATATACAGGCATCAACATTGTACATAACTCGATATCTTCCATTAATGATAAAGTGTAAATTAAAAAAACAAAATAATTTTAATTTTTTTTTAAACTATGTATAAATAGAAAAGAATCAGTTATCAGAGATATTCCGTTTGTTATTGTTGAAATTTTATTTTAATTTTTTAAAGATAAATTATTTTTATTTTATTTCTTGTTACGAATTTCCCTTTATATGATTTTATTGAGGTTAACAGGGTTTTCGGAATTAGAAGCGTATTTATCCTAACAGAATATATTTTGTTATTAAAGTTATTTATCTTTTTTTTTAATTTGTGTTGTTTTAATTGTTAAATCATATTAATGCTTGTTTTTCAGACATTAATAATTTCTTTATAGCTTTACTAATTTGTGATAATTCGAGTATTATTAGAAAAAAGAAAACATTCCTATTTCCTTTCAAATTTTTATTTAATTCATTAATATAATTGAATTTTTGTTTGTGAAATTTTAGAAAAAAATATATTTCTCAGGTGTACACAAAAAATTAAATATTAACCTCGGTTTTATTGAATTTTATATTTTCCACATTCCATTGTCATTAAATCTATTCCCTGTATTATATTATGAATGCATTTAGTTGCAAAATGGCTTGAAATGTTAAAATAATAAAATTACATAAAGTGCATTGTTTACATTTTATAGCATGTAGACGATGAATATAATGCAATATTATATAAAATGATTTATATTAGAATCAGCTAAACTCAATATGATGTTACCAAATCTAATTCTGAAACATACTGTTTCTTTGTTAATTATATTCCTCAATGTAAGACATTGTGATAACATTTTAGCAATAATTCATAAGTATTTACAATATTAAATATTGGTAAATTAATAAATAACAATCATCGTTCTAGGAATAATCATTCTTTTAGGAACATTTTTCATTTTAAATCTTAATTTTTTTGATTCATTGTTTTGTAATATGTTATTGTTTAATTTTTTTTTCTCTCAATATTATATTTATTTATTTTTAATTACAGTGTTGAAAATTTCAATACTCTTAAGTTTAAAAAAAAAATTCTTTTATGATTCTTAAAAGAAAGAAGTCTATCTTAAAAAATATTATAAACATTATATTCAATAATAATGTACTACACTACCTTTACTATTATATAACGAAAACTAAAGTTGAATTTTAATTATTATTAATGAAAACAAAAATTATTATTATTAAAAATTAAAGTTATTTTTAATTTTGTTTTTGCAATTATTTAGTAAATAAAAATTGATGTTTCAATGTTTTCCCATGTTACTAGTAAATATATTATTTGGGTACAGGAAAAAAAAAATGCTATGCAATTTAAAGGAGATCTCTATTAAAGGCTATCAATTCTGGCTTATAAATAATTAATTTTTTAGAAATGTAGTTTTGTTAGTACACGCCTACTGAGAATTATAAAAATAAATTGTACACTTTTAATTAGGAAAATCAAATAATTTCGGTGGAGACTCTCCAATTTAAAGAGAAAATCAGCTGTTGTTTTTTCCTGTACCTTATTTATATAATTTTTGTTTTAAATTTTATTTTGATACATATCAATAATTTAAATAATCCATCCATTTCTTATTTAATATATAGATATATATGAATATTAAAGTTGAAGCTTTGATTTCATCATTATTACTGAGATTTTGTCAGATAATACTCATTGCATTATTTTTGAAATTGAATTAATGATCTTAACATTTTTTATTGACTTTTCTTTCTTTATTTTTTTGCCTGGGAAATGCTTAAGATTTTTTAATTTAATTTTTTTTTTATGTTTATATTTGTTTTCATTTAATTTCAATCTGTAATATGTATATACATAATAATTATATATCATTATGTCTAATGAAAATAAGTTGTAATTAGATTTGTTATAAATATATTTACGAAATTGGTTAAGGTTGAAGAATTTATTTTTATTAATTATTCACTAAAGGGGTATGAGTTATGTTTTATTCATTAACATTATAAAGTGCTTAGAGTAACATTATAAAGGTCCCTTAAACAAATGAAAACAGAAAATTACATTAATATATCCGAGCCAATTAAAATTTAATTTGGAAATATTCTTAATATTTAAATACAGTTTTATGAAGCACTTAGTTGAAACAAACACTTTGTTTTGCCTCTAATCCTCTGATATTTACAAATATATTAGAAAATTATGATATATTTTATTATGTGTTCATTTGTAAATATTTAGTAATATCGGAGAGTTTGGGGTAAATCTGAATGTTAGTTTTAATTTAGTCCTGTATGTGGAGTTTTAGTTTTTTTAACGTTATGTTATTTTAAGTCTTTCCCTAATTATGGGTGTGAAAAAATCATTCAAGTCTAAATTTATAATATCTGAGACTTTTCTTCCTTTCTAATTAATTTTATATGAACAGTACAATTTTTTTTTCCTATTAAAGCTGAAAGTGACTTTATGTATGACATGACAAAACTTTTTATTGTAAATCGGTCTCATTATAAAAGTGTTAAGACCTTCCAATTTTAACTTAACTCTTTTTTATTAAATCATTCTGATATTTTAAAATTATGATTACACTCTTTCATTTAATGAAAAGGGTAAGGAAAGCCACCAAGCACGATGTATAGTTCAGTTATGTAGGCCACTTGGAAGAGTGACTGCCTATCGATAACTGAATACAATAGCCATGATAAAACCTAACCCCGTTTGATACCAGCATTAATTTCGAGTTATCCATTTGACTACATATTCTAACAATTGGCTCTCTAGAGAACCGTGGAATAAATATAAATGAAGCAAATAATATTTAATTGACCAAATATAAAGAAATAATTAGATATTAACTAATCGTTCTAAGATGAATGAAACATAATGAAGACCCCCTGTACTATTATTTGTAAATAATACTTGTATATTTAAAATTTTTAATCCTGGCACTTGAGTTAATTAAGGTGGCGGTTAATTTCTAGATTAAAATTAAGCTACTAATTCATCACAATCATTTACTTATTAATGCATTTTTTTTTTTTGTTTCCCATTTTAATGTATTTATTGTAACTTAAACAATTTAGAGAGAAAAAAAATGAGTTAAAGGCAAGGGAGTTGTGTACAAATCATGCTTAATGTACATAAATCTAAATATATATAATATACATATATATATTATTACTGCTCTGTATACCTAAGGTTTTTATAAGAAGCAGAATAGAAAATTAGTTTTATTAGAACAAAATTACTTCCAAGAAGTGTTGTTGAAGTTACTAATTCTGTTAAAACAAAAAGAATAATGGATATATATAATGTTAAATGTGCCTTACAAGACTGGCAACAGTGGCATGAGGTTGTATCCTACAATAAATGCATTGGTTGTTATTGCATCTATTTTATTAGATAATGCACAAGGGCCATACCTTTCAGTTAGAAGAACTATAATGTTTTTATCTGTTAACGTAGAACACATACCTATTTCCATAAAAATATAAGCTTTTTTATACTTCTGCCTCTTAGATAGAAGGAATAACGAAGTAAGTAACTTGAAAGAATAACTCCATGGTCCATGGATGGTGTAAGGTTCTATTTCTCTTACACTCATATTATTAAAGATTATCTGTTTTTCCTCTGGTATTGTCTTTTTTTCCAATGATATTTTCTTATTTGATCTCTTTATAATCAATATTTTCAGCTATTTTTTTTTTTTATGCAGTGATGACTTCTTACAAAAAAAAAAAAAATTATTTCTCTAGCTTACTTTATATAGATCGTAACTCGTTTAAATTTCTTATATACCTTAATTTTCTAAGTTATGATATTAAATTCATTTTTTCACAGAATTGACAACTTTCAGCGCTTATGAGAGCCTCAGAACTTGATTATAAAACGCTAATTTTGATTAATTAAAAAAAAAAATACGGTGAATACTATAAAAACTGAATGACCATTTTACACTAAAATTAAACCATGTATCTAAAGAAATATTAATTCAAATACAGTTGAAAATGTTAAAATAAATAATAGTGGATTTTGACTTGTGAAATTGAAGAGAAGTTGTTTGCGATGTTCAGTCAAAAAAATAAAAATTAAAACTACAAAACAACTGAGGAGTTTTTGTTTGTCTTCTACGTATATATATATATATATATATATATATATATATTTATTTATTTTTTTTTTTTTTTTAACTTTTATTGAGTATTAATACAGTCTGCCACACTGAAGGGCATTGGTACTAGTGCTATAGTATTCATTCACACAATATGTACATAAGAAAGGGGGAAAAAAAAGTATATATATATATATATATATATATATATATATATATATATATATATATAAATAAAAATATAAAGTAATATACAAGATAATTAAAACAACAGACCAGCCGTGTAATAACAAAACACATTCACACCTATGTACAATATTTACATTGGCCCAGGGGACTCCGAATCAAGCTTTGTCCCCCAACTGTGGGAGCCAAAGCAGGACTCCAGAAGATCCCAGTGCTTCTCTCCCAGCCGCGTCACTGGTATAGTAAGCCAGTGGAGGCTGATGGAGGGCACTAGAGCAACAGACACTCAGGACATGAGTGAAGAATCTTTCCAGTGCCAGTACTCCAATATATACATTTTTACAAAAGGTGACGGGGCCACTGCCGTTTTAACCTCCGAGGAGGATTGTAGGGATGACTGGAGGTAGATAGAGACTGTGCTACAGGATTAGGATGATGAGTGAGATTCTGGTGAAATTTGGAAAATTTGTCTGGGATTAGGTCAAGTACAAATGGGATACTAAGGTCATTGTGTAGGGTTTTATTGGTTACATAAAAGGGAGCATCGACTATTGTTCGGAGAACTTTAGACTGGAAGGATTGAATGCGTTTGATGTTGGAAAGTTTTGCTGTCCCCTGCAATTCGAGTCTGTAGGTCCAGATAGGTTTCAGGCTACATATATTACTTGATATTTTAACTACATTTTCACCCACTATATCTCTGATATCACCACTTTATTTCTGTATTAGACAACTTCTTCTTATTTTATTTTTCTTATATTCATTTATTTTATTTTCACCATGTTTTGTATCTTTTGTAGCCCTGATGAAGACCTGCAAAGTGGGTCGAAATGTCGGCAAACTACGGTCAACCATCTCTACGTCATTAAAAAAAAACTGGTTTTCGTAAATAATATAAGAATAAATAAATAATCCCCGTAAGACAATTTCCTCTTACAGAAACCTTTCATGGGGTCAGCACTGATGAAGGCCTGAACTTTTGGCCAAAATATCGGAAAAAATTAATATATATATCATTTTTTTTATTTTTATTTTTTTGACTGAATACTCCAGCCAACTTCTCTTCAAGTTAAAATAAATAATCCTATTTTAAATCTGGCAATTTAATATTGCTCTGCACAGTTTATTTGCCACTCATGTTTAATGATTTTGATTTTCTTTTTATATTACCAAGTAATTAAATGTAGTAATAATTTAAAATAAATTTATTCAGTTCATTTGAGGTTTTGAGATACAATTTTAAAAATGATGGAAAAACTAAATTTTTGATTATTTAAAAATATAATCACTGGCATGATTAATTTCTTATTTTTAATCAAATAAATGCTTTGTTTTTTTAATGTTTAATAGCATATGAATTATATGCAAAAAATTTAGAAATAGATTTTTTTTTTAAATAACAAAAAATTTAATTCTTCTATATAACATCACTAAAACTGCAGAAATTGCTTACAATCATTTATGATTTTATTTAGTTTTATTGAATGAAGTTAGTCAACTGTTCTACTTATCATGGGTGATAAACAGTCAGAACGCAGTCATTTTAAGATTTTTATTGTTGCTGAGTGCTCTTGGAATACTTGAATACCTTCAGTGCTGGTAACATGCCCTGATGATGGCCCACAAGTTTGGGTTGAAACTACATTCTGACTGTTTATCATTCATTATTAAGTTATTGTTTAACTAATAACGGGAAAATTTTCCGGTTGATGGTGTTCCCGGTAGAGTCCAAGACCCTTCTTTGGTTGTGGTGGTTCAGGTTTTGAAAGAAAATAAGTATCAAATTAATTATTTACATTTAAGATTCTACATATAATTTTTTTTTAGTGAATATGTACAAACATCATGACAACAATCCGCAAAGCTAGATAAATAATTAAAAATATTGAATAACCAGTTGACTTATTTATATAGAAGAGAAAGCTAATCTCCAAAGATGGTTTAGTATATTAATAAATGGATGATAAATAGTCAGGATGCAGTCATTTTTAAGGTTTTTATTAGCGCCAACGTTTTAACCCAAGCATGTGGGTCATCAGGGTGTTGAGCTGCTAGCTACTAGCAGTATTTGAACACCTTCAGTGCTCAAAATACGTTGTTAAAACGTTGGCAATGATAAAAACCTTAAAAATGACTGCACCCTGACTATTTATCTTTTTTTTTATCATCTATGATATGTAGAACAGTCGATTAACTTCCTTCAATAATATATTAATAAACAAACAATATGAATAATATTTTGGAAACAAAATTATATTTAAAGACATTTTTATTATCAGTTTGATTTGATTCAATTTAATTATTTTTAAATCTGGTTAATGAAAACTATGCTTATTTTATAATAGATTTTTTTTTTTTTTAACTGTAATAACATAGTTCTTAACGCTATTTTATAAACACTATTATGTAACAATATATCACCACCCAGGTTAGTTTTATTATATTGTGCCTCTTAGCCTATCTGATAAGCCATTACTTCCTGTTAAAATCCATTTCCCACATCTAATTAATCATTTTTCTTCTTTGCTATCTTGGTTTTAATTGTTTGTACATAAACTGATGTCTATTTACTGTAGTTTTTTTTTTCTTTTAAGAATTGCTTCCGTATTTAAGTAAGTATTTGTGGCTATGATCTCTTGGGATTCTCTCTACACTTGGCCAAATCCCAGAATATATATTATATTTTGGTCTTGATAGGGATTATATTCAATATTAAAAAGTTTTAATACAATCTTTTTGGAAAGTGTTGTCATCTGACTCAGTAATTATTTTCCTTAGAATGAAACTAATTAAACATCTTTACTTTATTTAATTAACTGATAAGAAGAATGAAATATATTTCTGCTTCCTTTATGTATCTCTGTCATATAAAGGGAGCTTCTTAGAGTGAATAGTAGAAATATTTATTAATGAAGTTGGAGAGCCATATTATAATGCTCAAGGAATTCCAAAAGAAGATAACATGACTAATAAAGAATTTTCCAAGAGTCAATATTGTGAGATGGGATGAACAAGTTAGTATGTCGGTACTTAATTCAAAGAGTAGACAGAAAAATGTTGGGAGAGAGGATCAAGATTATTATGATATATTTGTATTCTAAGGTACTGGAACAAAAGGAATGGGAATCGAGTATTGATTTTGGAAAATAGAATAAAACCACCTTTACAGGACATATCAGATTGAGACATGGGATTGGGGGTTCATTTATGATTACAGGATTCCCTCCCATCCATCTAGGTTTTATCAAAAGGTAGGTATTGATGGATTTGTAGATTATCTGTAAGTAAATAATTATATTTTGCTGTACTTCCAAAAAATAAAAATGGGTCAAAGAGACTAAGGGTTACTCTTCTCTTAAATATATTTTTTTGTTGTTCAGCCAGGATAGAAACCTTATTGGAGACGATTAAGGGCAATTATTATATAATATTGGGCTAGAAGGACTTCTCTGTTTTCATACACTCCTCTTAACTAAGTTTTTTAGAGTATACCATTCATCACAATAAGGGGAAAGATGATTAGAACGTTAATGCTCTATCTTTCTGCCTCATTGTCAAACCAGGATGGCAGGTACAAGCAAGCCGAGGACTGTATGCTCCATGATTATATGTTGACTACTTCAGCTAACATAACTAAAGTATATTTTCAATAATGGATATCAGTCAGTTTTGATACATGACAATACCCGCCATTTCCAAGAGAGGAGGATTCCAAAACCATTACAAAGATAGTGAGTTTTTCCCCAAAAAATGGTGGACCTGATCACTACAATGATATAAATCATAGTATCCATACATCTGAAACCGATGACTCAACGCCTTTATCGGTTAAATTGAAAATTTGTTCCTGATATCGTGCGACGATAATAACGTTCTGCCGAACTTTCCTTGAAAAAAAGACACAAACTCGCCTTGATTGATGTTCATCGGAATTCAAAAGCGCGTGATTTGGCGACTTGTAGTTCTGATCAACTACGTTTCATGGCCTATGGTATAGCGGAAACGTGTTACTTTTTAGAACAGAGCACAATTTGCCTCTTCTTCTTCTTTGGCGCTACAACCCTCGTGGAGACAAGGCCTTCTGTAACAGCAGTCACTTTTATTCACAGAAGCCGATCTCCAATCTCGTATATTTAGGATGGATCTCGCGTCAGCCCAACGCAATTTGGGTCTTCCGAATGGCAGTCGAAACAGATGCTCAGTTATTTCACATCCGAAAATCACTTACCAAAATTCTACTAGCGATGGCAGCAGCCCGCATGGAAAACCAGAACCCAGTTTAGTTAAGTTCCTAAATATTGCTCTGAGGTCATCGATGAACATCGGAAATCCATCAGAACTTTTCTAAACTCATCGATGTAACAGGGGGTTGAGGGACAATTCATCATAGCTGAGATCATTGATGAACATCGTATATATATTGATGGATTTATCGCTGGATAAAATATGGACTAGCCAGTGGCTGCGTGGTATCTTCCCGATTTTTACCTTCATCACTTGTACTGGCTTTTGTTCTAGTAGGAAAGAATTAAGTAAAGTTGGAATAGTCACTTCCTGTACTTTTTTTTCAATAGTAGCTTTATAATCATTGTGTAGTTCGCTTTTAACGTTATTGTTTATTTATATTTTCATCGTGCGATTATCAGCTTCAAGCATTTACTTATTAGTTTACTCAAGTTACAAAAACAGCCCTTTTGACAACTTTGGTGAGCAGAAATCCGGCATTAGTCGGTCTTTTTCGTGATGCGGGTTTTTAGGAAAATTATTTTATATTTCTATCCCAACATCGTCATGTCTTATATTAAAATACACGGTCTACGATGTCTTAAGCCCACCTACACGGTCAATATTATTGAGTTAATATTGAATATATTGACCGTCTGAGGGATATATTGTAACACTTAAATCGACATCTGTACTATGTATACAACGTTAAAGAATACTGATCAATATTATTGATTCAATAATATTGGCCGTGTGGGCTTAAAGGTGCTTTTAGACTTTCCACAAACTATGAAAAACACAATTATTTAACTTAACTAATAGCGACATTATTAATAAATCAAATTATTTATTTTATTTCTCTTGATTCCGACAGCATAGGGAAAATATAAAAAAAAAAGAGACAAAAATACTAGGATAGTGAATTAATGAACCATATAGTTGTTTGTTCTATAGTTTGTGAAATGTCTAAAATTGCTCTTTGGTTCCGTGACTGTTGTTGATTGAGGAAAGGTTATAATTTTGTTTTACCAGTCATTTAGCCGTTCTTCAAACTAATAACGATGGTATGTTTTTAGTTTCGTGTAATTTATATTTAATTTGCTTAAAGTAAATTATTTTTTTAATTTAAAATATTTATTTATTCGTAATTATTGTCCAATACTGGATTTTGCTTTTTAGTAGTAATTCTTAGTGGTTCATTAAAAAAATGTTGGTTAATAAAATATTTAAATAAGACTTTTGCTTCTTTATCTAACATTTTTATTTTAAAACTGTTGAAGAACATATTGAAGTTGAGTTGAAGTATCCAGGAGGATGCAGTAGCATTGGTGACTTTTTTTTCCAAACATCTTCCATAAACTTTATTACATTATTCGGTCCTGTCTTCTGATATAGAATATATGGAGCATTAACTGTTTCTACACACTCAGTGTAGTTGTAAATTTATCTTAACACATCATTTTTTGATTATCTTTTAATTAGTGATAACTGATATGAAAGTTGTATTGTTTTATTTTATTGCCTAAGTGTACAGAAGGTTTTATAATTATCAATACTACTACTTCACTATTGCAAAAATAAACTGGGCCCAGATTACATTAATTACCATAAATGAATTCGGAAAATAGCAGAGTATTGACAACCATGTTTACGGCTGTCTCCTCTCTTATACACAATGTTAAGCTAATTGAAAATTAATTATCAACTCAGAAGGAATGATTTACAATAGACTTACCTATGCTGATGTATAAATATCGTGATCTAAACATCTCCAGGCCTGTCGGGAGTGGTTGAGGAATTTGAATATGTAGCCAATACATTATGCCTGTAAATTAATGAATTGAAGAGATTAGGAAAGCCATCAGTAACTTAGGCAACCTTCAGGATCATGTATTTGAATTAACACTTTGTTCCAAATTTAAGAATACCTAGTCAGTGCTGGCCTTAGATATTTGGCCCTCCCGGGCAATGACGTCATCTCTCCCCCTGAAATTGGCCAGCGCCCTCAACGGATGCCCCTCCAGTTCGTCGCCCTTGGGCAATTGCCCTGGTTGTCCCATCCTAAGGCCGTCACTGGACCTATTGGGTATCATGTTAATAGATGTCAGTGATGTAATTGCTAAAAGAAAATCAAACATGACTGCTGGGAACAGAGGTATCTGGGTAGTTCAGAATACCACGAAATTTAATTCTCTCAGGCCAAGCTTAATTCACATTTTACAAAACTAATATGGCCTGTAGTCACTTACAGATGTGATGCATATACTCTGTCAGCTGCTAGTGAATGACTCCTGAATTGTTGAGAGCATAAGATTTTATATAAAATCGTTGTCCCTATTTGTGAGCTTGGGTATGGAGAATATGATGCAATGCTATGATGTAACATTTGTATAATGAGCCGGACATTGTGGCATTCATCAGACTAGCTTGGCTCAGATGACTGGGTCATGGTGAAGGTTGTCCCAGAAAGATACCCACATTGTCCTGTATGTAGTAACTTGTGGAAGGTTCCTTAGAAGAAGACCATGTCTGCACTGGCTGGAGGATGTTGAGGAACACCTCAACCGGCTTTCGTAGGTGGAATAACCAAACGCAGGACAGAATGGATTGAAGAGTGATTTTTGAAATTGCCCTCAGTGGACCATATGTCAGATAATAAAGTTAGTTAGGATTTTAATGGTTATTAATTGAATCAAAACTGTTGATTTACACTTGCTCAAGATAAATAATCTCCCATGGGATCTTTTCAGTTAAGAGGACATTGTTAGTGAAGATCAATCCTTGTTAGTTGAGCATCAAATATCTTTGTTAATTTATTTCTAAGGAAGGCTGGGTTGCCTAACTTTTGGACACTTGGATTTGTACCCAGCCACTAAGTTGAAATAATACTTGTTAACTATTTTCTTATTTTTATTACACATTTTTTCACTAAATACATGTTTCTGTTCTCTAGTCAATCTTAGCGTATAACGGCAGTGCTGTAATAGCTATGAAGGGAAAAGATTGTGTTGCTATTGCTTCAGACTTGAGGTTTGGTATTCAAGGGCAGACTGTTTCGACTAATTTTGAAGTGAGGCATACAATTTTTTTTTATTGTTTTACATGTAAGTTTACTTCTTTATTAATTTTTGTTTTTCATTTTAGAAAATTTTTGAAATGGGTCCTCACTTATACATTGGACTTCCTGGGTTAACTACTGATACATTTACCGTTCTAAATAAACTTAAATTTAGGGCAAATATGTTTGAATTGAAAGAAGATAGGAAAATAGCTCCAGATGTGTTTCTTTCAATGGTCTCGAATTTGTTGTATGAAAGAAGGTATGATCAAGTTGTTGACTAAACTGTTTTAAGCCATCATCACATTACCCGCAGTAATATTTATTAATTATATTCTATATTTTGATTTCTCTTCCAGGTTTGGGCCATTTTTTGTTGAACCTATAATTGCTGGATTAAAACCAAAAACGTTTGAACCTTTTATAGCTTCGATGGATTTACTTGGTTGTCCTAACAAACCTGAAGATTTTGTAGTGGCAGGAACAGCTTCTGAACAACTCTACGGAATGTGTGAAGCTCTTTGGGAACCAGATCTTAGTCCTGAAGATTTATTTGAAACTATATCTCAAGCCCTTGTTAATGCTTGTGACAGAGATGCACTTTCGGGTTGGGGAGCTTCTGTTTACATAATGTGAGTTATTATTCTTCTTCTTTTTTTTTTTAAACAAGTTTTTGTGTTGATATATAATTGAATAAATAAATCAAATCTGGAACCTTAAAGCTAAAAAGGAATTCTTTTGAGCATGTAACTCCAACAAATTCGTAATTTTTTAGAAAATTTAGGATTTATTTGTTTGATAGGAGTTACTTCTAACATTTAAGGTGTCATTTTCTTTTCCAAGTCACTTTGTTGCTAGGGGTGATTAACATACTAACATTTTGTCACTAGTTTAACTGATTATTTAAACACTTCAACGAAAAATTAAAGGTAAATATATTTAGCTACTACAATATTCTTATATGTGGTGTCTTCAAGAAATATATAAACCCTTATATTTTAAAGATGTATTCAATTTCAAACGACGTTCCAAGCTAATTTTCTGATTCTCAAGTCATCAAAAATCTTTTATCTATGAAAACATAAAGCACCAAATTAAAAATAGAAACTATTTCTTGTCTCATTGTATGCACATTTACTCTAATGCTTCTCCATTCCTGAAACTCGGTACCACATTTTCCCTCTTTTTAAACATTATAATGTAAGTAACATAATGTTAAATAACAGAGAGAGAATGTAACATCGAGTTACAAGAATGGACAAGCATTAATTAGAGTAAATGCGTATAAAATGAGATGAGGAAGTTTTTTTTTTTTTGTGTACCGAAAATGAATATTTAATATTCAATTTAATTAAGTTATAATTATAGAAATATAGATACAAATTTTTGATAACTTGAGAATGACCAAATTAGCTCATGACGTTGTTTAAAGTTGAATAAATCTTTAAAGTATAAGGGCTTATATATTCCTTGAAGACACCTTATTAAAGGTAAATACAATTTGAAGTTTAATTTCTTTCTTTTTCTATATATTGATTATAATTGGACTCTTAGTGTAATAATTAATATTTTAAAAAATTATTATATCTGTCAATGGGAAATTTTTCTTGTTGGTAAGCTTCAATAATATTATTCAAATCTGGGATAAATATAAGATCAATTTCTGAATGGTTTAGCTGAACTAATATACCATCAAATATAAATTAATAGTTAATATGAATTATTTAAGAGTGACATTAAATCAACAGTTTTATTAGAGAATTGCCCAATTATAATTTTGTTTACATTTTTGTAAATTTTTATTTAGTCATTTTTCTTAGTACTTTTTTAATGTTTCAATGCAAATATTATTTTATTTTGTGTTATATAACTTTATTTGATTTATTTATTTGTTTTTATAGAGAGAAAGACAAAGTAACCCACAGGAGAATAAAAACAAGAATGGACTAACTTTGCCTCTGTATTTTGTGGGAAAAACAAAAAATATTACACTTTTTATAATAATAAATAAATACAATTTTTCATTTATGTCTAATTTTTTACCTCTCTTCTTTCTTTTTCACTAAGAATCTGACCATTTTAGATTAAAATTAGGAATATTTGAAATAGAATAGTCAAAATTAATTAAAAAAATAGAATAAAGACTGCAAATGCTGGAAGAAAAAAAAAATCTTGTTCTTTTTTGGTATCTTGATATACCTGATATAATGAAATGAAATGAAAATATTTTTTTTATTATCCTGGGACTGTTGTCCCTTTAGGACAAATTATAGATACAGAAAAAATGCCTGTGTGGCCATACATTAAATTAAATATTTACAATTCTCATTAAAATTAAAATATTGGAAAAAGAATAAAAAAGTAACACTAAAAACATACAGATATATATAATACAAACATGGGAAAATAAAATAACATAAGTAAACAAAATCATTTCTGGGGAACTTTAAAAAGTTCTCTTACCTACATTTCATGATCAATTGGGTTGGGAAAGGAGTAGTTGCTTAAAAAGGAGAAATTTAAATGAGGAAACTGATTGTACTTGTCGGATATCAGAAGGGATGGTATTCCAGAAGGAGACAGCTTGAATTATAAAGGATTTGTCAAACGCAGCAGTTCGGTGAGGAGGTGGGTAGAGGTCGGAAGTACGAGATCTAGTGGGACAGGATTGAATGGAATATGTAAATTGTAGGCTGTGAAAAATATAGGAAGGTCGATTAGTTCGGATGGCTTGGTATAGAAAGGTAGCAAGGAAGTACAGACGGCGGTTGGATGGATAGAACCACTTCAGCTTGGTGTAATATTGGGTTATATGCGAATCTCTTGAGATTCCGAAAACAAAACGTAATGCGCAGTTCATAAGGCAGTACATAGTACGTAGCAGACTACATTAGGTATTCTGTAGCATAATTGCAATCCTTCTGACCTAGGTGAATTTTTAGACACCTAAAATTTCAATTTTTTAATTTGAGCCCACTGGTTTTCGATGGCCTAATGTAAACGTCATTTCTTTCTTATTAAATAAATAATTTCATGAAGTACAATTTTAAGCTTCCTGAAATGTGTGAATTTTGACATTAAAATTTAAATATTTTAATTTGTGTCTGCCTTGGTTTAAATTGTACAGATGTTTTTTCTTTCCTATTTGTCATTTTGTTGTTAAAATTTTAAGGCTCCTAAAATTTATCAATTTTTGTACAAAGTTGCATCATTGAAATCAAGTCTGCCAATTGATAATAGCAGCCTGATCTATACCAATATTTTTCAGTAGATTGATTCATCCATCAGTTTAATTTATCCTTGATCATCAGGGACATCTTGGGTAATCCTAGACATTATATTTTAAAGCAACAACTATCGAAGGGTTGATGATGCCTATTTTACTTAGAATATCATAGTGTTTCAGAATTAGCAATTAACTTTCTCTTAAAACAAGTAACCTATTTTGTTCTAGACTCCAGAGGTATTGCTGGTCCCACACTTAATTTAAATGAACTTCAACATTAAACACATGTGGAAATTAACAATCCTGTTTTAACTACTCTTTTATTAAATTTTCTAAATAAACAATTCAACCATACCAAGAGATCACTGCAAGAAAGGTGCTTAAAAAAAGATAATGATAATTATAGCAAAGTTACAATTTATTTACGAGTTGTATTTTCTATGACAGAATATTATCTCATCCATTTGAAACCAATGAGACAAGTTCAATGTGGATCTCTCCTGCACCTACTACTTTGTTTTTGCTTAATATGAAACTTTTGGAATATTAATTTACAGATGCACTTTTCGACAAGTTACAAATAGAAAAAAATAATCTTAGGAAATACTTCCTTACCATACAATCTCAGCTAGACACACAAGGTCATTCTGGACTATTGGGTTTCATAATTCCTTAAGGGACATGTAGGTTTTCAAGTTAAGCTACATAGCCTTGACTATAACATATGATTCTAGATGCCCTATTTGTGGGGTTCTGGAAATTGTAAAGTATGTGGTCATCACCTGCACTGCATTGGAAGGATGAGAACCACAGGAATTTATATCCTAAATGAGGATGAATTTCCTTAGTTGATGAGTAAGATCTTCACGCAGTTTAAGAAATTAATTTATGTCTGGAAGGAGAGAGTGTGTTCAGCCCAAATATTCCAGTCAACATTGGAGTCCAGAGAAGAGGACCTGCAGTAAGAATACTGCATTCACCCTTGAAAAGAGGTCACCGAAGATGTAAAAAGTGATCATAACTTGTATACTGTTTAACTTGCAGTAGTGTGTTATTCAGTCATGCATAACATCTCACTGCTGTAAACACCTGTATAGCCCATAGGCAATGGAGGGCGGCGAATAAATGAAATAGAAACAAAAACATCCTAAAAACCAAAATACTATAGAATCTCTGAGGTTACTTTTCAAATTTATAGCTCAGAAACTAATGAAAGGCGTTAAAAAATAATACCAAGAAATGGTAGACATAAAGAGAGGGAGCCATACCAACAAGTTGAGAAGTCGAAAACAAGATTACAACAGTGAACAAAATAATGCTTTTTTTATACTGTATTAAATATATAATTGACATTATTATTCTATATTTATTATACATATACTATATTTATTATACTGAATTAAAAAACTTCAAACAAATGTAAAAAGAAAATGGGGAAACAGAGCTGTGTTATAACAGTTACTCTAATTTTTTTATAAGAAAAAGTTAATTCATTATTACAATTTTTACCAAATGAAATTTAATAGAATGTTATAATCAAATGAACTACTTAATTTCTGATGTTTTGTTTTTGGAAATTGACCCCACTGCCACAAATGTGGCTGAGAACCAGAAACCCCAACTCAAGTATTGGGCAAATGTCCAAATATGCTCCTTGTCACCTGCCGTGTGTGTGTATAAATAATATAAAATGTCCAAATTCCGTGTGATAAAAAAATATAGATGCTTCCACGAAGTTTATTGTCTGAATACTGAGGGCTCAGAAAGATTCGTAGACATCTTGACCTTTAATACAACAGGAAAGGAGGCTCTTATAGTCAATCCTACAATTAGATATGAGACTAACGATGAGCAGCAAGATCTCAAGATACAAATTGAGGTGGAGGAAATATATAAAAAATGCATTCCATGCCTGAAAGAGGAATTTGGGGAGAGAAATTTTTCGGTATGAGGACTTAGGTTAGAAAGTACAGGGACAATTCCTCTTTCATTGGCTAGTTCTTTGGAAAAGCTCGGTGTTGAAAGAAATGAGATAAGAGTATGGCAGAAGCCATTATTTTGGACTGAGTGGGACAGAGTTCAGAAGAATGAGGATGAGAAAAGGAAAAAACACCAAATGACATTTTTATATACAAATTGTATCAAGCTGAATTGTTAGATATTGTCAACCAGACAGATTAGTATGCTGTATCAGTTAGCTACTCAACACAGTTGAGCGGCATTACAATTTTATTGTTTATTCTCTCTTCTTTCATAATATAATTTATCGAAATGGAGGGAATAAGGAAAAAAAAATTTTATTGACCTATAAAAGACAATTCTTTAAAACTAACTCAATTCACATACAAAATTTCATCGGTAATTTAATTTTGAAGGCCAATAAAAGTACACAAAAAATGGCAAGGAAGAGACAGAAAAAATTTCACATCCTCAAAAAGTACTTCTCCAACACCAACTCAATTTATATACAAAATTTCAACCCTCTCTACTTATAAAATTTCAACCCTATCCTTGTTAGGAGGAGGGACTATAGAGGTTCTACGGATTTTTTTACCTAGAAAACTAAAATACTGAATTTCAGCTAATTTGATTGAAAATGGACTGCTGGAATTGCCTAAATGTGACCAGAAAAAATTAGAGGCACACAACCACAAAAAAAAAAAAATTTGGATATGGCAAAATTATTTAATTAAATTGCCGATGAATAAATCTAATATTTTTAGAAAAAAAATGTGACTATGAAGGGATGAACATGAAAAATATTTGCTATATACAATTTTATGATATTTTATTAATTATTTTTTATACATAATAAATATAAAACATCTCGATATTTAATTATAAAAGCATTTAAAATAAATGAAACTAATTTTCTATCATATAATCTATATTAAGCAAAAATCTTTTCTTCTCGTCTCTTTTTCGCAACGACAACAGTTCCAGGCTTATGTTGAGCTTCAGGGTGGTTTAGAAGTTCCGGAGGGCACACAGACACTGGCGAAGCAAGTATAACTTGTTTCAAGTCATAAAAGAGAACAGAATCATCCTTCGTAAGAAAACTGATGGCGACACCAGTCTTACCAGCCCTACCGGTACGACCGATTCTGTGTGTGTAATCTACAAACATTAAAAGGACATATTAAATGATGAAGAAACAATTACCAAATATTGAGAAACATATGGTTTTAATATTTTACCTTCGATGGACTTAGCCATGTCGTAATTAATAACCAGAGAAACGTCCTTGATATCAATACCACGCCCAGCAACATCTGTGGCGACGAGTATGTCCTTTGTACCAGATTTCAAACTGGCCAATGCATATTCTCTTTGTTCTTGACCTTTACCACCATGCAATGTACAAGCATTGTACTGAAAAATTTAAAAGAGTTTAAATAATTATTAAAATCGATAAATTTTATCAATTGATAATAGATATAGTTTAAGAATTGATAGTTTTGTTAAACCCGAATAGATTGCTTCTATTCACTTAATAAAATTAAAGATTTAATGATAATAAAAAATTTAACCAGATTATAATACTTTCCTTAATAAAATAATAATTTAAAAAAATAAATGTAAGTAATCGTCATTTAGAATGGTGCTGAATAATGAGAGTTGGTAATAACTAAAAAATAAAAATTTGTGGAGAAGCAAATGCAGTCCCCACAGAAGTGGGATCCTCATTAATCTCTTCTCTAAAGTGAAATTTTCATTTTAAATTCAGTTAAACTTTGTCTTTTTTGTTGTGAAGAGGAAAAAAAAAATCATTAGGTTTGGAAGAAGAGATCCAATAAATAAAAAGACTTAAAAAATAAGAAGAAAAACAATGTGGAAAAACATAAGCAATTACAACAAGAAAGATATCTACAATTAACAAAAACATGGTCCGTTATTAAAAAATATTTATGGAGATTGAAATCAATTTTAATTCTTTAACTTTGATCAAATCAATGAAGCAGTATATTGGTACATATCACCCTAAAATATTGCGTCTGATTGCTCTTTAATCATAAAAAATAACTAATAATTTTTAGTTCGACAAAGATGAAAAATTTATATCCAATTCAATACATTTAAATATTTTTTCAAGGAAACATCAATTTATACAGATCGAGGTTTGGCTGTGTTTGTTTAAGTATTGTTTTTTAATATATTTGATAAATAGTAATCAATTACTTATGTTATCTTTTATTTTCAAATATAAAAACATACTTGAAAGAAATAGAATTCATTTCTAATTAACAAGTACATATTAAACTATAGATGGCTATCCTACCCTTACTATACCTAGTCGGTAAAGGATTTATAATATTAATGAAGCATTAGTAATAACCTACAAACCAAGTTAATATCAATTATAACAATTAAAAAAAAAAATTACTTACACCAAGTTTTTCCAATCCCTTGGCAAGTACATCGGCACCTTTCTTTTGATTGACAAAAATAATGACTGGAGGTTCTACACCTCTGCTCAATATTTCCATCAACTTCTTCCTCTTATCCTGTTCTGACATAATGTATACAATTTGTTCCGTCCTCTCGGTTGGTTTACCAGCGGAACCAATGTAGACGACTGCAGGGCGCCTCAAATATGTTCTAGCAAGCCTTTCAACAGCCGGTGGCATAGTAGCCGTAAACATCACAGTCTAAAACACAAAATTTAAATTATAACATTTCCACTCTAAATTTCAGTATATTGCATAAAAAAAACTTTTTAACATAATCCTAAAATAAAAAAGTGGCATTAAATACAACATTAAAAATTATTTAATGCATGTTGGTTATGATTTCCTTTAACCTTATTAAAAATTTCAAAATTTCTAAATGATCAAGATCGTGATTAAAGAATTTTCCAAATAAATTAATATTAATGCAGGATGACCAAACAACTATAAAGAGGTTACCTACCTGTCTGAATTTCTTCTTTGTATTATAATTTGCCAGAAGTTTAGTTTCATCTTCTGCATCCTCATTGTCAGGTTTTAAGTTGGTGACTGGCATATAATCTAGAATCTTCTGCACATCTGAAAAAAAAAAAAATCAAAATGAGTCTTTGACCAAAAATCTATTTTAAAAATAAATCAAAAGCTTTCAATTCATTGGAGAAATTAGCTAATGTTCTATGAATGAGAGTGTGATGTATGCCACATAACCAAACTTTTGTAGTCATATAAAACAACATTTAATGCCTTTATTATTTTAAGTTATTCATAAATCATTCAATATTACTTATTCTAAAACAGCATCTTCATTTCTATCACTACGAAAGATAAGGTTCTGTGATGATTATGGGAAATATTTTACTTTTTATTTTGATATCATGGGAAACTTGAACGACTCGATAAAAGTTCCAACAAGTTTCTCTAATACTTTATTTGATAAGGAAATTAAAAAAAGTTTTCAACAAAAAAATTACTTGCTGTAGACATTAATAACTATAGCAGTGATCTAAATATGCAATTTTAAATTAACTGAAATAATAAAGTTTGTTTTTTTATAGGCTTAAATTGTAATTACCTGGTTCGAAACCCATATCAATCATTCTGTCTGCTTCATCAAGAACAATGTACGTACACTGATTCAGAACCAAATACCTATTTTCTAAAACATCGATAAGACGACCAGGTGTAGCAATAACAATCTAAAACAGAAAAGTTGAAGTGTTTTGTGAATTTTTAAAAATGGGCATATATTTTAAATACAGTACTGCATTAAATCAATCAAAGTTCAATAACTGTTACTTTCGTATTTCATTTTCGCTGTCATCTTTTCAAAAAAACAGCCAATTTTTTTCTTCTAATAATTGAAAAATTGCTTTGATTTCTCAATCGATAAAAGATCATTCAAGATGTAATGAAATTATTATCGGTACTCCTTAAATAGCCAGTCGGATCCGACTGCTATCTGTCAATGTTTATAATCTCAACACTGATAATTCTGATAAGGCACTGCAATTCCTATCTTCGTATTCATATTTATTCTATTATATTCATATTATTGAAATTGTAAACAATAACAAAAACAAATGTAATAATAACAAAACAGTTTGATTAAATACTTTTATTTTACAACATATATATAAAATAGACAAAAACAAAACAATTATTCCAGCGCCTTGAAAATATTTGATAGACTCTTCTTTTGAAGAGGGCAATTCCCACAATTTAATATAATTTGACGAAAACCACACTAATGGAACAAAAATAAACGATGGAATAACTCGAGATGAAAAAGGGAGGTTATGTAACGTAACATTATATAACAAGGGAAGTTTCGTCCCGACCGGCTATTTAAGGAGTACCTTATTATGTGTTGCGTATACTGAAAGGTTAAAAGGAACATGAAAACGATGTAATCACCTACCTCACAACCTAATCGAAGTCTGAAACCTTGCTCTTCTCGGGAAAGACCTCCTACAACAACCACTGTTCGAATTCCCAATGGTCCTCCGAACTTGTTAGTTTCTTCCTCTATCTGTTGAGCCAACTCTCTCGTAGGAGCCAGTATAATAGCATAAGGTCCCTGAAAAGATAATATAACATAAATTTATCATACTACAGCTGATGAGCATATTTCGGTATATATTCTAGATATCAGTATCTGTCATATCGATTGGGAAATCCATATGACATATGTTCTCCTTCTTGAGGTTAAGTATTATAATGATATATTCCAAGTCTTTAGGAATTTTCTTTCCAACATGAAGTAAAACATACTATTAAAAATATATATAAATCTCATACCTGATCTGCATCTTCTAGTCTTTCAATCTTCGGTAAGGATTGAATCCACATCAATAGAGGAACCAAAAAGGCAAGTGTCTTTCCTGAACCAGTTTCAGCAACACCAATAATATCTCTGTTCTGAAAATAAAATAAATGTAAATGTAAAACAATCAGTCAAGTAACTTGCCGACTTACAAATGAATAAAACAATAAATACTTGCTCTAAAATTATACAAAGCATGTGTGACTATATGTAATTGATATTTTATTTTATTACGTAGTCTGTGCATTGATAAATTTAGATACTATATAGTTCTGCCCGGTCACTCGGGCATACTAGGCAACGAGGAGGCTGATGATTGGGCTCAGATACCATTCCTGTAACTCCCGAGCCTGTCTGTGGAATCAGCCTTAGCACTGCCAAGGGTAGGATCAGGGAGATTTATGGGAATAAATTTAGTAATTACTGGACCGACAAGAAACAGCGACAGTCAAAGCTGTTCCTTAAAGGTCCATGTGCAAAAAGAAGCAAACTGCTACTGAATCCTATCAAACAGCTACTGAAAAATAAGCTAAATTACCATATGTTCAATCTCCGAGTAATGACGAATCCGCTATGCAGATTCTGTCAGGAGGAGAATGAAACAGCCTTTCACATCGTGTGTAGATGTGATAGATTCACAAGGCTGAGACTGGTAGTATTTGGGAAGGAACGAATGGATCTCCCTAGTAGATATGAGGCGGTCAATCCAACCAGCCCACTCAGATACGCGGAAGCGACTAAAATAACGTTTTGATTAAAACGATTAATTGAAATTGGCGTACAATGGACCCATTTGGGGTCGACATGCCCTGGGCCAACATTAAGGAAAAAAAAAAAAAATAGTTCTTAGCAAAGTATGCGTTGTTAGTTGAATTTAATGTACAGGAAAATCTTGCAAATAAAGAAAAATTAATATATTAAAACTGTGGCTTATTGAGTGAAAGTATATTATCTAGTTTAGTCTGTTAAATTCAGAAAATATTCAATTGTTTCAATAGATAAGAGATTAAAGAAATAATAATTCTTTAATAATAAAATACAAAAAAAAAAAAAAAAAAAATATGCACATTGGAACTAAAAAACTTCAGGAATAAAAAAATTAATATTTCCAGGTTACTAAAATGACAAAACTAATAATATCTTCATCGAAAGATGAAACGATTCAAAATCAAAACTATTGATCAATAGAATCACCAGAGTAATTCTCGAATTTTTTAAATTTTATCTTTTGCATAAATTTAGATGCATTTTTATGATTGATAGTAAAATAGTAACTAATAAATACTATATATGAAAAAAAAAAGTATCTCAATATGATAACAATCTCATTATTTAAACAATTATAGTCTCTCTTTGAAGAGTTAAGACTTAATAGTAATGTGGTTTCACCCTTCGGGAACGATATATATTTAGATAAAACTTGTACCTGGAGTCCAATCGGGATAGCTTGCCGCTGAATAGGAGTTGGATCTTTGTAACCAACTTTATCAACGATTTCCATAATTTCGGGAGAGAAGTTGACTTCTTTCCAATTTCTAATGGGATCTGGAATTCTTCCTCCTATATTACAAATTAAGAGAAGAAATATAAGAAAATATAAAACTTTCAAAACAAAGATCAAAATACAACACAAAATTCTCAAAACTATTATGAAGTTCTTGTGAAATAAATATTAAGTATTAAGTAGGCTTTGAAGACTAGATGATATAGATCAGTTCTCATGGGAATCACATATGATCTATCATAATGTACTGATAGACTTTTAAGAAATTTAGAAATCCCAAACATAAATTTTGGAAAAGCATATGAAAATACTTAATGACACACCTTTTATTGTGATGTTATAATCTTCTCTAAATATCCTCCAGTCTCTTTCTGTCATTTCAGGAAGGTCTTTTTCTGACCAATGACGATCATCCCATTTTTGTTTGTCTTCTTTTTTCTTAACTTTCTTCAAACGGACTCTGAAAAGTGTTGACAGAAATCATTAGAAGTATTACGAAGATACATATAACATCATTGATGAATGACATTAGTCTAGATGATATAAAAGATGATTAAAAACTTGTAAGCGATAATATTCATATATTATTTAAATTAAGTGTTAGAAATTCAGAATTTAACAATTTCAAACTTACAAGAAAAAAACTGAATTGAAACTCTGACCAATTTTTAATTTCAAATTAAATAAAAAGAAAAATCCCACAATAAATATATCCATTATAATCAAGATAGCACATCGGCAACTTACTTTTCTTGTTCTTTTTCAGCTTCTGTTCTCCTTTTTTCCAATAGGTCTCCATAGAATTTGGACTGATCTCTTTTCTGGGCTTTTATATCGATACCGGCGACATTCCCTCGACCGAAGAATTGCACCTACAAATTAACTAACATAAAGAAACTATTCTACATATAAATAATTTTTCACGAGCCTAAAACTTGTAAACAGTTTTTATGATCATCTCTTTCTAAAATACTACCTGATGCCTTTCTTTGTAAAGAGGGTTATAATCAACTGATGTATCCTCGGTGGTATCCCAGTCAAAAACAAACTTTCTATCGTTCAATCTTCTTACTCTTCGTTTTTTTTTAATCAAGCCTAAATAGCGTTCTTTAATTGCTTCACCTTCTTTTTCTTTGTCCTTTACACTTTCCTTGTCTTCTACTCTTGCTTCGCGATTTCTTTCTCTCCTTAACAGAAAATAAAAAAATAGTATTTTAGTTAGAAAAAAATCAGACTTATGATTGTGGAATTATCCCAAGATTCTTTGAAAATCATTTCGAGATTATGAGAAATTTCAGAGAAAGGGTTCCAAAACGTTGATATAAACAAACGAAAAATCAAAGATAAATAATTAAGTAACTCTAGCAGATCTTTCAGCTTTTATGGCAATGAAAAATAGGTAATAGAGAAATGAAGGAAGAAGACCTTAACTAGAAATTATTTGCAGTACCTGTCATGATCTCTTGACCTACTTTCTGGAATCTCTGGAGCCCGGAATGCCTCAAAACGCTTTCTTTGTTCATCCAAAACTTTTCTCTGAGCTTCGACTTCTTCTTTCCTTCTTCTGATAGCTTCAGCAGCACGTTCTTCTTTATTTAAGAATTTTGGCTAAAAAAAATTCATGAAATACATATAATATATTTTTACATGCTTCGAAACTAAATAAAAAATATGTTTTTGACAAAGCAAATTTATCTGCTTCAAGAATTATATATATCATATTTCTAACTATAGTATAACATAATCATAAGCTATAATATAATACATAAGACTCACATATCTCTTTGGACGGACTACATCATGTAATAATAAAGATATTTTATTCCCATTTTTCAGAAAAAAAAAATGCGTCAAGGTTCAAAAGTTGAATAAAAAATGTACAAATAATTACCCCTTTATTGAATATTTAATGGTTGACCGTTGGATTATAAAGGAAGGAGATGGTCCGGGGTGGCGATCATAAATAGGCTAAATAGAGGCAAAACTATTAAGCCTATTTATGACCGCCACCCCAGACCATCTCCTTTCCTTATTATCCCTTTAATAATAATTGCTAAGTTTTTGGCTACCCATTTTTTCAAGGCAGGTGGGGGTTTCAGAAACTGCATATAGTTTCTTTATCTATTCGAAATATCATCATATCTTATATTTATATTTGTTCGAAAGAGGAATGGATCTACTGACGAATTTAACATATAATCAAAAAAGCTAGATACTACAGACACCTCTGCTAGGCGTAATTAATATAAACTAGATTGAAATATAAATACTACTGGATTTCTTTGCCATTAATATCATTGTAACTCTTCTTTTCTAGAAAAAATTTTCATGAATCTCCTACTTTTTTAAACATAAAAAGATAATGAAGTTTCAAAGTATTTTTTCATAAATCTATTTATTTGCCTAACTTTCAGGACTTTGTGATTGGGATACTTATAATTGTAAACAGTTAATTATAAATCAAACCTTTAGGGATGAGCATGACAAATAATAGCAGCATAGTTCAGATAAAACAACTCTGCTTCTATTTAGAAGGCATTTTATGTTATTGCAGCTTGTAAGTAGCAGCCTAAGAGGAAGTTAAGTCACTAATTGTTTCACATAGGCTTGGATCAACCTTATGCCAGGTGGAATAACTTTAATTGTTAAAATCCTTCAGCTTTATGAATGAATACACAAATTTTGATGGTTTCTATGAATGTATATACAATTTATAATAGAATCATGAGGTTTTGTCAGCGGTCTAATTCAACTATTTCAAGCATAATGAACAGTTATGCTAATCCTTCCATATAAGTTGACAATAAAAAGGGAAGCTATGTTTCCGAGCAGAGTTTCAGTATGTTTGGAATGATTTGTTAGAAATGTGATGTTGATCTTTGTAAAATATCATATAATATGTTTGATTTGTTTATTTATTTCACTGCCTCTTATTAATTTTTTTGAGTCTAACAAAAAGAAGGTTTAAGATGTTTGTAATTTTAAAATAATGCATGTTTTTATTCAAAATGGTTTGTGAAATTTTGTTCTCCTTTTGGCACGTATTTCCAAGGCAGTCCACAGAGAGATGAGTGTGACATATATCAGATCCTCTGCCTCCTTCACAAAAGGTAGGATTTTTTCAGGCCTAGTTTAAAAATTATTGTCCTTGGGGGGTAAAATGACCATAATTAGAATAAACGGTATAGCTGTAGGTCGATTGGTATAACAGGCAAAGAGAAAAGAAATCGAGCAGAAACCCAGTTAAAAAATTTAGCCAAGGAATGTAATACAAGATCAATGCAAGCATATTACTATTCCCTTCTAACATAAATTGAAACTTATATCAGAACAACTCATTTAATATAATTCATTTTAAGTCAAGAGAGAGCATTTACAAAGATTTAAATAAAAATAACAAGTTTATGAAGAAGAAAACCAGCTCAGCTAGATCGCCAGTCATAGTATGTAAGCAGGTGAAACATTAATTCAATTGCACTAATGGAATACAAATTACTTTCAAATAGCCATGAATTAATTAAAAACATAAGATGAATTTTACCTTGCTTTTGGCGGCTTCTTCAGCTTTTTTCTTGGCCAAAAGTTCTTCTAAAGAAAGTGGTTCCTTTTTGTTATTTGAAATTTCCTCCACTTCTTCCTCTTCCTTTTTACCTTCATCCTTTTTATTATCAGTTTTAGTTGCTGGAGGCCTAAAATCATCAATAATATTTGAATTTAAAAAAATACTAAAAAATATATGATAAATTACATATGTTGTAATATAACTTACGGTGATTTTTCTAACTTTTTTATTTTATCTCTTTCCCTTTCTTTGTCCTTTTCACGTTCACGGCTTTTGCTTCTTGAACGTGACCGATCCTTTATTTTGTCTCTTTTTCGCTCTTTAGATCTGCTTCGAGACCTTCTCCTTTCTCTCCGGTCCCTTTCTCTGCTGCGACTTCTGCGACCACTTTTTCTTTCAACGCCCATCTAGAATTAAAATAAGCATTATTTTAGTAGGTTTAAGGCCATTTATACTTTAACTAGCTGATCTCCATCCAATAAATTGTGTTTATTCTAAAATAACAGATAACCATCATATACATTTTTTTTTTTTAACTAACCAGCATACAGTATAACTAATAGCATACAGCCATAAATGTAACAATGACAAAAACTTTGTTTCTGTAATGTTTAGATTAGGTTGTGTTGTGATTAAATAGACTAAATTGCAGTAAAAATTTATAACAATTTAAGAAGCAACCAACTGTTAAATTACCTTTAGGCAGGGATAAGATCTGTTTTGTACATAGTACATCCAGCTTCAGTAAGATCATAAATGACATGAGATAAGTAACAAGACAGCAATCATTTTTGAGATTTTTTATGGTTGCCGATGTTTTCAACCAAAGATGGGAGTCATCATCAGGGTATGTTTGGGTTGAAACGTTGGCAACAATAAAAAATCTTAAAAATGACTGCTTCTCGATTATTTATCTTGTGTGATATGTCAGTCGACTAACTCCCTCCAATAATTCCAGATTATAAATCCACCAAATAAAAATATTAAAAATCTTTCTGAAGAAGATGGTCCTACAGATTTTATAATCACTAAGTTAATACGATATCACTTGTATCATCTCAAGAGATCACGTAAAACTGTGACAACTATATTTGAAACAGAAAAAATCCAATATATTCTCTATTTTTTAGACAGAAATAGAAAAGGAAAATCTATTCAAAGATGGGAGCTGATTTCAAGATCACATTAGCAAACTGTCAATAATATCACAAACAAACTGAGTGCCAGAAAATGGAGGGAGATAACTAATTATCAATGCTGTATCAAAACTGTCTTAAAATTAAGATGCACTGAATTGTTTATCATGTACTATATACAAATCTCTTTGCGCCTTATTCTATATATAAAGAAGGATAATGCAAGATTTTATAGAATTTATTCTGGCCAAAGAATATAAAATAATTCTCTAATCGTAAAATAGAAAAATAACACTTTTAACAAAATCATTCACCCATTACTAATTATTTAATCATGCTATAAATAAAAAATAAATGTAGATATTGTTTACAAACCTTATTTAAAACAGAGTAATAATCGATGTAACCAGGTAGGAACCTTCACTTAGTCCATTTGATGTAAATAGGGTAAGTTCCTAAAATAAGCGCTAATTTCATCAAAGGAACTCATCAATTGATATAACAGTCGTTTTCCAGCACCAATGGAAAGCCATTTATGCTGAGTTTAGGAACGACCTGCTGGATACTAGCGGAAAGTTAACATTGATGGAATGTTACAAAACGCAAAAAATAAAAAACAATATGTTTTATTTTTTAAATTATAATGTATATACAGCTACTTAACATAACCATGTCTTGTGGAAAAATTATAAGTAAAAAAATGATTTTAGAAGAAGGAGATGGTCCGGGGTGGCGTTCATAAAGAGACTAAAATAGTGCAAATACTATTTTATTTTTTGGTTTATTTTTGTGGCTTTATGCATGGGCATATTAGCCAATATCACAGGCGGATCTACGGGGGGGGGCTTTCGGGCTGAAGCCCCCTCCCCCAAAAAATGGTAAAATATAACTATGTTTTACAGAAAAAAAATATTAAATACTATCTTTTAAAGTATTCTTGTTCGTGTAATTATATTTAATAAGACTTCAAGAACCATTTAAACACTATTTCATATAGGTAGTTAATTTCTTTCCTTTTTTTTCAAATTAATTATCGTTATATTTATATGGAAAAAAAATCTTTAGGGCTGAAGCCCCCACCAAAATTAAATCCTGGATCCGCTAGTGGCCAATATAAACTATTTTATTTTATCCAGCCAGTTTTAACTGAAACTCCATGCTGCATGCACCCCTCTGAAGAAGAGCTGCAAAGTCGGGTCGAAACGTTGGCTTTAAATAAAATATTTTTTCCACTATTTTAGCCTCTTTATGACCGCCACCTCCGACCATCACTCCTTCCTCTAAAATACACAACGTTCAATCAATAAGTATTCAATAATAGATTATTGGTCGTATAATTATGTTTTTAATAGCACTTCAAGAACCTCTTAAACACCATTTCATATAGGTAGGTAGTTTATTTATTTTTCTTCCCAAGTAATTAACGTTTTTTATATGTATTTTAAAAAAAATTCAAGATGAAGCCTCCCCCTCAAAATTAAATCTTAAATTCACTATGGAATTCGGCTGCCTTCAGCGCATCCATCGACTTCCAAGTCCAAGGATCTTCTGGGCCATCGGTAATTAAACCGATAAATAAAGAAACGCACTGAATTCCATTTATAGTCCCATCGATGAGTATAGGAACGGCCTAATGAATTTTCGAAGCCTATCAATGAGCTCAGCGTTAAGTTTAGGAACTCGTTAATAATTCATTATTTATTAATTAAAGCGAGTTTCATTTAGCGATAAAACAATTAAATTATTTTTAAAATATAAATAGAATCAATGATATCAGTAAAATATACAACTTATGTCTTTGAACTCACAAAACTTTGTAAATTTATTTTTTTGTAAAAGCTAACTGCATTACCTAAAAATAAAATTTATTATCATATATTGTAAAAATAGAGTAAATTTAAACTCTAATTTCGTTCATATTTAACAAAAAAAAAAGTATTCGAAATTATAGTTTCATTTTTCAATAGTTGGTAATACCAAGTATTCCTTCAATGTCGACACGCTGTAAACGTTCCTTACTACACAATGGCTCCTGTAAGTAGAAATGTGGGATATTTACTATATTTATTATTTATTTACGGTTTGATCTATTACGGCTATAACTTTGCTAATTATTGTCGAAATGATTCCTTATGAAAAGAATTATAAATAGTATTTTGACTTTTCTAATTTCAAAACTTCTCCTATTTTTCCAACAACTATAAATTAGTTGTATTTTTAATTCTTCAAAGATGAGTGGTTTTAGATATTTTGAAAATGTTAGTAGTTAATTAAAATTAAGGATGTTTCTGATAAAATCGGATGATATTGTCACATGTAGGGTATAGGTTATGTTGGGTGTGTTATTATTAGGTTAAAGTTTCTCTTTTCTATCATTAGTTTCGTTTCATATTAATTTCTCTGGTTTTATTAATGTGATTTATTGATTGTATGTTATTATGTATCATGCTTTCAGGCTAAAAAACCAGCACCAGCCGCTAAGAAGGTGCCGACAACCACTGTCACCAGTGGTAAGGCTGGCAAAACCGCTGCAGCTTCTTCCAAGGCAGCTCCAGCGCCAGCTGCTAAAGCAGCTGCAGCCAAATCAGCAGCTCCCACTTCTGCTAAACCATCAGCCAAACAACCCGCTCCAGCTCCTAAAGCCGCTCAGCCCAAAGCCCAGGCGAAGCCTGCCGCTCAACAACAAAAGCCTGCTAAACCACAGCAGCAAACAAAAACTGCAGCTCCGGCTAAAGGTCAAGCTAAGCCTGCAGCCCAGGCAAAGCCCGCTGCTCCAGCTGCAGCTCCTAAACAACCCGCAGCTCCAGCTGCAGCAGGAACTCAACCTGCCGCAGCAGCACCCAAGAAAGCTCCTTCAGGTGCAGTTAAAAAAGCAACAACTGCGCCCAAAAAAAGTCAAAATTTACAGAAGAAGTCCCACCAAGGTGTTAGGAAACAAGTGTTAAAAGGAAAAGGACAGAAAAAGAAAAAAGTATCATTAAAGTTTATAATTGACTGTACTCATCCATATGAAGACAAAATTATGGACGTCGCCAACTTCGTAAGTTCTTTTAATTTTTTATGTTAACATCATTATGTTTTTTATGAAAAACATAATGTTTTTCATGTTAGTTTATATGAAGTGCAATTATTTTGGGTTCAATAATTTTTGTTTTAGTACATATTATATTCCATTTCCCAATTTTTTAATATTTTGCTAACACTTGTTTTTCACGTAACATCAGTTTGGTTATGTGGCGGAAACTTAATATTTAAATTTAATTGTTGTTTAACCTTATTATTGTGATACAAGTTATACTACCTCTTGCGATCAAAGTAATTAAAGTTCCGAACCTTATTGTGAGGATAAATTCTTTTCTGAAAAAAAAAGTAGTGTTATTGTTATCCTTTAATATTTTGGAAATCTGGAATTAGTTCTGTTTCATTGTGTATACTTGAAAATATTTCTACTTGTTTTGTGCTAGAGTCTGAATTATGAATTCTTTAATTCACAATTAAATAGTTACTTAGTTGCTTGAAAATTATTTTTTTCAATCTGATTCTCTTTAAATAAGATTATTCATATTGACTTTCATCCTTTTCCCATACAGTGTAATAATTTACTTGTAGATGTAATGATATTGAAAAATTTTTATACAATTTTGGTAATTGAATTGAATTTTTTTTTTTTTTTTTAGGAAAAGTATATTCAAGAAAGGTTTAAAGTTAATGGTAAAACCAACAACTTAGGCAATAATGTTACTTTGGAAAGGAACAAGATGAAAATAACTGTTACTTCAGATGTTCATTTCCCTAAGAGGTATAATAGTTTGTTTGTTATATTTTGTACAAACACTTTTATTTTAAAAAAAACATTCTAAAGTATTTCCATTGTACTAGCTAGTACAATATATGTTTATTCAGCTAGCATCCTATTTTGTTATGCAAGTTTAATCTTTTTGGAAAAATTAAAATCCAATCTCCTTAATTGGTTTGTCTGAAAAACTTTTTGAGCCTTCTAGCAGACCTGGACAGTATTTCAAATGGAATATTTTATTCCAAAGATATTGAAATATAAAAAAACACATTTTAAATACACCGAATAAATTAATTGATTGAGTAGATTTCCTATCAGTAAGTAATGTGTATTTTGTTTTTAAAATACCCTATTTAAAAATTACGAAAAATACTGTGTTTTTAAATTATAATTAAAATACTTTATGCCCAGGTCTGCTTTCTGTCTTATCCTCGGGAAAATTTTATTCTTAATGAGACATAATTATTAGTATCTTCTACATTAAGTTTCTCAGGTCAAATTTTATTTTCTTAGCTAATTTTTTGTTTCTAATTTTTGCTAATAATATAAATGTGCATGATATAAAGTTAACTATTTTTAATATAAGAAATTCAGTTCTCATTAAATTTATAGATATTTCATTTGTCTATATTTTAGTGATATGCCATGGCTTTTATTTGTACACCATATAGATTTTTCTTATATATCACATCAGTTATTGATATTTATATTTTTATTCTTTGTTTTTGGCAATAATAACTTCCAATTAGACAACAATTGATTTATTTGTTGTATTTCCAAGTTACATGTTAACGTTTCGGGATATTTACTCCCATCTTCAGAACTACAATTCCAATGTTTCTTTGTTGATTCATGGCTAAAAATTGAATTAAATATAATACATGTCAGAATTGAGTTATTGCATTAAATTTGTAATTACCTTAAGTCTAATGTGCTCCATTGTCAGGTTCTCTAAATTCATGTTATAACAAACTAAAATATATAATATCCAGAGCATCATCATGCCTTTAGACCAATAATTGGGTGTCTGCCATGGTGCCATTTACGAGTCTACTAAATAAGCTTTTTTGTCTTATTATTATATTCTGTTCTGTTATTCTTCTAACATTTTTAATAATGTTTAAGGTACTTGAAATATTTGACTAAGAGGTACCTTAAGAAGAACAATTTGAGGGATTGGCTGAGGGTTGTATCTAGTTCGAAGGATACCTATGAACTAAGGTACTTCCAGGTATGTATTATTTTTCAATTTGTATATTTTGTGTTGTATTTTTTCGATTAGTAACTCATCAACTGTTTTTTTTATTTTCAGTTTAATAGCCAGGATGATGATGATGAAGAGGACAATGATTAATTTTAACAAAATGAACTCTTTTATGATGTTTAATAAAAATAATGTATTAAAATTTCATTTCTTTTTTATCTATTTATTTTAATTTATCCAATTTTATATCCAAAACAACTATTTTAAAAAAAAATACCTTGACTGTTTCTATTATTGTGACTTTCGAGACAATCTAGCTAGTTAACTATGGTAATATTTTCTTCAAAAGCTGTATTAATGCACTATTATCAGATTGCAACTGCTCTTACGAATTGCTCTCGGTGCTTTTGTTTTTCTTCCAAATTAAAAACCATTATCACTTAAGTTCCTTACTGCTGGGGTCCCTAAAACTTCTGTTTAATTAGTCATGCAAATCAGTATTTGTTGTTGAATATAATTTATTTATATTACTTTGAACTGTAGAACTTCACGTATCGCAATTTTGGTAACTTTTCAGTTTAGAGAAGAAAAAAACTATATTTTTTTTATATTTTCTTTTAAACAAAATAAATGACGATGTATTGTAACTTAATCATTTATCTTCAAGCAGAATTTGGTTCAAAACAGTTGTTAAAAGATTTAGTGGGGATTAGAGAAATACATGCAATTTCAATTTGTCATAACTTAAAATGCATTATGTTAAATCAAATTTTGAAATATTCTTGGTTTCATAATTAATGTTATAGAGGAATTTTAATCCTTTCCTGATGTTTCAGTCATTTGACCTGAGGTTTGTTTTAGTGCACTATTTTTTTTTTTTTAATCAACAAGGTCGAAATCCACAAAGACATCAGTTCAGTTGCATCAAAAATGTATTTAGTGTTTTTTTTTGCAGTAAACTGACATTTCTCTTATGCTATGAACAATCTTCCAATAATTTCAGTAAAATAGGAAAAGAATAAAATAAAATTACAGATGTAATAATTTATCTTGATTCGATGTTCGGAAGAAGAAAAAACGAGTGTAACTTATGTTTCAATTTGTATTAGGAGTGTCCTACTTTGCTAATATATAATTAGGCTTTCTTCTTTCTTATCAAACTGCCCTTATTAGCTAAATATCCTTACTCCTTATGCATGTTATTGCATTGTAAAACCCAATGATGTACAGCAAACATTTTTTTTACGATTGATGTGCCTTCTGGTTGAGACGTTTTCTGATATGGTATTTACAAGAGTATTCTTTGCATTGAACAAATGCTGTTAGTATTGTTCAGTCATTTCCTAGACAGAGAATACTATCCAAAAAGCTAGAAAATTACTATTAAAGTCAACTATTTTGCTCCTCCATCATGAGCAGTGTGGGAATACTTCCTAGTGATGAGCTAAACCTAGGTAGTATGGATGAGGGAGATTAACATAGTACTCTGGTTTTTCATATACTTTTCCTTTGATAGTATTTGGTTGCCAGGAGTTCTCTACCTGTTCTACAAGTATGAACTATTACAGATTCATCTGAATAGGATATTGAAAATAAGGAGTAATTTATTTGAAACAAAATAATAGAATCTGGTATTCAATAAGATGCTTGGAGTGTTGGAAAAATAAAGATTCTTATGAATAAGATCTGTATGTTTTATCCTAAAATAACAGGCATATAAAAATATGAAACCAACCACTAGGTAGTCAGGTATTGAGAGAAAGGTCTGCTTCCTGGTCTAGTGATGCTTGGTTACTATATGTTGTAATTTCCACAAATTCACCAACATATATTATATCTTTCATATTAAATGACTACTTAGTTTATTTAATTTTATCCTATTTTGGGAGTGACAGAGTTCATGGAACTTAGTATGAAAGATTGGAATTGAAAATTGAATTGGACATTTTATTGCTCAGAAAAATTACAATAAAGTTTATTCTTCACCAATTTATTGATATAATTGCAATATTAAGGTGATGATAAACTGGTGAATAAACACGGTTTGCGAAAAAAAAAATTATTATTTTAAATTAGACTTAAGTTTTATCCAAAAATGAAGAATGAGTATTGGTCCCTAATGTTAATTGTAGTCCAAAGATGCCAGCGTATGATAAGGGCCTGTCTCTCTCCTCCCCCCCCCCATCATACTACTGATATCAACAATCCAAATATTATCTACTCTCTAGTGACCTTTTATTAAATTACTGCATAATAAATAACTATTTGACAAGGCTTAGTCTTTTCGACCATTATATTGACAACAATATTTGTTTACATAAATCGAAGTTATTTGATAAATCAATTTGTTTTATAATCCATTCAAGGACCACAAAATTCACATGATATGGCAAATGAAATAAGAACTCAAAAACAATTATTAATAAAATCATAAGGACGTTAAATATAAGTAAACAACAATAGCAATCGTTTAAACTTATTCATTAGATAACATAAAGTTATTTATTTAAAAGTAACTTACCAAATGATTTTTAAAAAACATTAAAATTTTAACAAATTTGATAAATTATTAATATATTTATTCATTTTATAACTGGTGTGCAATAAAATGTAGGTAAAACGATTATTAATACATTCCATGACAACCAAATGTACTTTTGCCAAAATTGTATTTATTAATAAAAGGTAAAGTAACTGATTCATGTTTCGCGTTTATTTGTGCAGTTTTAAAAACAAGGTCACGAATTGAAATTTAAATAACTTTTCTCCTGCTATTTTTCGAGCTTTGGCAGTGTTGACTGCCTGGTTACTGCACCTGCGACAGAACAGCTGCTCTCTGCTAGCTACTCCTGACTTAGCTTATTTGTTGTTTACAGTTCGTCAATCTACCTCCAAATATTCTCTACATATTATTATTATCTGAGTGTCATAACACAAAGATGAAGTTTCAGTACAAAGAAGAACATCCTTTTGAAAAAAGGAAAGCTGAAGGAGAAAAAATCAGACGAAAATACGCTGATAGAGTTCCCGTAAGTAATGTCGCATTTAGACCTTGATGTCATAACAAAGGATTTTCTTTATCCCAAAACAAACTTATTTCTGATTCAATTTTTATCTTTAAACTAACTTCAAACTTGAGTTATTATCATTCTAATGCGTTCTTTTTAACATTATTAATTATTTTGTTACAATGATGCAATTTTAAAAATTACTTAATAATTTTCAGCCTTAATTTTTATTTACTGATTCATGTTAGTCCTATAACTTGAAATTATTAAATTTCAGATAGTTTTTATTTAATTATAAATAAAAACTACAAAATTATTGTTTTCTTAGGTCATTGTTGAAAAAGCTCCTAAAGCCAGAATTGGTGATTTGGACAAAAAGAAATATCTTGTACCATCAGATTTAACTGTTGGTCAATTTTACTTTTTGATCCGAAAACGTGTCCAGCTTAGACCAGATGATGCTCTTTTCTTTTTTGTGAATAATGTGATACCTCCGACAAGTGCGACAATGGGCTCTTTATATCAGGTATTTTTTATTTATTTACTTATCATAGTTTTACATGATACATTGTATGTTATGATTATTTGATTTTTTATTTGTGTCCTAGGAACATCACGAAGAAGATTTTTTTCTCTATATTGCATACAGTGATGAAAATGTTTATGGGCATTAAAGTTCTTTTGCACTATGCTTCAGAGTAATGCATATTTTCATATTTAACTTTAAGATTTAAGTGATATTTGCTGTAATTAGATACACTACATATGTCATTGAACTTTCAAGTTTATAATATATATTGTGTAAACATTTGATATATCCTAATAGTTATGTTATACTCACATTTTTCTATTTTATTTTTGTAGGCATAATTTTATTCCATTCACATTTTATGTATATAAGTTTATTACATATACCTTGAATTTGTTTTATTTTTAGTTTTAACTACTGTTTGGGTGCACTATTGATGTATATGCTTTTGTTAAATATTTTTAATTTTATCTTTGTCCATCCATATGATACAATATATCTAGTTCATTGAATATGCTCTGTATCATTGTCTTTATATCCACAATCCAAAATTAATACGAACAATTACCTATATCAAATCCATTGTATACTATCTAAGCATTAGCATAGACAAAGATGGTATGTTAGCTTGTATTTACTGTTCAGTATGTTTTGTTTTGTTCATAAGTGTGAGATGTAATTAAAACAAATGATGGCACTATTCATTTGCATATTTTATTATATTTTTGAATTATTTGGTTGTGTTAAAGGAGTTTACAGTCAGTAAGTGAGTTTAGTTTTAAGTTATCCTTTGTTCATAAACAAAAAAATAATAAATATAACTAAATCTTATCGAGATTTTTTCCCAGATATCCAAAGTATTCCTCTGTTTCCAAATTGCAAGTAATGATGCTTATTTCTTGAGCGCATGAGTAATGTGTTATATAAATCCTCTTCTAATAACTGTTCTATTTCAATGATTGCATTATTTAATTTTTCTTTTTAAAGATTAATAAGTATGAATGTATGATTAAATTTAAATAGTATTGGTTTGTTATTGTAGACATATTAAAACAAAGAATGATTTTTTCCCTGTTTATTGGAATATACCATCAGTAATGTGTCAGAAGTATGGGATAAACTTTTCTGGTTTAGATGACTATGGTATTATACAAAATATTAATGACAAGTTTACAGGAGAAAAAATTACCATTTTATATGATCCAGGGTTTTTCCCTGCCATGTTAAGTACTAATTTGAGAAATGATGGTGTACCTCAAGAGGGAAATCTTAAGAAGCATCTTATACTATTTGAAAAAGAATTGGAAAAAAATATACCAGATAAAAATTTTTCAGGTACTATCCTGTTCTTTGAAATTTTTAAAATCGCCTATAGGAGTCCTTAAGTCATGGAAGATGGATTAATAATTTCTTTTGCTGTTCTAAGGTGTGGGTGTAATAGATTTCGAACATTGGCGCCCTATATGGAGAGAGAACTGGGGAATTCTGGACAAATATAGACAACATTCCATTAAGATCGAAAAGGAGAAGCATCCTTTCTGGTCAAAATCAGCTATAGAAAACCGAGTAAACCTTAAAATACGAAACAGTCTTAATTACAAAAAAGAAAAATTGGTGAAATTCATATCACTCATTTCTTTAGTTTTTATTATTGTGTTTTTAAGGCGATCCAAAGATTTGAGAAAGCTGCTTCAAGGTTCATTGATGAAACACTCTCTAAAGCAATGAAACTAAGACCAAGAGGCCAGTGGGGTTACTATGCATATCCTTACTGCTTTAATTTTACTCCAAAAAATCCTGATAAGAAGTGCACTCAGAATGTACAAAAAGATAATGATAGGTAATTCAATTAAGACTCTTAATTTAAATCTTAAGTAATTTTTTTTTTTATATTAGATTTTAACAACCACTACAGGCAGATTTACAGGAGGGAGGCTTTCGGATTTTACCCCAAAATGGTAAAATATAACCATGTTTTATAGCGAAAGATATTAAAAACTATCCCTTAAAGTCTTATTGTTCGTTTAATTACATTTAAAAGGACTTTAGGAATCACTTAAACACCATTTCAAATAGGTTGTTAGTTTTTTTTCCCTAAGTAATTATCATTATTTTTATAAAAAAAAAGCTTTCAGACCTAAGCCTCCCCCCCCAAAATTAAATCCTGGATCCGCTAGTGATTTAATAGGACTTCAAGAATCATGTAAACATCATTTCATATAGGTAGTTAATGTCTTTATTTTTTTTCAAATTAATGATCATTATATATAAATAAAAAATAAAAAACTTTTGGGCTGAAGTCCCCAAAATTAAAGCTTGGATCTAAAACCGTTAACAAAAAAAAACAGTTATACCAACAATTTAAAATTAAATTAAATTTTTTTTAAAATATTAAAATAATTTAGAAAACAAGTCATTTTCTTAAATTTGTCGTTTATGTTAAAAAGAATTCGTAACAGGAGACAGATTCTTACATTACATGAACAATTAGTTAGTGTCTGTTCCACTAGCGGATCCAGGATTTAATTTTGGGGGGGCTTCAGCCCGAAAGATTTTTTTTTTAATAAATTTTCATAAAAATAATTTGAAAAAAAAGAAATAAATTAACTACCTATATGAAATGGTGTTTAAGTGGTTCCTAAAGTCCTATTAAATGTAATTAAACGAACAAGAATACTACAAGAGATAATTTTTTATCATAAAACATGGTTATATTTCACCATTTTGCGGGGGGCTTCAGCCCCAAAAGCTCCCTCCCCCCGTATACCCGACCGTGATTATAGCGACTTGGTAGTACTCGGGAGTTATTAGACATATTTTTTACTCGATATATAAGGAAATAATATTTTGACAAATTCTGATTGTTTTATAATGATGTAGAGATTAAAATAATTAATATATTATTATTAATTAATATTAAAATAATTAATATATTTTAATTTATTATTTATTTGACCGCATCCTCGACTAACTCCTCATATCTGAATGTTTTATTTTAATATTTTTTTAGAGATAGTTTTTAATATTTTTTTCTATAAAGTATGCCCCCCCCTCCTCCGTAGATCTGTCTATGAATATTGTTATAAAATAAAAAGAAATTAGTAGCTTCAAAGAAGTGATTACCTGACTTCAATGTGTTAAAGCAGGGGTATCCAAACTACAGCCTGCGAGCATCTCCAATCCGCCCCCATAAGTTTCTTTGATTACAAGGAAAAATTTTAAAAACTATTAAGAAACGTGAAATTAACAAATCACTAACACAAGAGGTTACTAAAACATTTATTGCATGGTATGTTTACTTTCACTTACGTATATATGAATATATAGTAAGGGTAAGTATTGCGATCGAGAAAATTTTTGAATCTAAGTTTTCAATGGAAATACAAGTTTTAGGGAACCCTGTGTCCAAATAACCAAGTCCCGAAAAACGGCCTGTGTGTGTGAAAACTAGCTAGAAAACGAAAAGTCGTACAAACCTGTTATTACGTATTTAAGATAGGTATATACTTTAGATGTCGTAGCAACGTTTTCTTAAGTGCCTCTTTATATCCACGCTGAAACACATTTTCATAATTTTTTCAAAAACGGCTCTAACGATTTTGATTAAACTCGGTGTTTCATTGTATAATTAAGTGGTCTTTAATATCATTCAGGTCTTATCCCCGTTGATGTCACATTACAGAGCTTGAATGCCCAATGTTCATATACGTATTCCTCTAAAGTACCTTTAATATGGTTTATTTTAAATAATAAACTATCTCTCATAATTAAGAGTTACAAAAAAATGCTAAATATAACTTTTGAAAGAATTTGATAATTGAATAAAGGAGAAAAAAATAAAAATGCTTATCCAGGTCAAAAATGAATCTCCGGAAATACTTGTCACAAGGTATACCTATAATATATCGCTTGAAAGCGAAGAATTAAAAACAAAACAATATCTAATATAGAAAGTTTTAGAAGATAAAGCAGAGTGGCGAAAACATTATAAGTAATAATTTCAGAAAACTGACATTATTTAACGTAAATCATATGGTTCCAAGAAAATTAATAAATGAAATTGTCTTACTATATATAAACTTTTAAATGTTTTTCTAAGACTGAAAAAAAAGTATCCAAAAGCGCATCAGATTTTTTCTCTTAAAAAAGTAAAATATTATTTATAGAACAAGATTTTTACTTTCACTTAACTATATATGAAATATATAGCAGGAGAAAGTCCATAAAAAATTCGAATTTGAGTTTTCAACGGAAATATATGTTTTGAGATCTCTTCAGTCCAAATAACCAAGTTCCGCAAAATGGTCTGTGTGTGTGTTAACAGTCTACCTCAAAACGTAAAGTCGTAAGAAAGTGAAATTGCATATTTAAGATTTTTATATGCTAGGGATGTTACAGTAATTTTTTCGTCAAAATCGGCTAACCGGAATTGGCAATTTATATTATGGACTAAACACATTTTTACGATTTTCTCGAAAACGGCTTTAATGATTTTGATTAAATTCATTATATCAGTGTGAAATTAAGCAGTTTTAAATAAAATATAGGTTTTATTCTGATTGATGTTCTCTAACAGGGCTTAAATGGCTAATTTTCAATATTAGCTTCTCCTAAAATACCTTCTTTTTTTTTTATTTGAAACAATTGACCATTTCACATTCAACTCTAATATAAAAGATAGTTAAATATAAAATATGAAAAATTTGATAATTAAATAAAGGAGAAATAATGGATCATAACGGAGAATTATAATTAAGGAACCAAAGGAATAGGAGCGCACCCCGAAAGATTAGAACAGGCTTTCATACATAACATGAGCTTAATATAATACGGACTCCGACAATATTATATAAATATACATATGCGGTTTTCATAAATGCTATTGTTAGTATCATTTAATTAGAAATACATTACAGCGATATAAATATTAAGGTTTTTATTTATAAGGGTATTTATATTTCCGACTGCTCCAACACTTGCTAGACAAACGCTCTAAACTTTCAATTAATTACAAAAGACTCATCTACTTAACCATAATAAGATCTTTATGGACTTATGGAGTTGAGCTTTGGTGTTCTACCAAACCATCGCATACATTCCTGTCGTATCTAATACTTACAATCCAAAATCCTTAATGCTCCATACTTTGTCACAAATAAAACCATTCATGAATACCTTAATGTACCATATGCCGCTGATTTAGATCGAGCCAGATATCTATCCTTTCATGATAAACTCCAGTCCCATCCGAATCAACTTGTTTCCAGCCTTGCTTCTTCCTCGATTCCTGATAATCCCACTAGGCCACGGGTGGATTTACAGGGAGGGGGGAGGCTTTCGGGCTGAAGCCCCCCCAAAATGGTAAAATATAACCATATTTTATGGAAAAATTATCTCTTAAAGTATTATTGTTCGTGTAATTACATTTAAAAGGACTTAAGGAATCACTTAAACGTGACTAAAGGAATCACTTACTTTCTTTCTTTTTTTCCAAAGTAATTATCGTCATTTTTATGAGAAAAAAAAAACTTTTGGGCTGAAGCCCCCCCCCCAAAATTAAATCCTAGATCCGCTAGTGCCCTTGGCGTCTGAAAAGATGGCCACTTGATCTTCTTACCTAGAATTAAATAGGGAGTGCTACCACTGGGCAGTATCTCTTCAAGTCTGTTCATGTCATTATTTACAATGTGTGCATTTTTGCCAGTTGTATTGTTGAATAGTTGTAAATTTCATTAAATAAAAAAAAGGTATTTATACAAATAAAAATACCCAAAATGAAATATAAATCAATATCATTTTTACTTTCACTTCCCCTTTGTCTGAAAATACTTATTTCTGCTAAGAAGAGGGTGGTAAGTGAAAATTGTATCCAAGCCATGGGACTTAGAGGAGGCCTCAACGTGGCCTGCAGGTCAAAATGTTTGGAAATGTCTGTGTTAGTGTAACAACCATGCCCTTTAAACTATTTCAATGGTATCTAGAAATAAATCTTGGTTTTTACATTGTGATGACAGAGCTAACCATCTCTTGTGATAAAAAAAAAAAATTATGCAATTTATAATTTCAAAATCGGATAACCGGGAGTGCCGCTTTATATCATCAATGTAACAAACACATTTTTACGATTTTCTCGAAAACGGCTATAACGATTTTAATTGTATTACTCCATGTATCAGTGTATTATTACGTTCTTTTTAATATCAGCTAGGTCTTATTCACATTGATGTCACTTTATAGGACTTAAATGCCCAATGCTCATATACGTCTTCCTCTAAAGTACCATTAAGTTGGTTTATTTAAACAAAAAAAATAATCTCTTTTATTGACAATAATTATAAAAAATGGCTAAATATAAACCATGAAAAAAATTGATAATTAGAAAATTGAGAAAATGTTCATTTAGGTCGAAAATAAATCTCCGGAAATGCTAGTCAGGAAATATACGTATAATATATCGTTGGAAAGCGGAGAATTTTAAGCAATATCTAAAATACAAAGTCGCAGAAGGTAATGGAAAATAATCAACAAATATAAATAACAATTTATGAACACTAATATTGTTTAACTGAAATCACATGTTTCAAAGGAAATTAAACGGAACTTACTAAATGAAATAAATTTTAAATTGAAAGAAGTATTTAAAATCCACCGAATCAAGCCAATGACATTGTTTAAAAACTATTTCATTGTACTTGTATGAAAGAAGAAGTGAAATTCAAAAATATTTCATGGTTCGTGTATATAATAAACTTGTTAACTTAAATACATTTACTGTACTTTAATAACTCCAGATCCGATATTAAATTTAAATAATTAGGTATACATCGTAGATTTATTAAAAAAAAAATTCTTTTTTTGAAATCACATTATACACCAGGTTGATTTCGCTATCAATAATATTATATGCAAATAATCATAGTATTTTCCCAACATTAATGTCTTCTAAAATTTTATTGCTCTATTTTCTATACAAAATATAAAGTTTCTCACTATGAATTTCTGGATTTTTTCCCCATTTCATTAAAAATTAAAAAAAAACATTTGATTGATAAAGTTTTTAATTATTTTATTTTATATAAGATATATATATAATAATAGTTTTTTATTTATTTTGTTTCTGCTTTACTTATTATTTTTTTATATTTTCAGCTTTTTTATATTTTATAATTTATGTATTATTTTATTTTTGTTTGATTTCCTGTCTTATTAATTTCTTATCAATTTATTTTATAACCATTACAATGTAAATTGTCACTTTTACAAAACTCTACATTTATGGTGATACATCCTCTGCATGCCCTTGTACAGGATTACTGTAGAGAAAAAATTAAATTTATCATAATGAAATTATATGAAGTATGAAGATTTTATCGGGAGTGGGGTGGCCCATTGATAAGGCACTAAGCTTCCAGTGCTCGAGGTCCTAGGTTCGATTCCCGGCTCATGGCAGAAAAATTATTTATTTTATTTCATTGGCCGTGGGACTACCCTGGTGTAGTGAGACGCTCCTGGGGTACACTCAGCCCTCTATACACTGGGTACCCTTAATTAAATAATTGATTAAGGGGAAAACCTGGCGGTTGAGCATGATTCTGCCCTGATCCCCTCTCTGAACAACAGTAGGCCTTGAAACAGTACTTTCCCTAAATAGTACTCTTCATGGGTTTTAGTGGTACAGGTTTTTTTTATGAAGACTTTATCAAATAGATCATGGTGAACTTTTGTTAACAGTCCACTTTTATAATTACCTTCTAAATAAAGTATCCACACTTCCTAATATAGAATTTTATATATGTTTTGAAATATTAGAGATAGCCCTTTCTGACCAACCATATTTACACTTGTAATTTATTGTTTAATTTAAAATACAAAGAACATAGAACACAATTTTAAAAGTGATCAATAGCACGAGGCTTACCACAGATTAAGTAAAGAAAAAAAAATTGAAATATTTAAGAAGTCAGAAGAAGAGTCTGGTGAAATTTTATAAGAATACTTGTTTGTTGAAGTTTAAAATTTCAACACCTCTTTGCTCTATTGATAGATCCTATAAAGCATTTAAATTAGCTATTTATCTCTAATCCATGAATAGGTTAAGTCATTCTAGAATTCATGAAAACATTTCATAGAATTTAATTATTTTAACAGAAAATAAATAATTATTCTCGACTTTTGGAAATAGATCTTCATGGACTAGAAATGCTTTGTTTCCTTCATAGGTTGTAGTGGAACAGGTTTTTTTTTGGTTTTTTTATGAAGACTTTATCAAATAGATCATGGTGAACTTTTGTTAACAGTCCACTTTTATAATTACCTTCTAAATAAAGTATCCACACTTCCTAATATAGAATTTTATATATGTTTTGAAATGTTAGAGATAGCCCTTTCTGACCAACCATATTTACACTTGTAATTTATTGTTTAATTTAAAATATAAAGAACATAGAACACAATTTTAAAAGTGGTAAAAAGCACGAGGCTTACCACAGATTAAGTAAAGAAAAAAAAATTGAAATATTTAAGAAGTCAGAAGAAGAGTCAGATAAATTTTATAAGAATACTTGTTTGTTGAAGTTTAAAATTTCAATACCTCTTTGCTCTATTGATAGATCCTATAAAGCATTTAAATTAGCTATTTATCTCTAATCCATGAATAGGTTAAGTCATTCTAGAATTCATAAAAACATTTCATAGAACTTAATTATTTTAACAGAAAATAAATAATTATTCTCGACTTTTGGAAATAGATCTTCATGGATGTTCAGGACTGGAAATGCTTTGTTTCCTTCCTTATATCTGAGAGAAAAACAGTTAAACGAACTCAAGAGAGTAAAAATGATGGAAGGAAGAATAAATGAAGCTAAACGATTGGTATCTAAGGTTACTTCCAAGCAGATAAACATTTTCCCATACCTAGCGATTAAATATCAAGACACATTTTCATTTTTATCCAAGGTTTGTAAATTTTAGCATTTTTTTTTAAAATTTTTGGATCTATTTTCCAAACTACTGGTACAAAAATATCACATTAGTTGACATTTTATATGTCAATGTTTCATAGCATATCACATAATATGAAAATTTGTTTAAACATCAATATTATGTTTATAACACTAATATTTTTTGTCCCTGATGAAAAGCCTGAAATAATTTAAAATTTTTGAGGGAACATTATTTTATGCGCTTTTCGCAATTAAGTTTGAAAGGAAATTTGATAAATAGTTTTTATAGCAATTCCTTCTTTAAAACTAAATTATTTTTAAAATTTTAAATCTTATAGCAAACAAGAAAATAGTCGAATTAAAAAAAAAAATAAAAATAAATGAGGTACATATGTGTTTTGAGAAAGCGAGATCATAACTAGTATAATACTGACACATGTGAGGAGATACTTAAATATATTAACTTCAATTATATTGCTTTAATATTATTGCCAAGTTATTAAGGAATTACTGCGGTTTTTTTTTCCGAATAAGAAACATTTCTTGTCTCGTATGATTTTTAAAAAATCTGATCTGAAATCTCCATCAATATTTAACACCATTATATTGTGTGACTTGGGTTGATTAAGACTGCATACATACACATTTACATTACATACATGAGCATTAAAACATGTTTAATTTTAAATGTAGAAAATATTAATAATAATAATAAATTAGAAGATAAGTTTTATTGAAAATTTCCTAGGGAATTTAATTTCAGTTTAACTAAAATGTTTATGATATAATTTTAAACTAACTATTAATATATAAGATCTTTCTCAATTCAAAGATTCTGATTGTCTTCCATTAATTGATATGCCTAAAAACAGATCTTTAAATGAAAAATAACCAATGGTAGGTAAAAAGTTTAATGCCTTTAGCATAATGAAAAAACAAGCTTATCAAGTATTGTTAGAAGACCAATAATGATAGTAAATTATCACACATCATTGTCAAGTTGCTGATAATTCCATCTTGTTTTGTTAGAAATAGTTAAATTTCAAAACAAACTAAACATCAGGAATTAATATATTAGAGATGTATTATTTTATTGTTTTATTTATGATAGTTCATTATACCATGGAATATAAACATAATTAGTACTTTTTAAATTAAATTAATTGGCAATTCAAAAGGTTTTAAAAACAATGTAAAGCTACCATTCATTTCGGTAAAAAGTTATTAAAAAAAAAAAAAAAAAATTAGCAATTCCTGAGAAAAGATAAGACAGATATGCCTAATGTGGTTTGTTTATGATGGAATTTGCATAAGCTATATAGACATGGGCATTATTCTTATAAAAATAATTTCCATAATAAATATATTTTAATTTTTTACTCATACAAATTACTTATTTATAAGCGAACAAATCAAAGAGAGAATCTTATAGTGCACCTAACAATTACCTTTAATTATTGAAACAATAACTTCCAAATCAATGCATACAATTGAAAGAATGTAAACTAAATCAATATAAAAATCATGATCGTTTATTATTCATGGTTATTTAGCAGGAAGAAGGTTTTCTCTTCTTGAACTGGAGAGAAAAGCTTTATGCTGTCCTATAGTCTTTGCCTGTTAGGAAACCTTTTTTAATGGATTATTATGGTGCAGATTTTATTATTTTTTTAAATAAGCATGATGTATCCTCATCTATTTATATTTATGTATATGTAGATATAATATCTGTGGCACCTGTTTGAGTGTTTCCAAACTAATTTATTTCTCTTTCTATTACAATTAAGGATATTCATACTTGTGTACAAGCCATGTCATTTGTGCCGTTATATACAAACATGAGAAACAATTTGGATTCAAATACGTAACTACAGATACTAACTACCACTATTTACAGGTACCACAAATATTTTAGACTGTTTAGTTTTCTATAATCCAGATCGATATAACTAGTTGAATACACAGCTGAAAATGTCTTTGTTCTCTACCAGCATGTAATGTAATTAAACATCTAGAGATAGATTGGATTATAATATGAACAGAAACTAAATTAAACTGCCACTAGCCATGAATGTAATGAATGAACTAGTCGAAACCTTATTTCTTAAGGATCAAGTATTATTTTGTTTACATTTCATATGAAGTAATTGTTTACAGAACGATTTACCTCTTATTAATTTAAGTACTAAGGTGCTCTCAACATTTGTTATATTGAACTATTTAAAATATCAAATTATATATTGTTAAAAATGACATCTACTTTTGTAGCAAGATGTGTTGAATGCCATCAAAATAGCAAGAAAGGTGGGAAGTAGAGGCTTAATACTATGGGGATCGTATAAAGACACCAATTCTCCTAAGAAGTGCCAGCAGCTAATGGATTATGTACAGAACACATTAAAACCAACAATAAAAAGATTAATAAATTGAAGAAATATATTGTACTTTTCACTTAAATGCATAGAAATATTAGTCTGTGGTATAGCCCTCTTCTTATCAATTTATTAACATCCAACTGAAATTTCATAAATAGTTTCATCTCATCATAATCTACAAATATTTTATTTACGAAAATTCTCAGAATTAGGGCGTTTTCAACCTAGAGATTGGCAAACTTCGTCTATTTAATTAGGTACTAGAAACTCGTAAATACCCATTTGCTTTCCACCTCAATCGTAAGATAACTTGAGCAGAAAGTCAAGAAAAAAGGTGGCCTTCAAAAGTATTGAGCCATTTGGAGTGACCTACATCCCCACATTTTCTAAATAATGAGGTTATATAGGCCAAACGGCTCAATATTTTTGAAGGCCACCATTTTTCTCGATTTTGTGCTCTAGATATCTTACGATGAAAGTGGAAAGTTAATAGGTATTTATAAGTTTTTAGTTCTTAATTAAATAGACAAAGTTTGCGGACCACCAGATTGAAAGTGCCCCAATTCCGAGAATTTTCATAAATAAAATATTTGTATGAGATGAAGTTATTAACGAAGTTTCAGCCGGATGTTAATAATATGATTGGGTCTGTACCACGGACTATATACTTTTATATATTTCTGAAAATATAACAGCATAAAATAAATTATATATTTTTTTATAATATGTTCACAATAATATAACATTATCCTTGACCTTAATTTATTTTTATGTTAGAGATACAAATAATAAATGGTCCTCTCCCTTCCTCACCAAAAAAAATAATAATGTAAATGGCACAATGGCTACAAATTGTAGATTTGTAATAATATACAATACAATTAGAAAATAAACGTCAGCTAGAAATGGTAACGCTCTCAGAGAGCTTTCCTTTCAAAATAAATATAAAAGGCTTTACCAAGATGAAGAAACCATGTTTAGACAGACATTTTCTCAATCCATTCAATTTTTGGAAAATGAGTATCAGTCAATGTTAAAGTATTATTCAAGCAGTTTGAACACCATTGAATCCTAAGATTTAGGATGAAATCTCTATCACTGTCCTTCCCAGTAAAGGGCATATTTACATATGTTAATAACAAGAAAGTTTATAATATAAATTTATTAAAAAATTATAGTTTTTTTAAAAAAATAAAGTAGCAATTAGTTTTAGTTTCATAAAGGTGATAGGGGAAAGAAACATTAATAATGAAAAAAATCCTCTCAAGACAAGACTTTTGATAGAAAATTTCGTCACATTAACAGCTAAAGATATGAAAATCATTGTTTTTTATGGCCTAGAGATTCAGATAACATAAGTTTATTGAACACAGCAATATTTAAAAAAAAAAAATACATATCAGCCTTTGTTCCTATTTAATAACATTTAAATTAAATTATAATAAATTTACATACATAAGTAATTTCTAAGTTATAATTAAAACCAGTGAGAGTGATAATGTACAGTTGAATTTTGTGCCTGAATAAAGTTCATATTCACAATTAACATTACAAAATAATGTTTTCAATTCTTTTTAACTTTGGTATGAGAATGAATCACAGTATATTAAAAGATCGAAGCATCTTTTAATATTAAGCATGAAAACTTGAATTATCACAGATCTGTTTAAATCAAAATACTGATAGCTGGTTTGACGAATCTGAACACGTGCAAGTATATAATTTGATTTAACTAAACTATGTTTGAATGACTTGGTAAAATATATAACTATTATTGTACATAACCCTAACTTACGTTTATAATTAACGAACGAGGATTATCATGATTTTACAAAATATATTTGTAAAAAAATTATATACAAATGTCTTCAATTTCCAATATCTTCATACGTGTTTCTGCTAGATGAAGTAGCAATATTGTTTCCTGCTATGGATATGAACATGTTAATAAAAATATCTTATAAAATATACATTATATTAATTCAAAGGTTATTTAAATTTCAATTAAATTTCATGAAATTCATGTAATAAATAAAGAATAACAAATTCTGTCATAGTTATATAACTTACTAAAGATATTGGCAAAATTGTCAGTATCTAATCCCATTCTTTGATTACACATTCGACACATGAACACCAATGATACTGGTCTAACAAGAAGATTAATTATTGCCATTGCAGCACTGAATTTTTCTCCACTGCCTAAAACAAAGACAACAAAATATATTTAAAAAATACACAGTTAAGTTGTAAATGTTTATAAAATAATCAGTTGATCATACCTCGACCTGTAGGAAAATAACCCACAAATGTGATTACATCCAGAAATGCTGCAAGTAAATTGACACCTATTGCCTGAAAGCAGAAGTAACTGACTTACTAATCATAAATATAAATGGGCACAAATATGAACAGAATCCATTACTTTCATCTTAGTAGATAATAAAATTGTAAAAAGAGTCAATCTTGAACAGATAACAAAGGTATGGTTCTCAACTTCCAAAAGTAGAAGGGAGTTGACCGATCTCCAAACATTTGCATAAAAATACAAATCATATTTTGTGACATTATTAATGGTTATAGATAGATTAATTTTATTAAAATGACTTACTACTGCTTTAGCCGGATTAAGATTTATCAATAATTACTTAAAAAATCATTTTAATTAATCCTTCAATATGAATTGAATAACAAAAAATGTTGACCAGAATTGATTTCATTTCCAGAAATAATCAAAATACATCTATATATAAGAACGATGTTTTCAATATAGGCTGCAACAATTTACAAACAGGCATCCACACACAGTCGTTAATGTAACAATAGAAGTTACCGTACATTAGATACTGAGAACTATCACTCAAAATCCAATAGTGTGACAATTACTACCAAGATAGTAAAGGTCATACTGTAGACCGATTTACAAGATAGAAGTTACTATGATAGTAGGTGTTATGGCTGCAGCTATCATCGGAGAACATCGCAATCGCAACTAAAAGGACTCATTAGAGGGTTATTTATCTCACGAAAATTCTAAAATCTTAACAAAATAATAGAAAATAATGTAGAAACATTTATCAACACACAACAGTCAAGGAAACCATACCTTTCTATTCTTAATATTGATCTATTCGAATTAAGAGTAGGTATTCAGGAACATAAATAACTGTTGACATCATTATTCTGATAAGACAATAGTTGTCAAAATCTCATTCTGAAGATAATGAAACACCAAAAGCTCTTGAATAATGAGACTGCTTAAGACTCTTTTTACAATTCCTCTAGATAAACATTTAATTATAGAAAAAGAACTACTGATCTTACGTATTGTAATGGTTCTGCATTATCTTTATTATGAATACTCCATAAGATTGTCAAAAGGAATATTAAATTATAAAGCATATACGAATCAGGATTCCAGTATCCTTGTGATCCACTGTAAACAAATTTGAACAAAGTATTAGAACATTCACTACAACATTGATATGAAGAAATATAAGGGAAAACAAATATCTTACAGTGATATTAGCGTTAAATGTACTCCAAATATCACCTAAAATATAGACAAGAAGGTCAGTTAACACAATCATACAAGTTAACATAAATTATGAAATATTAGAACAGTAACTCTATGATTATAATTTTATCAGTATACCTTAAGCACATTACTAGGTGACTGATCCATCCTTGGGCATAAAATACTGTGAAAAGATTTCACAAATGAAATACTTCTTCTTTTGAATAATGAAATACGGCAAATAAATTATAAAAAATATTATTACATAATCAAAAGTATTTGGAGATAACAGTACTCCCAAACTATAACCTTCGAAATCTACGATTCATCGTCATCCATTGTGGATAGCAGTGAAGGCAAGTTGCTAAACTCAGCACTGAAATCACCGATGAGCATCTGAAACCATCAAACCGTTCCAAAACTCATTAATGGAATAATAGGCAAGTTCCTAAACTCACCGCTGAGATCAATGATGAGCATCGGAAATCCTTCTATGGAATTGCAAACTTGCTCTGAATGAAATGAACTTTTCTAATCTTCAATTCCTTTTTAAATTTCTGTTATTATTCCCTGATTATATTTTAGAAGTGCTATTACAAAAAAATGAAAACTTATATACATAATTATATTAAATTAAAAATTTGTAAGTTACCGTTAAATTTTATTATTATATTCTAATTAACTATATTGCTTAGTAAATCAATATAAATGAACATGCATACATTTTATTTTATTATAAATATAATTTTTTTTCAAATTTCAAATCTTTTTTTTTCATAGTAGCGCTCTCTACAAGAAGTTGTAAACTACCGTGGTCCCATCGTTGTCAACTCTACCTTTAGTATGGTTTGACCGAAAGGGTTTCTATTTATTCTTCGAAGTTACGTTGATTTTAAGTGGTTTTAATCTGTGGGATGTAATTTTTATTCTAAAGTAATATGTTTTGTATAAATATGTTGGTGTTAACAACCTTTTTTCAAGCTAGAGAAAATGGAAATTCACAAGGGCTTTTGCCCTTCAATGGAGATTTGGCTTCTATGGAGCATTCTTCAATAACACTTGGTTTCAAGCGCGAAATTTAAACAATCTTAGTTAATATGTGGCAAAAAAGATTTTTTCTTTAGAGTCCGTTAATCTACCCTAGATTAGTTTTGAATTCTTAAAATGCCTTATAAAATTAAATGACAAATTAATTTATATTTTAAATGTACTGATAGAGTACATTTAACTATTGATTTATATTTTATAATTAAGAATGGATGCTTCAACTGTTGAAAGGCATAATGAGTTACTTAATACTATTGATGTTGACAATAGAATCAATGGCACTAAACTTGGGGGAAACACTGTTGTAGTTTCAGCAGATACTGGAGAGGCACAGGAACTCATTGGTGCACAATATATGAACATTCATCGAATGCCTGAAAATCTTCAGAAAGTTCAACTTGTAGGAGATCCTTTGTCTGCTGATCTTTTGAATCATCAGGTGGTAGAGTTAGCACAAGGTAATGAGTTTGTTCCTGGCCCCGTTGGAAATCAGTATTACGATGATGACTTGCTTCCCCACGATCTCACTGAGGAAGACAAGAGGTTGGCTGCTGCGCTTGTTGCTGTTCAACTTGTACAGCAGCAGAAGCAGCAGCATACTAACATTTTGGCTTCTGAATTGCTAAATGGCAAGAGTATGTCTCCTCTTTCTCCTTTGCCTAATGTTTCAATAGACAAACCTGGTATGGCAGCTATGGTTACAAGTTATATTCAGGCCTTTGACGATGAAACAGCAACACAACAGCAGTTGCTCGATTCACAGAACCATGAGCGAATGTTGAAAATGTATCAGTCCCAATCTACTTCACCACAATTATCTGTAAGTATTTTATTTTGATGGCTATTATAGATTTTATATTTTATTTGATTTCATGTTTCTTAAAATTACACCAATAGTTTTTAAGGAAAACTTATTAACTCCATGTTATAAGTATTTTAGCATATTTTCTCCTGTGTCAACATTTGTTTTACCCTGATACTTCAAGTTCCATATCTTTCAGAAATAAATTAAGTAATTTACAGAAATAAATTATTTTTCAATTGTTGTAAAATTGATGAATAGGTCCTATTGGCATTATAATTAAGAAATTGTGCCTGTTACAGTTATGCTTATTGCCATTCTTCATTACTTTTTATTGTTGGTGAGTTATTCTCATTTATGAAAATCAGTTTTACTTGTTTATTGTAGGACAATGACATTAGTTAACGATGGTGAAAAAAAATGTTTATATAGAAAAAGAGAACTTGGTTTTAAATCAGTCTCATCTTCCCAAGATTCCATATCTCTCTCTCCCGTCTACTTCTTTTTCTGTATTTGGTTTTTTTGTGGTTCAAAATAAGATGAAAAAGTAGTTCAAAAAAGGATAAAGAGAAAAAAAAAATAGAACCTATGAATTTACGGGAACTACTTTTGTTAATTATTAGGCTTCTTTCTTACCATAGCTGTTTTGCTACGCATTAGAATGAATAGAAATTATTTTATTTTCAAATAAGAGCTTAAATATCTAAAAAAACTTTAAAGTATCTAATGAGATCATACACATTACTTTTGTGACTCCAAGAATTGGTGGATTATAGGGAAAGTTGGATTAATGTAAGTAAAATAAAATTAGTCTTAACGATTTAGAGACTTTGATGGTGGTTGTTACGAATTGGGTACTGAGATAAGCACAGATGACTAATAATTAAATAAGTAAAGACCCATTGCCTCTCATACATGGAGACTACTTGATGTAGGTGTCCAAGTAACGTTATGTTGTTGGTTAGTTAGTATTAATGGTGTATTGTAATGTTAGCCTTAATTCATGGATTTTTCATTTTAGGCCATTATTTATTAATATATATATATATATATATATATATATATAAATAATTTTTTTTTGTTAAAAAAGTTATCTGTATTTAGAATATTTTAAAATTTATCTTGTTATTTTTGCAATTTATATAAGTTTAATTTTATTTTGTTTTCCTAGTTACAATATATGTATTTTCTCTTAGACATCTTTTTTAATATTTAAATTAAATTAAGAAGCTATATATTAAGGATTCAGTATATTATTTATTATTAAAACACTTTATTCAGAAATATTACAATTTGTCACAGTTAAGGACACTTATAATAGAGTTCAGAGATTGCATTCATACCGTATATACAAAAATATAAATAAATAAAGTAATAACAAAAGAATAAGAAGAAAGAACAAAAGAGTAAAGAAAAAAAAATATATATATATATACACATAAGTAAATAAAAATAGAAATAAAAGTAAAACAAACACCTTATATAAAACATACATTATTTACAATTTGCCAGGTGATCTCCGAACCAATTCTTTCCCCTCCACATGTGGAGGGAAAAGGGAGGCTTAGGAGATCCCTACGCTTCTCCCTCAGCCACCACTGGTATTTTAAACCAGCGGAGGGATTCAGTATATTAGAACTTGTTGGGAATTAAATTTAATGTTACTTTATAGGAGATTCGACTGCCACCATTGCCACCCCTTAAAAAAGTTTTATCGAACCAGAATTTATTGAGGAATCGATATAGTGAAAGAAATCTTCTTGATGCAACACCCATATCTGAGGCAAGTCGTATAGAACTTACTGGCCAATCACAAGTAAGGAAAGTTAAATTTTATTAAATCTTATATAATGTATTTCGATATTGAAGCTTTAAGGATAATCATTTACTTATAAAATTCAATTAGGACATAAAGCATGATATATAAGTATTTACCTTAATTTCGTGACTACAATAGATTCTTTAACTATTTCAATATTTATTTTGCAAGAAGAAAAAAAATAAAAGATTGTTTATAGTAAATAATTAAATATTTAAAACATTTAAATAGTGTTTTATTTTCTGAATTTCCGTTTTATGTTATGTTATAATTATTAAATGTTATATTTTAATGTCTCATAATTTTCTTGTTAATAATGTACAATATATATTTTCTATTAGGAAGAATTGCATGCAAAATCTAGCTTCGCCAATACCAGACAACTTAAAGATGAAGCCCCAACAGAACTTCAGATTGAAGATATTGAAGAAGGAGACTCTGATTTAGAAACAGAAAGTGAGCTGAAATCATCACGTAAAAGTCTGCCTCACAAGAAACGAATTCCTCGTAAATTAAAAACACAACCTAACAGGAGTCAGCATGCTAAAGGGTGTGTAAAGTATCATATATGTGTGTATATATATTTTTGTTAGGTTACATTTCCTTTGAATAGTAAACAAACAGTTACATTTGATTTTCTAGTCACATTCTTCAGGTTTGTTGGTACCATTTTCTTATAATTTTTTTATATATATTTTAGGCCAAAGGTCACCAAATGGCTCCTGAAGCCGAAACTTTGAATAAAGAATACAGGAGATAAAAAAACTGTGTATATTTGGTGACTTTTGGCCAAAAATATATATTAAAAAATTACAAACAGTTTCTTATTTCTCTAACAAATTATTTCTCAAGTTGGGTTGAGACAACAAACACACATTCCTTAATTATACAATATAAAAGCATACATTAATTTTATATACAACGTTTATGGATTTCTATTCAGTTTTGTCAGGGTTCTATTACTCTTGAGTCTTTCTAATTGTCATTATTTATTTTGCACTCACCCTGGTCGCTTTTTCTTGATCATGATCCTCTTTACTCGCAGACTGGTTACTTTCTACCCTAACATATGGCTCTTGCTTCCCCTTCTATCTGTTTTTCCCCACATCTTTGTCCATTTTTGTGAGTAATTTGTGACTTCACTGCCACTATTTAAAATTGCTATGTAATATTTATATTACAATATTGTAACATTCCTCTTATATTTTAAAATAATAATAATAATATAACCTCAAAAGATCACTTTATACCCTAAGGATACTTCCTAAATAAGTAAGAGGTTGTTAAATAATAAACAAAATTATAAGAGTATTAATATATTTATTTATCTCAGGTGTTTGTTACTGACAATGAGATCAACTCAGATAAACTATTATTATTTACACTATTTATATTAAAATTAAACACTGGTTTTAAAATAAAGTCAAGTATGAATTGGCAAGCTAACCTTTTTTCTATATACAATGTTTCTTCCTTTGTGGCCCTGAACTCATTTGTCTTCACACATTTTCTTATGTTCCACCAATCACATATCCCAAAATGGTAACACTATTCTTCCACTCAACTCAAGCTCTCTGGGAAATCCTATCTCTTGCAATTCCAAACAACTATTCTCCCTGTCAAACAAGATCTTCTAAGGTGGTAAAACTATTACTGGGTTTTACCCACTGGAGTCAGGATAGGATATCTTCTCATAACCTCTCTTCACTGCAGTCACACAACTGCTTGCCAAAACAAAAACCTTTGTCCCTCTCCTCTTTGGGATTTTCCTTCTTGGGAAACTACAGAGTAGCCATTCTCTTTTCCATGCACTAGTAGAACTAGATTAGCTTGCCTTTTAATTGTTAAACATTAATTTATTAAACCCTTTTTACTCACTTCCAATAAAGGTTTACATTACAATATATATCATTAAGAAATCTACTGCCATTATTGTTTAACATTTGTGTTAAATTTTAATGATTCTATGTAATATATAATTATAATAATTAGTTTAAAAATGTGTATTTTTTTGTTATTCAATTGAGGAATTGAAAAAAAAAATTTACGTTTTAGGGCTAACACGTTGCCTGCGGCTAAGAGATCTGCTTATTCATGTGAGATCTGCGGAGTGGCTTCAGCTAACCAGGTCAAATTCTTTGAACACCTGAAAGCTCACTACGAGCCTGACCTTCAAGCTACTTCCAGCACATTTGAATTTCAAGAACCGATAACACAGCTGGTAACGTAATATTTTATGGATATTATAACAGTACCATTGAATAAGATAACATTTGATAAATTTCTTCTTGAAAATGTTCATAGTATAGCTGCATCCTAATGATAATACATGTTTGAATCCTGCATATATTTGATATTTTTGGTTTATTATTTTCAATAATCAACCATTGTGATCGACCAAAAAATTAAAAAACTTAACCCCCTCTCAAAATTTGAGGTTTCACGTTTCAGGACCTGTAGAATTCGAAAAATGAATAAAAATTTTTATGTCCATCCGCCATCTGCGCATTTTCTCTGAAACTACTGGATCGATTTTTTTGAAATTTTTATATAAAATCAGAGATCACCCGAGGATGATCCTTCTTCATCGACATTACTATCTGCCTTTTACTTTCAAAATGGTGGCCGAAAAACCTGCGTTGCTATAGACTGTAGCTCCTAATCGAATGTACAGATTTCAATGAAACTTCGCTAAAGTCATTTTCTCGACGCCCTTTAAATTTATCTATATAACATACTTCCACGAAAAGAAGCTGGAAAAAAAGTTACGAGGGATGGTAAAATTAAATTAAATAACTCGAAAGTTTATACTTTTTTGTTGATATTGTATATAGTTTTTTAAAAGTTTACGAAATTTCCTAAAAAAAAAAAATCGGACAATTAGGAGCAAAGATATGGTCTCCAGTTTTTTAAAAATGTTCTCCAAATGTCATATCCTTGGTTTGGTTTTTAAGTTTTGAATGTGTTCTGAACTAATGCTATTTTTTTTTAGCATATTACTAATGATTAAAAAAAAAAAAGTTTAGTGCAATAATTGGAATCACGTTTTATTTATTTTTCTTTCTCACTAGGAAGTTAATATTACTTTATATGTATAATTGTTTGGAAATAATAAACCATTGTGAAATAATTTGCAGCGTTTTTTCCTAAGACTTAGTATCATGAAATTAATTTAAATAGGTGCCTTTGATAGAGAAGTTGCAGCCATTCTTTAAAACTGGTTATATAAAATCAATAAATATTACTTTAGATTCATCTATAAATTCTATAGTCCGTCTATTGTTATAGTAACTAACAATTCGTCAAGCTTTATTTCTCAAAGACATGCTCAGCTGTTTTTGTTTTATTATATTTTTTTGTTTGTTGTTTGGTTCTTTAATGAAAGTATTAAATTCAGGCCTAATATTATTAGTTTAAATTAAAATTAAACTAAATTAAATTAAATTAGTTGTGTATCCAAATTGGAAGTTTTTTTTAAAAGAAAATTTAACAGATGCCTTCTTCATATTTCTATTAGTTTAGGACAGAGGTATGGAACCGCAGCCTCGGAGGCAGCATATCGCCTCAGTTGCGGCCTCCAAACATTTTTGTGCAATATTTATTAATCTAGTGGTAGAATTAATTATTTAAGTGATGAGAATTAGGAAATTAATATAATTAAGTTGAATGTATGTATGTAGGTGTGTGTATTTAGTGATAATCAAAAATAGCAACGGTAAATATAAAGAATTATTGGGCCTCTATTAGCACTGCCTATATTGATAAAAAGGTTACCCAACAAACATAAAGTTCAGGGTATATAATTACCTCTATCTTTATAAATATATATGTTAAATATGTTGTTATATAAAATATTTTTATTTTTATTACTTATATTATTGTCTCTAATTTTTAATTCCTTTGAAACAAATGGGTTAAACTTTTTGGCCTGCAGGCCACATTCAGACCTACACTAAGTCCCGCTGGCCGCATTGAGGCCTCCATTAAGTTCCTCGGGCCATGGATTATGGTGATAAACAAATAGTTTGTTGTAATATCCTCACGTTTGAGTGATTGACTAAATTTTTTTGTTTTTAACTAGTTTTTAAAATTTTACTATGTAAAAATAAATCTTTTGTGGGCCGGATTGAAAGTGCTGGCGTAGTTTGGAGACTCCTGGGTTAAACCATAATACATTTTTTTTTCTTTCAATGGGTTCACATAAAGAAAAAGCTTAAAATAGTTTCCATTATTTTACTTTTTTTTTTCTTGGTGAACATCCCCATCCCAGACCATCTCTCCCTCAGTATTATATTACGGTCAACTATTAAGTATTTAATTTTTCTTACTAATTTACAAAAATAATTATAATTCTATTTTAACAAATGTTTTTTCTTTATATATTCAAATTATTATACATAATATATACCCCAGTGTTCTCTGGTCTATTGCCATCTGTGATTGTTGCCAAATTAGCTGTCATATTCCTTCACAAACTGCTGCGGATTTTGAACGTAAGCATTCTGCTACTCCATTTTGAACCTCGTTCAGAGAATTGATTATTTTTCCTTTAAGAAGTAAGCCATTGATCGGAACAAGTAGTTATCACAAGAAATCTGGATTGTAAACAGAACGAGAAAAAACTCGAGCTAGAAACCAGTTTATATATATTTTTTTTTTTAACTAGATGTGTGTGGTCTCGCATTTTCTTGTTCAAACTGAACCCCTTACAATCTTTGTAACTGTTCAGTATAAAGGTATGAATGATTAGTATGACCCTGAGTGATGGCTATTTTTTCTGCTTTAATTTTCTATGAATTCCTACTCACTATTTTACTGTAGTGGATGACCACTCTTAATGAACAATAATTGCTGTTTTAGGTTGAACCTGAAAAAAACGCAGGTGAGGATGAGAATGGAGTGCTTTCCTGCAGTTTATGCAGTCGGACTTTTAAACGTCAAAAAACATTAGAGAATCATATGGCTGTCGCTCATCCTCCGATCGAAGAATTCTCAGAACCAGAAGATATGTTAGAGGGAATTCGGCACGTAGTCAATATTCAAGCGACTGCTGAAGAAGAGGATAAAATAAGGTACCCTTATATTATATAGATTATTTATAATCAACTGACATTAACTTCAAACCATCTAAATCCACTAGATGGTTTGAAATGATGTACTTCCTCTAGCAAAGTTATCTCTATTAGTTAGCCATTAATCTAAATTTAATCTGTTATATTTGGTCTGCATGAACATAGTTCATTTTATCTGTTTTGATGGTATCTAAACTGGTGGAGATTTGACTGGTAAGTTGTCTATCAGTATTTTCAAGACTCGAGGTCATATTCATATTTTCTAGTATTTCATATCATTAATCTTGAAGTATTTTATGATTTTATAAATGTTTTTTTGCTCTTAAAAATTATAGGTCTTGGAAATTTGAAGATTTTACATCGGATTTGTGCTCTGAAACTGATAAGACTGGAGATATGGGCGATTCTGGCGATTTTCCTGATGATGAGAAAGGAAAGAAGAAGAAAAAAGTCATTCATTGTCCTCATTGCTCTCGCACCTTCACGCACCGAAATTCCTTGCTGTATCACTTTAGGTCATATTCTGGGAGACGGTTGCACCAGTGTGATGTTTGTGGCAAAGGCTTTTTTGCAGCTAATGCTTTGAGGGTATGTTCCTACTACTGCTCGTTGGAAATTATAGTAGACTTTATTAAAATGGAGTCAATCAACTTATTTAATGATGTGAAATGTATACATTTTTATTCCTATGTTATTCTTAAGACTCCTGATTCCTCCGATAGAAAAAGAGGTGTTCCTCCTATAAATAATTACTTATATTTCATTTGTCCAAATGATTCATCTTGCTTCCTCACTACCGAAGGTAAGGAAGATTTCTATTCGTGGGGAGGTTAAATAACAATTTGTGTTCAGAATCGAAAATTTCCACTCGTTTTACGTTTCAGACATCAAGGATCAAAGGTTTGGTGTCTGTCTGTACTCAAATCATTTATCTGATTTTCATGAAATTTTCAGCGATTGTACTGGTTGATGCTTAGATGGTCCCATGTCAATTTCATTAAATTCCACATCGTACTACTGGTTGTGAACACAGAAATGTATTTTCTTAGATTTGCCAATATTTCAGAAACAGCTTTATCGATGTGCCTCAAAGTTGGAAGAAATGTGTGTATTGGTTACATAATGATGCTGAATCGATTTTATTGAATTCTGTACTGAACTTCCGATTGTGCACACGAAAATGTATTTTCTTAGGTATGCCAATATTTCTGAAACGGCTCATTCAATTTCGCTCAAAGTTATTAAGTAGTCTTTAATATTTCGTATATATCGTCCGTTTATTCCGAAAAATCATCAAGTAATCTTTAAGAAAATTAAATTATGAATAATTTGATGAATTTTCCCTTTGTGAAATTCCAACATTATCCTCTTACAATTAGTGTGACAACTTTTGACATATCTATGGTAGCAATGAAAATCTCAAAATTTCATTTAGTAATTAGTAAAATTTACAATGGAAAATAGCAGTTTAATAACTGATAGTCCTAGAATCCATAATCATTTATAGGTTGAATATTCAGATGTACTTTCAAATCTCTACTGGCAAAATTTATACCTTTATTCACAGTTCTGTATTTCAACTTTGCAATTACCTACTCTAGAATCAACTTATTCATTATCTGCATAGATATAAATTTTCCAACTAAAAATATCACTAAAATGACGTTACTCAAAAATGTTGAAATTGGAGTTAGTCATTGTGTCAACTGAAAGGTTCAGAGACTGAAGTTGTGTGGTTTACAAACACAGATGGAGTAATGAGATTTTTATTGCTTACTAATATAATAAATAAAATTGTTGTTATTTTATTGGTCTTAATGATTTGTTATCTGTAACTTTAAGCTTTAGCTCCGTTAAAAAGGCACTTCAAAAATTTTATGATAGTCCAACATTGCCAGAAAATAATTTCTATTCAAAGTAGAGCATTAAGTGAAAGTTGTGTGTTGAGCTCATCAGATTTTTTGTTATTATTTTAAAAAATAAAGTGTTAAGAGATGTATAATTGTTAATTTCAAGTGAAACTTAAGATACAATAAAATTACCTTAATTAAATAGACAAAACATAAACAAAATAAATCAACAACAACCAATTGAGGACATGCCTAGCTTTAAGAGTTACAGAGGTAATCTTGAGGGTCATAACGATAATACTCAACTAAATTTCAATAATATATTTTTTAAAAAATTATTTTACAGGTTCATATGAGAATGCATTCAGGCGATAAGCCATACAAGTGTGAAGTCTGTGGACGAAACTTCAGACAATGGGGAGACTTAAAATACCATATGACATCACTTCATTCCAATACAAAGCAATATCAATGCGAGTTCTGTGGGAAGGATTTTGCTCGAAAATATTCGCTAATTGTTCATAGGCGAATTCATACAGGAGAGAAGAATTATGTTTGTGAATATTGCCGTAAAACATTTAGAGCCTCATCGTATCTTGTGAATCATAGGAGGATACATACAGGTACTAATTTATGAAATTATTTAATAATGGAATTATATAATAAATTAAAATGTGATATTGCAGTAATGAATTTTTTGCTTATTTTTTAAGAAACTTCTATTTATTTAGATATAAAATATTAGATACATTCATAATTTCTTTTTGAATATTTAATAGTTGACCATTGTATTATTAAGAAAGAAGATGGTCCAGGGTGGCGTGGCGGTCATAAATAGGCTAAATAGTGGCAAAACTATTTTATTAAAAGCCAATGTTTCGACCCGACTTTGCAGATTTTAAATAAAAATTAAAATTAAATTAAAAAAATGCTAAATATAACTTTTGAAAGAATTGGATAATGGAGAAAAAAAGAAAAATGTTTATCCAGTTCGAAAATGAATCTCAGAAAATAATAGTCAGAAGGTATATGTATAATATATCGTTGGAAAGCGGAGAATTTTAGAAAATATAATATCAAATAAATAAAGATGTAGAAGTTAACGGAGAGTGATGAAAAAAGTATAACTAATAATTTCCGAAAACTAACATTATTTAACGTGAATCATATGTTTCCAAGGAAATTAAATTAAATTTTCTTACTAAATGTAAACTTATAAAGTGAAATATAAAAATATTTCATGGATATGTTTATCACCTAAAATACATTTATTGTGCCACTATTTAGCCTATTCATGACCGCCACCCCGGACCATCTTCCTTTATAATTTTTTTTTCCTTTTTATTTTAATAACTTAATGAAACATGTTATTTCTATTTTTTAAGTTCCTTTAAATATACCTTGGTGAGGTGTGAACCTCTATTATTTTGGAGGTTTGATTTCCTCATGTTTTATGTATACTTTAGTTCTGGTGCACGAATATTCTTTTTTATTTAATTATATGACCAACGGCCTTTTGTTATAGGTGAAAAGCCATACACATGCGATGTATGTCACAAACCATTTCGGGTCAAGTCTGATATGAAGCGGCATAGAAACATTCACAACAAAGCTAGTAACGGCGGCGGTGCTGCTCGATCTGCCGAGGCCAGTCAACCTTCTACACCGTTGGATCTTAATGTGAGACCTGGGGATGAGTTTCGGCAGGCTACGGATCCCAACACTCTTTATGTTTGGCTTCCAGCTCCATCTGAGGAATCCATAGAGGAATCGATACTGCCAGATTGAGAGAATCCAATCTCACATTTCATTGTGATAAACCATTAAATATCATTCTTAATCATAATTAACATTATTAGTTTTTAAAAGTGAATATTTTAAATTTAAAGTCATTCTTTTTTGTAATTTGTTTTTTATTAAAGATATATATATACAAACATATTTTATATCATGTTATACAAGACTGTAGTACTTTAAGCTTATTTTTAGAATATAAACTTAATATTTCAAAAAGTCTTTCCTTTGATATCCATTCCTTCAATATTGTTCCTATTAATTGAAATATTGTTCCAATGTATAACTTCTTATATTTCAAAACAAGATATATCAGCATTTTATATCCTTATTTAACAAAGAGAGTGGAGTAGCTTAGTGAGTAAGGTGCTGTGCTCATATTCTCTGTGTCTTGAATTTGAATCCAGCAGTAACAGGTAATTATTTATGCTGTTACTCAAGCTATGGATCAACCCTGGGATTGGGCGATCCTCTATTAAGTAGGTGTTGTTAATTAAATGTAATTAGCTGATGAATGAATTCTTGAATATGGTTCACAGGGTTACCCGAGAAAAACCTGGTGGATTTTTATCATTTTTAAGACTATTCTTCCCTTTTAACATTTTTTGTTTTATGTTGATCCAATGACAGGCTTATGGTGGTTAATGTTTTTTGATTAAAAAAATTAAATTTTATGAGCCAAGATGACAGTTGTTTAAAAACCTTTACAGTTCCTCTTAACAACAATTTCAAGTTTATGGTGAATTGGTTTAACCATTTTTTATGAAAAATAAGGTTTATTGGATTGGGGTGGCTGTGGCCTCTGCAGTTAAATATATCATAGGCATAGGTGTGTAACATAAGGCATTAAAGACCAATCAAATTATGAGAACTATTCAAACTTTTGAATGGTGAAATTAAATTGTGAAAAATGAAGACATGAAGCTCCAAATCTTGAATTTTATGTTAACATAATCTTATCTAAAAATGTAGTAAAAACAAAATTTTCAGTTTTTGGCAGAGTTCAAAAACTTAAATTTGATATTGATGTAGAGATGGTTGACCGTTGATATGATATGAGAAGGAGTTAGTCGAGGGTGCGGTCAAATAAATAAAAAAATTAAAATATATAAATAATTTTAATTTTTGCCGACGATTCGACCCACTTTGCAGGTCGTCTTCAGGGCTACAAAAGATACAAACATGTTGAAAAAATAAAAATAAAATAAAAAATAAATATAAGTATATATAAATTACGAAGAAGTTGTCAGATACAGAAATAAAAGATAAAGAAAATAAATACATGATGAGAAAATAGATAAAAGAAAATAAATACATGAATGTTAACAAATAAATAGATTGAAAATTGAATAACTATTGTTACAGTAAAGTTAAAATATGTATAAGATAACATAATAATAAGATATCAGTGGATCTTAGCATTAGTGGATCTTATTATTATGTTATCTTATCCATATTTTAACTTTACTGTAACAATAGTTATTCAATTTTCAATCTATTTATTTGTTAACATTCATGTATTTATTTTCTTTTATCTATTTTCTCATCATGTATTTATTTTCTTTATCTTTTATTTCTGTATCTGACAACTTCTTCGTAATTTATATATACTTATATTTATTTTTTATTTTATTTTTATTTTTTCAACATGTTTGTATCTTTTGTAGCCCTGAAGACGACCTGCAAAGTGGGTCGAATCGTCGGCAAAAATTAAAATTATTTATATATATTTTAATTTTTTTATTTATTTGACCACACCCTCGACTAACTCCTTCTCTTAAATTTGATATATTGGTGTACCAAGGCAGAATCAAGAAAACCGTATTAGAGGTAAGGGGACCCTCCTTCCCATTGATGACTTAAGAGACAGCCATATTTTTACTACTATTTTAAAAGTAAGTAAATTAAAGATGCCATTGCATCAAAAGTTTATATCATATATTTAAGGGAGGGAGGGAGGAAATATATTGAGGCATGGCCAAGTTTTATAGACTTATGCTTTGTCCTTGAAATTGTAGTTTGGTTTTCAACCACCAGGGGAGATCACAGACTTCATTGAACATACTTTTCCACTTATGTAGGAGTGATATAAAACACCCATTATATCTATAAAACTGCCACTCAGAAATGGGTCGTGGAGAGACTTGAATCGTGTCGTTAGGACTAGACTGCTGAACCTACCTATTTTTCTATCAAGCCTATCACTAAAGATTTATTTGAATATTATGGTACTTTTTTTGTTATCTTTATCTATTACACCCTGGAGGCTTGTTGGTGTTGGATCAAAGAGGATTTCAAGTAGACAAATAAGATTAGCAATCAAGAATAAAATGTTATGAAAATCATAGACTAGACCCAGGTGTGCCCATTCCCCTCAAGGTTGATGGTGCAAGAACCTACCTCCTCCCCTCCCAAGATAATTTTCCTTTTCTTAAAAGCAAAGCGAGCTAAGGTAGAGTTAGAAAAATTGTAAAATTTTATTTTTTTTTTATTTGTTCTCCCCTTCCTCGCCGTTAAGTCTATATGGGGTTTGTTATCATTAATTGTGGATCATATACAATTACACTTGCTGCGGTCTGTTCAATATTTTCCCCTTGTCCGAAAATCCAAAACTCCTTAGAAATTTGCCCCCCTTAAAACTTTTAATGGTGCAACTTGTGCCATGAAACCCCCTTCTGGGCACCCCTGACTAGACCTGAAATGGAAAGAGAGAAATTGATATCAAGATTATTTTAAAATTCTTTATTTCAAAGACTTACAGTGAATAATAGGCCAGAAACAAACAAAATTTTAGAACAATTTGTGTTGTGATTTTGTTAATAGATCTCAAGGGTATTTATTTTAATAGTATAATGAGTATATCTTAAAAAATATTAAATAAATCTAAAAAGAATTATTAAAATAATTCGTTTCTTGCATTTTTCAAAGTGTTTAAACATTTCGCAGACAATGGGAAACTCAATTATCTAATTTAAGTAACAGCGACATTATTGCTAAACCAAACTATTTATTTTATTTTCCTTGATACCGACAGTAGATGGAAAATATCGAAAACAAGCACCAAAAATTCTAGCATAGTTAAATAACCATTTATATATTGGTCCTATAATTAGTGAATTTTCTAAACGGCCACTCATGATATATTATTGGAAGTTGGAACACTTTGTATTAAATATAATAATAAAACAAAAACAACACTGTAAAAATATGTTTAATTTATTTTTTAAGTAAATGAAGATAAAACAAAATATATGATAATAAGCCGACAATTCCACCCCAGTAACAGAATCTGCGTAGAAGGAAAATCATTCCCGAGAGTAGAAAAATTCACAATAACCTCACAGAATGACCAATGGGCAGAAATAGACCCACGTATTACTAGAGCAAAGAGAGCTTTCTTCTCCCTTTCAAAGGTATTGAAATCCCGAAAAATCTCAAACTAAGGTGTACAATGATATGATAAAATGATAAAGCCAGTTCTAATATATGGCTGTGAGACCAAGGCACTAACCAGCAACTTAGAAAAAAGTTGTTGAAATATTGAAGAGGAAAATTCAACGCATGATAACCGGAGCGATCTGAGATCAGAGTACAAAGACATGGAGAAGAAAGACCAATAAAGAACTGCTTTCAGGAACTGGTCAATCAATATCCCATGACATGAAGGTATGGGGGTTAAGATGGGCAGAGCATCTAGCTTGTAGCAATCCATCTGGAAGCCTCTACGTAACAATAAATGGCTCAGTAGAAGGCAAAAGACCACGTGGAAGGCCAAAAAGCAGATGGATACATAGGATCAACAAAGATGCAATAGCACTCTTGGCTATTTCCGTATAGCTTCCAACCATTATTTCTTCTTTAGTTACAAATCAATTTTATTCATCCATTATATTTAATTTTTTTTATATAAGTTTATAATGTGAAACATTTAATTATTTTTAAATAAAAAAAATTAAAGGTACTTTATAGGATGAAATATAGGCATTTAAGCTCTGATATAAAACATATCAAAAACTACTTCTTTTAATACCGATAATTGATGATATAAAATGCCAATTTTTATGAAAAATGTTGCTGTGACATCCCACGCATATACCTATCTTAAATAAGTAATATCAGTTCCGTACGACCTTTTGTTTTTGAACACTAGTTCTGACAAGTTTCACATCCAGACCATTATACAAGACTATGTTATTTGTTATTGAAAACTCGGATAGGAAAATTGTAATGTGCAATGCTTTCCTTTATTATATATTCCATACATAATATATATAATGTATAAACATATATAATGTATGTACATTCAGCTGAAAGTTAAAATCAACTACTTAACGACGATTCACTATCACTTCAAATTTAGATGTCACCCTCTTAAGCAATCTAGCTACAAATCTACTTGTATTTGCACTATCTGTAGCCTGCAATTGCTTCACTATATGCATAACAAATTTACTTACTGTAAGGAAGGTATACAAATAATACATTATAGAGTGGTCAAAATGGGAATAAAAAAGGTAAAATAAAATTATGTAATAATGGACCTTAATATATTTTACAGCAACGATTACAATCATATGTTCTTTATAAGTAATAAATGCAATTAACATACTTGTATGTGCTTTTACATTATACTAATATTAAATTAACTGCCATATTAATTACCACCAATATTTATTAATAAATCAATGGCTGCATAATCATTTATATCAGATCAACAATATACACATGATTAACTTACTGTGAAATAACAAAAAAGAACTGAGTAATAATAAAATTGTATGGAAAGTAAATGTTTCAGTTCATGGTGGTAAAATAAATCAATTTAATGGCAAGAAACAAGGAACACCAAAAAATATAAATACTTATTTCATCAACTGTATATAAACATACATAAAAACTTAACAGGTACGACAAACATAAGCCAGTATTCGAGCTTATATCGTTATAATAATAAAACTAAGACGATTTTTTCATCATCAATTAAAAATGTCTCTAGACATTAAACATTAAAAACATACACAATATAAAAATAACTTGTAGAGAAAAACAAATTTAAACATTGTACAACAGTATTAAAAAATAATGTTTTGATATAAGTCATCGACAGCCTGCCCAATACAAGGCTGAAAGATCTAGGAGGAAAGGGCGGGAGATAGTTCCAAAGTCAGTGTTTAAGGTCTAATACACTTATTATAAACGATTATCGTACATATTTTCATCAAAAACGTGAAAAATTTGTCACAAGTAATTTATAAATATACATCCTCTAAGCCTAATGGTGTTCAAAATCCTTAAAACATTACATAGGCATTTATTAAAATTAATTATCTGTTTTTTATTAAAAATGTTTTCCTTTTTAAGACAGTGTGGTACAAAACACCATATTCATAAACTCCATTAAACGAAAAAAATATAAATGAAAACATCTTACAAATATTTTTTCGACGATTAACAATATGAATATATAATATAAATTTAAGGCCTGAAGCTAATTGTCATCAGCACAAGAAGCGAGAACAAAGAAAAAGCATGGCACGGGGCACAAAGGAAAAATAAACAAAACAGTCATTTGTTCAGTAATATATCAGGTACATTTTTCAAGAGAGATTAAATAGTCTAAAGATAGGTGCTAGAGTTGTTCTAACATAAATCAGCGTCTTATTAGGCGTTTAATTTCTAAATAACCCTCAGAGAAAACCATTTCTTTATAATTATTCACATGCACCACCTATAGGCAACAATTCATCCAATTTGTTGTAGTAATTACTGCTCATTTAAAATTTTGCATTTTCAGTTTTATTAAAGTATAAAATATGATATACATCATTAAACATTGTAAGACCATCGCTTTGGACAAATAATTGTTTTTGTTTTTTTTAAATCATCAGCCTGATCCTCTTATTATCAATCTGCTATTAGTATTTGAGTAATTAATGTTTAATCTTATAAAAACTTTTTTTTCCATTAGCCTAAAGTTAAAAAGATACCTTATAATTAACCCTTACATTTAATTCAATTAAGCGTAATCACATAATATATCAAGGATAAGAGAAAACAAGTTTCTCCAAGATTGGAATTATTTTTATGTTTTATCCTTTTCCCCTACATTTCTTTGGCAAAATTACGACAAAAGTTTACTTAATTATAATTATATATGTATATATATAAAATATGTATATACAATACAAACACACATATACATATATATATATATACTTTTCTTCTTTTGAAGGCAGTGGTCTCTCAAACTTGGTGTTATGAGACAAACATGAGCACAGCCTCTCTCCTCGTTCAACGTAATGAGCAAAATACAACAAACACCCGCCCTTAGGGCGCCAAAGCTGGCTGACTGCCAGAAAAAATTAGCACAAACAGATTTCCCATTGGTTCCTTATTCACCAGGTAACGACCTTTCAAACAGTGCTAAAGCTCGATGTATAAATTCATACTGCTCAGCTGTCTGTACCATTCCACCCCTAAAGATAAACAGAAAAAAAAAAAAGTTATTCAAAGCAAATTATAATAACACGATATTAAGACCATTATGATATAATAAGAAAGTAACAAAAATATTTGGACTAATATCTAAGATAGTATTTATGGTTATTTAACTAATAATAATAATAATAAAAGGCTTAGTGAACCTGAAGGTTCAATGCCAACACCACCAATCGCTAATTGCACACCTTCTTCCACCGTTCGCCGTGCAAACCAGGTCCCTTCAGATCGGCTTTAATGCAATCTTCCCACCTTCGCTTTGGTCTACCCCTCAGACATTTACCATTCGGTACAAGAGCCCATTTGATTCGCCGCGATGAAATTACCTCAATTATATTACCCGGATACAGGTCACGCAATTCGGTGTTATGTAACCGTCTGAACTCACAGAAAAATAACAAGCATTTGCCGTCCTTCAGTCTAACCTTAATCTCTTCTTCAATTTCGTTTTTTCTAGTTATCGTAGAACCTAGATACCTAAATTTCTCTACCTGTGCAAACATATTACCATCTATATCGATATCACCAGTAGTATCGCCATTTTTACAGCTAACCATATATTTTGTTTTATCCACGTTTATTTTGAGTCCTAGTTATTTACCGGCTTTCATTAACGTTTTCGTATTTAGTTTTATAGTTTCCACCTCTTCGCTTAACAGTACCAGATCATCAGCATAGCCTAGCACGGATGTTGTCCCACCCATATCCAACCCTTTCTTGGTACGCATTACCTCCCTAATGGCTTGTTCTAATGCCAAATTGAACAGGACAGGCGAAAGCGAATCCCCCTGTTTTAAACCCAAACGAAGCTCAAATTTTTAGGATAGATTATTAAAGATTCTAACTTTAATGAGTGTTTCCGCCAAGCACATCCTGACTAGATTTACTTTTTTTTTTTTTTTTTAGATTTACTAGTTTTTTTCTATTTTAATAACCATCCTAAAAAATGGTTATTTAAATAGTATAATAATATATTTGTGCATCCTCGGTACGATAAATGCAGTGGTCTGGGATCAGATTACTAACACATGGAGAAGAAAGACCAATAAAGAACTGCTCACAGAAACTGGTCAATCAATATCCCATGATATGAAGGCACGGAGGTTAAGATGAGCGTGGCATGTAGCTCGTAGCAATCCATCTGGAAGCCTCTATGTAACAATGAATGCTTCAATATAAGGCCTTTTTGGTGCGGGTTTCAACTTCATAGGTGCAATGCTTGATGTAAAGCGGACCTTACACGATCGTGAATGAAAGCCACAAGACTGACAAGGATTGCTCTAATCACGATGAATCCTACACATTCAATCATTACTGACCATTTTAGATCAGTTGATCTGGAGATAGCAGCATGGATCTGGTGAATTTCCCACTTATGATAATGTTTTTAATTTAAGAAGCTTATTTGGAGATTATCCATTATAGCACTAGACATCAAGAGGAAAATGGAGTTATAATAATTACTTCCTAGTGCCTGAAAATCGTTATGACAAAAATTAGAAAAATATAAGACAACTACTTACAAAAAGTAAGGAAAATAATTGCCAAAATAATCAATTGGTTAAGAAAAATGGAAAAAGAACTGACAAACATACACAGCAGTTAAAGATTTTTTTTTCTTCAAATAAATTGTGAAGCTCTCACTTTTTTTTTTCTTAATTTATTGCTCACTTGACTATTTAAAAGAAAACAAAAGAGTTGAAAATGGTTTATAAAAATATAAACTAGGAATATGAAAAACTATTTACTTTCATGAAATTATTTACTTAATGAAAATCGGGAATGTACAATGATTATGAGGCAAAAGAAAACTAATCTATCTAGTAGTAAGGTGTCTAGTTAGAAAATCGTTTTGGCATAAGTTAGACAAATATAAGTCTACTACTTAAAAAAATTAAGGAAATGTATTACGAAAATTATAAATTTGTTGAGAAAAATGGAAAAAGAACTGACAAACATACACAGCAGTTAAAGATTTTTTTTTCTTCAAATAAATTGTGAAGCTCTCACTTTTTTTTTTCTTAATTTATTGCTCACTTGACTATTTAAAAAAAAAGAAAAGAGTTGAAAATGGTTTATAAAATATAAACTAGGAATATGAAAAACTATTTACTTTTATAAAATTATTTACTTAATAAAAATGAGAAATGTACAATGATCATGAGGCCAACGAAAACTAACATATCTAGTAGTAAGGTTAGTCTAGTTAGAAAATCGTTTTGGCATAAGTTAGACAAATATAAGTCTACTACTTAAAAAATTTAAGGACATGTATTACGAAAATAATAAATTTGTTGAGAAAAATGGAAAAAGAACTGACAAACATACACAGCAGTTAAAGATTTTTTTTTCTTCAAATAAATTGTGAAGCTCTCACTTTTTTTTTTCTAATTTATTGCTCACTTGACTATTTAAAAGAAAACAAAAGAGTTGAAAATGGTTTATAAAAATATAAACTAGAATATGAAAATTAAAACTATTGAGAAATGGAGTAGTTGAGGCCAAAGAAAACTAACCTATCTAGTAGTAAGGTTAGTCTAGTTAGAAAATCGTTATGACAAAAATTAGAAAAATATAAGTCTACTACTTAAAAAAAATTAAGGAAAGGTATAGCGAAAATAATAAATTTGTTGAGAAAAATGGGAAAACACTGACAAATATACACAACAGTTAAAGATTGTTTTTTTTTCTATAAGTAAATTGTGAAGTTACCACTTTTATTTTTTTAAAATTTAATGCCTACTTGACTATTTAAAAAAAAAATTACTTTTAATAAAAATCAGGCATTTACAATCAGTGCTCAATTAGTACATTACACGATCAATTGGAACGTCAATAGTGCCTCGGAATGCAATTCCGAATGACTGTGTAGGGTCCGCTTTATACGTGATGCTAGATACTGTACTATACTAGAAATAATGATGATGGGAATGGAAGATTCCAAAATGGTGTAAATAATTAAATTTTGAAGATGCTGAGATTTATTTATCAGTCTTTAATAAATTTTTAATGACTTTCGATGAGAATATTATGTAAGAAGTGTTATAAATCAGCAGACTCAAAGTTTCAGTTTCATGTCAGCCATTTACATCATGCCAAAGTTAAAAGTTGTTGGAAGTACAGAAGCAGACCAACAACTTTTGGTTATTGATTTATTATTTATTATTTTCAATAATCAACCATTGTGATCGACCAAAAAATTAAAAAACTTAACCCCCTCTTAAAATTTGAGGTTTCATGTTTCAGGAAGCGTAGAATTCGAAAAACGAATAAAAAATTTTTTGTCCGTCCGCGCATTTTCTCCGAAACTACAGGACCGATTTGTTTCAAATTTTGATATAAAATCAGAGGTCACCCGAGGATGATCCTCCTTCATCAACATTACTCTCCACCTTTAACTTTCAAAATAGCGGTTGAAAAACCTGTGTTGCTACAGACTGTAGCTCCTAAACGAATGTACAGATTTCAATGAAACTTCGCTAAAGTCATTTTCTCTACGCCCTTTAAATTTATCTATATAACATACTTCAACGAAAAGAAGCTGGAAAAAAAGTTACGAGGGATGGTAAAATTAAATTTCAAATAACTCGAAAGTTTATACTTTTTTGTTAATATTGTATATAGTTTTTTAAAAGTTTACGAAATTTCCTAAAAAAAAAATCGGACGATTAGGAGCAAAGATATGGTCTCAGGTTTTTTTTTATATGTTCTACTCCAAATGTTATATCCTTGGTTTGGTTTTTAAATTTTGAATGTGTTACTGAACTACTGCTATTTTTTTTTTAGTATATTACTAATGATTAAAGAAAAAAAGTTTAGTCCAATAATTGGAATCACCTTTTGTTTTTTTTTCTTTGTAACTCGGAAGGCAATGTTACTTTAGATGTATAATTGTTTGGAAATAATAAACCATTATGAAATAATTTGCAGCGTTTTTTTTATGAATTCAAGAGCTTGGCCTTGTGTAGGGGACTCTGTATATATTCCACTAAATAAAAACTTAATTATAAAATGACAAAATATACACAATGATATAATAAATTATATATTTTATTGGAGAGAATTCAGTAATAAAATATAACTAAATCATCTCCAAATTATTTCCTTACAATCAAATGTCCAACTGAATTGTGAGCAGGTGTTTGGATGGTGCATTAGGAAGTTTGCCAGAAATAAGGAGAATAATTCCAGAGAATAGTGGTTTGTAGCTAGAGTTTTAAACGATATAAAGGTAAAGCATCACACGACTTTCACTTACCACCCTCTTCTTAGCAGAAATAAGTATTTTCAGACAAAAGTGAAGTGAAAATAAAAATTATTGACGCTCAATTTATTCACAATTCATTGTGGATATTTTTACTTACTCTTATATATACAAATTTTAATTTTTATATTCCTGTATTCTATACGATTAACTATTAAATAATATCAACGATAGAGCATTTATGAAAACCGCATATGTATATGAACATAATATTGTCGAGTCCGTATTATATGAAGCTCATGTTACGTATGGAAGGCTGTTGTAATCTTTCGGGCGAGGTTGTATTCCTTTGATTCCTCTATTATAACTATTATCCACTGCGATCTCTTAATTCTCCTTTAGTTAATTATCAAATTCTTTCATATTTTATATTTAACTATTTTTGATATCAAAAGATTAATGTGAAATGGTTAATTATTTCAAATAAAAAAAAAAAAAGGTACTTTAGAGGAAGCCAGTAATGAAAATTAGCCATTTAAGCCCTGATAGAGAACATCAATGAGAATAAAACCTACATTATATTAAAAACTGCTTAATAATACATTGATATACTGAATTTAATCAAAATTGTTAAATCCGTTTTTGAGAAAATTGTATAAATCTGTTAAATCGATTACATAAAGTACCACTTCCGGTTTTCCGATTTTAACAAACCGATATTGCTGTAACATCTATAGCTTATAAAATATTAAATATGAAATTTCACTTTCATACGACTTTGTTTTTGAGCTAGACTGATAACACACACAGACTTAACACATGACACACAGACCATTTTGTAGGAATTGGTTATTTGGACTCAGGAGACCTCAAAACATGTATTTTCATTGAAAACTCAGACTCAAAAATGTACACGATCGCAATACTTAACCTTAATATATACTGCATATATAGGTAAGTGAAAGTAAAAAGATTTAATCAAGCAAGCTGTTGTAAGATTAAGGACAAGGCTTACATTGTATAATAATATTATGGTAAAGGAATAACATAAAGCAATATTGTCTGCAAGTGGAAATGAAGAGTTGACCTAAAGATAGGATAGGAAATAGTGGACAGAAAAAATAAACCAGAACTAGTTTATGGCTAGTATTAAATTAAAATAAATCATAAAAGAAAAATCTTTGATAATAAATATTACCTATCATATCTCATTTTACAAACAATGCTGAGAACATCAACTGAGTTTTCCGCGAGGAGTTGGCATACACCGATGCAAATAGCGATAAAACAGCCAGTCCTTCCTATACCAGCTGAGCAATGGACAATCACCGGTCCTAGGGGTCTGCCACGCTTCGTAGAATCTTCAGCCCATCTGCAACATAAAAAGGTAATATACATTAAATTGGCAATAGAATATTTAACACTTAACTAGGGTATAGTATTTTGTTGTAAAAACATAAAAAAAAAATTACCATTAATTTTTTTGTTCTAATTTTGTAATAACTTAATAGTTGATGGGTGATAAATATTCAGAGGACGCACTAAATATAAATATTTTATTTATACCGACGTTTCAACCCAAACATGTTGTTATGGTTTTTAATTTGGAAAAATCGTTTCCGCAACAAAATTGCCGGATGCTCAGTGGAGACGGTAGGGTGCGCAAAAAAAAAAAAAAATTTAATTTAAAAAAAAGATTAGGACGCAGAGTGAGTTACGAACTCGGAACCTATGGGTTTAAAAACATATGTTAATTAACCTCATTGAACCTTCTTACTTGGTTAATAACGACTTTCGCTAATCCCTCGAATAGGGTTTTACAGTTCCTTATTAAACCTTAAAAAAAAAAAAGAATATAATATACATAAAACGTGAAAGCTAACAGAAGAAAATAAAAATGGCTATTATTAATACTAAAGATGAATTTACTTATTTCTATTGATTTAAATAGCTGTTAAAGGAAATGAAAATAATGAACAAGAAATTAGATTTTTAAGAAAACAAAGAAAATACGATTAACTTTAATTATTAAAAAAAAGAATATAAGATTATTATAGAACTAAACATTAACCTACAACTATACAATATACCAATTACAAATATTTGGAAATAAAAATAGATAGGAAAAAACTTATATGTACATATTTACAAAACATCAATGGTTGAACTCTGTCCAATTGGCACATTGGGTTATCTGAGGAAGCGGGGACTTATTCGAGCTAACGTCGTCAGGGTCTCCCCAGTCCACTTCTTCAAGTTGTGAAAATGTTCATTCACCAACTTGTAAAATCAAGCGGCACTCGTCGCTGATGATCATAGGTTCATCGATAGGAAAAGAGAATCCGGTGTACACCGTAAAACTTAAGTATTTGACACAACCAAATCCTTAGCGTGCCTCAACGTTCGCGAGGTTCCGTCATCTCTCTCTAAACTGTCTTTTGTTTTTCCTCATAATCAGCTGTTAGTTATCCCAATCCAAAATAAAATGAATATTTAAAACTAAGACTTATTATAAACTAATACTAAATAATTAATTTTATATTTAACCCTCTTCGAGTTAAAAAAAAAACTAACTGAACTAACTGAAAAAAAAAAACTAACGATTATTTTACGAACAAATTTTTTTTTAAATTAATTTTTCGTCACAATGTGGGTAGTTTGGGTTGAAACGTCGACACAAATAAAATCTTCATAACGACTGCGTTCTGAATATTTATCACCCATGATGTGTAGAACAGTCGACTAACTTCCTTCATTAATAGTTGATGATTACATAAAAATAAACCATCAATATTGAAGTTGCGTGTCATCTGGAACGAATGGTGGCTTATAGAGAAGAACATTCTGGCAGTTTTGAAACTTAGAACCGAAAAAATGTTTTTGTTTTTTTCTTTTAGTGAGGTTTAGGCTGTATCAACTTTAACACTGTGACAATAATGACAAAAGCGGACCCTACACGGTAATTCATGAATGAACGTCACAAGAATGGCAAAGATTGCTCGGGATCGCTTTGATCATGAAGACCCTTACACGTTCAATCATCAGAAGACCATTCTGGTTCACTGATCATTGCTGACACCAATTTAGCTCAGTTGTAAACAAAGAAACAGCATAGATATGCTTATTTGGACATTGTCATTTATAATATTGGGCATCAAGAGAAAAATGGGGATATAATAATTACTTCCTAGTGCCTGAAAATTGTTTAGACCAAAGTTAGAAAAATATAAGTCAACTACATACAAAAATTTAGGAAAAGTATTGCAAAAATAATCAATTTGTTAAGAAAAATGGAAAAGTTAATGACAAATAAACACAACAGTTAAAGATTTTTTTCTAGAAGTAAATTGTGAAGTTTTCACTTTTTGTTTTTGTTTTCAATTTATTGCCTTTTGACTATTTAAAGAAAAAATAGTTGAAAATAGTTAATAAAAATATAAACTAGGGATATAAACAACTATTTATTTTAATGAAATTATTTACTTAAAAACGAGACCTAGGTAAACTAACCTATCTAGTAGTAAGGTTAGTCTCGTAGAAAATTGGTTTGACAAAAGTTAGTAAAATATAAGTCTACTACTTACAAAAATTAAGGAAAGGTATTGCGAAAATAATAAATTTTTTGAGGAAAATGTGAAAAGAACTGACAAATATACACAACAGTTAAAGATAATTTTTTTTCTTAAAGTAAATTGTGAAGTTTCCAATTTTTTTTTAAAATTTGTTGCCCACTTGACTATTTAAAAGAAATAGTTGAAGATGGTTTAAAAATATAAACAATGGATATGAAAAATTATTTAACTTTTTACTTATAATGAAATTCAGAAAGGTTGTGAGGTCTAGGTAACCTAAACTATCCAGTAGTATGGTTAGTCCCAAGGTCAGTAAAACTACCAGGTTCGCTCACTCAGAGGGAAAATGGCGGCGAGGAATTGAGCTCTGACGTAGCCAAAAGACTGAGTTTACCCCTACGGCCTTTGTTTCTCAACATTTTAAGATTATTATTTATTTTTGTACATTAAATCAATATGGTATTGCCAGATAACTTATTAATTTTAATAAATTTGAAAGGTTGATTTGATATTTGGTTTATTCTGAATCAAATAAAATGTAATTTAACAAGTGATTTTTTGCAAAGTACCACAATACTACTTTATAAATATTTCAAATAAATACAGAGCATAATATAAAATAATAGAAATATTGAAAAAAAAAAAGAAAAAGTATTTCATCTAGCATTAACGAAATGTTTTCTTTCCGTGATTTTTTGTAAATATTACATTTTTATGTCATAAGTAATCATATGTAGTGATTTTTTTTTTGCTTTGATTTTATGTTTTCTTAATTGTTGTAAAAATCATTGGGTATTTAAAAAATTGATTCTATTAAATACCCACCCGTTGGTTGCTGAAAGAAAGGCTTTCTTCATTAATTTCTACATTTTGATTCCTAAGAAAAAGATAGTAAATTTTTTTACTATATTTTTACTTATACATTTTAAAATCCAATCTTTTCTTCGACATCCTTTGGAAAAATATGAAATGAAATTTTCTTTCCCATCTTCTTTGTGTCAATTAGATTATTGTTGCAAGATGCAACTGTGCATTTTGTACGTGGCATTCTATAGGATTCTATTAATAATTATGTTATTATGAGAAATACAAGAAACACTAATAAGAACAATCGAATTCACTGTAACATGTTATTACAAGTGAAAAAAAAAAATACCCGTTATAATATTATTTTAGAGACGGATAAGTAGTTGACTGTTAAGATTATAAGGTGAAAATTAAATTATCAGGATTTTGCAGTAAAATTTGTTTATTTTTTTAATTAAATTTATTTATTTAAAGAAATTTTTACTACAAATCCTGACAAAGATCTTCACCCTTATAATATTATTATAATATCGTTATAATATTAAAAGAAATACCCACGAGACATACAAACAAAATTACACAAACATTGTGCTAAAATGTTCTCTAAACATATGTAAATCTTAGTTTTTTGTATTTATGTAATATATTTGTATATTATTTACAGAGATTTGGAATAAAGAATTTAAAAATAATCTTAATATCAATTTCGTTCTTTTCGTTTCAGTTCTGGCCTGTAATCTATATAGCATTTTATTCTAGATTGATAGCCGTATTTATTTATCTGCTTGAAATTATCTTCAATCAAATGTCAAAAACACAGAAAAGTATTCTTCTCAATAAATGAAACTAGAAAACCAAAAAAAAAAGCACAATAATGTTGAAATAAGCCTTCATCGATAGGCTTGAAAGAGTAATAGGTAGGTCTCGCAGTCTATTCCTTACGTCACGTTTCAATTCCCCACCACGCATTTCTGAGTTAGCGAACCTGGTAGTTTTACTGACCTTGGGTTAGTCTCCCCACTACTTTTACCTCAGTCCCCCCTCCACTTCTCGTGAATGAACCTTTGATTTCCCGATGTTCGGAAATCCGCCACACACCACCATCAGTACTTCATTCACTACCTTACACGATAATTCGGAATGTCATTAGTGCTTCGGAATGCAATTCTGAATGACCGTGTATGGTCCGCTTAACTTATAAAAAATAAAATAAAATTGTTCTGCTGAGATGGAAAATGGATTGATACTACTTAATTACTACATTGCAAAATAAATTAATAAGTTTAACGATTTATAGAACACAGTGTACATACCTTGGACTAAGGAGATTGGGAGGAGAAGGTCCAACAGGACTGCCTTCCTCCGTCCAAACCGAACTCTCTCCTGAGCTCTGAGTCCACGCCTTCGACCTCGGGCTGTCGTATGAAGAATTGGTCCTGTAAGGAGACTTGTCCGAGAGGGAGTCACCGGAGAGCTGTGCAGTATCATAGCTGGAAGTGGAATTCGTTGAAAGCTTCTCAAATCGCCAGAAAACACTTTCAGTTCCCGGAGGAGGGGAAATCCCGGGAGATGGGGAAAACCTTAAGAATATTCACAATGTTAATAAAATTTTCAATAATAACGAAAACAATATTGAAAAGATTTTGTCCAGTAAACCACCTGCAATGAAGTCCTTAATCAACAATTGTTGATAATTCTTTCTAATAGGCAAAACTCTACTCTAAGTTTCTAGAAAAGGAATCATGCTCTAATGCATAGTGTTTGCTAATTTCCTAAACAGAGGTTAACTTATAACATACATTCATTAATTCCAATTAAAAACTGGTTCAGGAGAAATGTTACTACAATTTAATAGAGGTAGGTGGTGGCAATTTATTAATACCTTTTGTCCATAAATAAGCCAATAGATTGAAAGAGCAACTTAAATAAATGCTGGCCTATGAAAAAAAAAAGAAAAAATACTGTTTACAGGAGACTAATAAAAAAAAACATCTAAGATGCATTAAAGTAGTTTTATTTGTTTGATAAGATATGTTTAAATACTACATAGGAAATGTATTTCAACAACTGAAGAACATTAACCAAACTAATATGTTCAGAATATACTTATTATTAGTAGTATGGACATGATTCTGATGTGCACGAATGATCAAAGTGAACGATGAAGATGCAACGAACAAATAAGAAAAATGCAAATTACGGCGGAATGGAAAGTAATGATAATACTTAAGGATTTAGACCCACAACACATAATCTTCCAACTCACTCACCTCTTTATGGGTTCCACACAACTATTTGAGGTATTTCCCTAGCCCCATTTCCAAAAACCCACCTTTCAGTTCTTCCCAATTTTATCAACACGGTTTGTGAGAAAATTTCTTTTTTGTTTTGCATCAATATACTATAAAAAATGATAACTGTTCCCTTGGTGAGGTTATCGCCTTAATTGTGTTACATCAATACAAAGAAATTTTACATGTGTAAAGGAACAATTAACATCATAAATAACTTTGAATCAAATAGTAATTTGAAAATGGGAGATGCACTGGCATGCATCTGATTTAATCTAGATGGAGGAAAAGCAATTTGGGAAATACTAAAATACAAAAATGTAACCTTGCTTAAAAGCAAGTTTCATCAAAATGGTTAGTGCCATTTATGTACAAGAGCTGATAAAACAGTTTTTTTTTTTTTTGGCTATTATGCACAGAGGAGCCATAAAAACATGCCAAATTTATGGCTGTTGGCCAATGTAGGCCAAAATGAAGGAAATCAATATACATAAAGGAACAAAGTAACAAAATCAGCCTTCCTATTAAAAAGATAATCACACCATATACATATAGGCCAATGGCTGACTTTTTTTATTTAAAGGAGGCTCTGAAACACATAATTTGTTAAAAACTACCCATCAAAATTTGATCCGTTTACAATACCTTTCTTACTCAGTAGGGGTAAGAAAATAAAAGATCTTTAGCAACAAATTGTAGTGGTTTACATTTTACACTCAATTAGATGTCCCTGCTTTTTCTATAAATAGCCTTCTGTGGTCTGTGTCTTTGACCAAAGAGGTTTGACACAAGAACACCAGCCAACGAGGTATTATCGAAGAAGTTAAAACCAAATTAAAATCTTGTTTATTTTTATTATTTCAATACTATATTCCTTTAATTTTAGAAAAATTTATCTATTTATTTGAAGAAAAGGATATTTATTTATACAAACAGTGCAATAAAGTTTATGTTTTTTTAGTTTGGTTGATTTATTTATTAGCCAATATCCCAACAACAAGATCAATAAGATTTTAAAGAGGTCCGTCCTGCTGGTAGGGCTGAAGAACAATGTATTTTTTACTTCTCAAAGCCAAAACAAACAATCCCCCTTAAATAAAATCTATTCAATGATATAAAAATCCATTGATAGGTGCCAGTTTGCTAAAATAATTGGTCATCAGCTGATTTAGGTGTGTTGCAGGTCTAGATCAAGAATTCTTGGATGAAAATGTCACTTTACTAAATTATTTATGAAAATGAAAAACTCTTTTTTTTCAAAGTTAATTTTAATTTCAATAATGAAATGAAAGAGACTATTTCTCAAAACAATACGGGTGCACTTGTTATTTATTCTGAAAACCAATAAATCAGTAAACATCTAATAAATTCACAGTCCCACAAGCACTAAAAACTCTAATTCAACTAAATATTGAGACAAAACTAATTAATTATATTAAAATCAAATCGACTACTTCCTGGTTATGTTGAGCAAAACCTGATTGAGCAAGTTCTTGACAGAAATGTTTATCAATAAATATTCTGAAATATATAACAATTTATAAATATCACAACAACAAATAAACTATTGTAACAATTGGATAGGAATGAGTAACAATCGGGAAATAAATTTGCTGCAACAACTTTTAATTTAATGGGAGATAGCACAAAATATTAGTTGTAAACATTAAAATATTCTAGCTGGCCACCAAAAATTACAGAGGAATCAATTAGCATATATAAAAAAACAACACTTTCAAGATGATAAATTATTAAATGCATAATGGAGTAACTATCATGCAATAACTAAGAAAATATTAACAGGTTAATCTAAATAATTGACGGAACGATGAGGACAGACTTCTCAAACAGGCAACCCAACCAAACCTCCACTCCATGAAATAATCAATTCCGAAGATGTTGTATATATAATAACCATTCTTGGTCAAGTCAAACCTATGCAGAATCATTTGATTTCATTGCATTAATTATAATACCTACAGATTTACAATGATACCTAACCACCCAAGTTTTCTATATGTATTATTGCCTGCCATTTTTTCTGAATAGAGTGAAACACCTAGTTTTGGCACCTGCTTGTTTTTGCTGGCTTATTATCTTTATTGAAAACAGGACAAACATATTTTGAAGTTTCCGTAGAGGTGCCGAAAACAAGAAGTTTTATCCGATGTGATATATCCTAGAAGACAGACATGTTTTTATTAATCCTAATAAGTTTATTGTAATAATAATAAGTTGTACTCATTAAAATTATTAAACAAAAAAACTATTTTTTGTTTTCTCCATGGATCCCCCCCTTTTTTTCCTTCAGGCTCAACGGATTCTTCTTAAGGTACTATTTCGCTGGCACTGCCCACGGCAGTGACTGCTGCCGGCTGAGCACTGCTTTAGAGAAATAAAAAGGAACATATTTTGTTGGCACTGCTTGGCAGTCTAGGTATGACGTCATATCTATACTGCTTCTTTCTGACCGCTTCTGAAGCAGTGAAGTTGTAGACAGCATAGCCGTTATATCTACTGCTATCCTTCCGATACAAATAAAACCATTAAATTTAAGGCTAACATTTTTATTTAAAATTATATCAAACTAGGACACTAAATTGGTAAGATTTGGCCGCGATGATGAGCAGTTTCAGTGAAATAGACGGTTCGCAGCAGGGAATAGCGGTCGCTGCCGCAGGCAATATTAGCAAAACAGTACCTTTAGCATAAATCTTTCAGATACCCCTTCATCTCTTGTAGTTTTCATCATCATCATGGCTCTACAACTCTGTCTCGAGTTCTGGCCTCCTCTAACAGCTTCGGCCGATTGTTCCTGTCCTGTTCAGATCCATCATCCAGTTTCTTATTCCGAGAATACTTCCAGCATCTTTAAGCACATCATCAAACCAACGCAACTTAACTTCTTGAGGTGTACAGTGGATGTTTGAGGAGCTTCTTTGGTATTTCTTCCTCTCCCATTCTTGACACATGTCCTGTCCTGCCCACCTTAGCCTGCTCAATCTGATGATCTGTAAGACGTTGGAGAACATGACATATAATTTCCGGTTGGAGCGTCTTCTCCATTGTCCAGCTTGAACTCCTCTACATATTCCACGGAGCATCTTCTATTCGAATATCCAAAGGTCCCGCTCGTCATTTCACAATCACAGAGAACTGGACATATCAAGATTTGTCTAGACTAGAGGCAACTACATAACTCCTAGTTTATTTTTAATTTTAATGATTTTTTAACAGGATTTTTGTAATGATAAAGCAGATAAATTAGCCAGAAAAAGCTCTGAAACCCCCCCTTAACACTTAAACTTTTTTGTCGTTTCAGCATGAGCTTTATTAAAAAGAGAATCGCAGAGATCTACGGTAAAGAAGCTATTAATTATTGGTGCTCCAAAAATCAGATTCATTCTAGGCTGTTCCTGGATGGGCTCTGTGCAAAGAGAAGCAATTCGCTAATTAACCTGAGCAGGAATGAAACTGCTTATCACCTCACCTGTTGGTGGGATAGGTTTGCCGGGATTATGCTATGAGCAACCAAAATAATGTTCTGAATAGGAACAGCACTGAATTAGGGCATTTAATAAGCCCGTCATGATCGTGGTGCATTTTTCCATGGAAAAACAAAACAGGCTTGTTTGAAAATAAGATTGTTTTTTTCTTAAATTGACATAACCTTGAATTTGTTTTGAGGTAAAACATGGACTGGCAGTATTACAATCTGACTCATATAGCATATAATTGATTTCAGGAGTAGAATTAAAAGCCGTTCCTCAATACATTTTACCAATGAAACTTACTTATTCTTCAATGTTTATAACAAAACAATGAACAGCATTAAATAATAATGTTTTTATGATATAAATCTAATACTTCTTAAGTGTTAGTAACTATGAGTTACAGACAGTTATAAATTTATCATTATTTCTTATATTACTCATTGTGCAACTCCAATATAACTCAAAAGGCTGACTAATACTGTTAAGAATGTGAATAATTTCTTAAATTAAATTTTTTTAAATACAAAGAGGTGCAAACTGAGCCTACAAAATAAAATTCAAACAAAGGCCTACCTAAAAGCTGTACTATCATCCAACGGTGTCGCATAGTCAGGGGATGCGGTGAATGTTTTGGTTCTTTTCTTAGATGGAGATGTATCAGCGGACAGACCTTCTTCTTTTAGTTCAAGGTTACCGAAGGTTAGGACAGGGCTAGTAGATTCTTTCAACCAGACAGCTGATGGCCGTCGCTGAGCAACACCTCCAAATCTGTAATGGTCACCTTACGATTAGAGACACACAGATTAAAATATTCTGACCATGCTCACCATAATCAAACACTTGGTGAATGGATTTACCTTATTTTAACCGACAACTTTTTTATCAATGAAGTACTAAAAATATATAAATATCCACTTGCTTTCTTTCTCTTAAATCATATGATAATTTAATCATAAAATCGGGAAAAAAAATGTTGGGCCATTTCGCCTATATAACCTTGTTATTTTGATAAGTTGGATGTCATATTCATATCATGTAGGCTACATTTTTTTTTCCGATTTTGTGATTAAATTATCTTACGATTATCAAGACAAAATTTACTGATCTCAAAATAGAATACACTCAATTTCCCATAACTTTCATGAATAAAAATGTAGGTTATGATGAGATGAAGTCATCATTATGAAATATTAGACAGATGTTGATAATTCGATGAAAATGGGGACTATAAATGAACATTGCTTCTGTCAGAGAAATTACTTGAAGCTTTTAGATTCTCCAAAACATGGATCATATCTCTCTTAAAATTATCTATCTTCTATAAGGGACTATTGAGGTAAACATCTAAAAAACAAAATGACATATATTTGTGACAAAGAGAAAACTTTAAAATAATATAATGGATTTTGTATTTAATTACAATGCATACATTATTTAAGTAGAGAATAGATTCGATTTTCCATAGAGAGCAAAGTTCAATTTATATATTAAAAAATAATGGTGAAACCAAATTAACATTATTAACAATACAACATTAGTCTCACAATGAAATCACATATTCAACAAATACTAACTTCTTAGTAAAACTAAAAAAAAATTTCAAAAATTAAATTTTTACTATAACTTTTTTAATGCATAAATACTAGCTAGCAATATACTATGAAAATACTAAAATAATACAAAATCAAATTATTTTTAATTATGTGACTTTACATAGAGACAGTCTTATATTAAAAATGAAATAAAGAAAAAGAATAAAAAACATTTACCAAAATTATAATAAATAGGATTCATATTAGATCTCTATAATTAGGTTTCACTGAGGATGATTACCTTGCTAGTTCAACTTCTTTTGCGAGGCTAAGCAGGGAGTGGGCATTCGGAGGGGTTTTATGATCGGGCCAAGAGTCGAACCAATAATGAATTACTTTTTTAGTTTCTTCATTTTTCTGAAAAAAAAAGAAAAAAGGTTATTAAGAACCTCCAACGAGTAATAATTTATCATTTGATAACTAATGTATTGATTATGCGGCGAGGCATATTCTAAAACTAATGTCTGTTTGATCATAAAAAAAAAAGGTATTGACCATTTCCGAAGAATTTGTTTATCACTCATTATTTCAGGTATATATAGTAACAAAATGTTTTTTCTTTACAAAATGTCTAGAAAAAAACAGATAAATAAAATTTGTGTTACCACCATTCGAAAAATCACAAAATTTTAAAAGAACGAATATCTGATTTATCATAAATGTCCTATTAAGGCCCTAATAATAATATTGGGTGTTACAAACTTTTAATAAGCCAAAAAACTTATGTAGAATTTTCTGTGGATCATATAATGCTAAATTGTATAATTAACAAATAGTTTATATTGTTTTTAAAGCTGAAAAAGTTAATAAGCTTTAAAACAATATAGGGAGGTTTGGCTAATTGTCTAAGGTTTCAAGGAAATACAATAAAAACTAAGAAATCTAGTTTTAAAAAATAACTTTTTTTTCTATTTTAAATTATAAGCAAGGAATTAAATTTTAATATTATTTATTATTCCAAATTCCACCTCAAACAAGCGTTGCTAATACCTAATGCTTAAGAATTTCACAAGAAAATATCAATTGATGAATAAAAAACTAATTTGCCCAATAAGAAATAAACTAACTTCCTTAAAAAAAAAAAAATCTTTTAAGGGCATTGAATTGAGGGTTTTGTGGCACCTCGATGCCTTGTGGAAGCACATTAATCCCTTATGTCCTTATTGTGGTATTACGGAAACTGTTGAGCATATCTCCACAACCTGCACTGCTTTTGAAACAATAAGGACTTGCACTGCTTTTGAAACAATAAGGACTAAGTTACTGAGGGAAACTGGACTCTATCATCACAAAGGAGAATTTACCTTAGCTAAAAACCAAGAACAACAACCTGTACTATGCAGCTTTCATGTAGGTGCAAGGAATTAGTGGGGTAAATCATTAATTAATAATCTCCTTCAATGAAAAGGAACAGGACACTAAATTGAAAGAAAGAAAACTGTGAGAACAAACGGAAAAAGTGGTATATGCTATCTCGTTCAAAAATCCATATTCCAAGGGTCAGGAAAAAACATAATACTTATATTTTCTTTTATTTATAGTTTTAAGACTGTGTTTCTGATATTCAATGCAGTGATCACAACTCATGTCGATGAACCTTTTGTCTCAAAAGCTGTCAACCGTTTTATACAAATATTTAATAAAAACAAGAAATGTTGGTACTAAAGTTACCTGTAATGTGATATGCCTGATTGCATATCCGTCCTTGTTGAGAAGGGAATCGATAGTGACCGTTATCGAACCATAGAGTACGGGAGACCCCACGTCAGGCGGAAGGTATGCCTCACACTTAGGTCTCGACTTCTCCCAAAGGCGAGTGATCATAACGAGGACCGGGCACCCTTCATACCAAGTCATCTCCCAGAGATCATTAACGGTGTTTGTCATAGGCCCTTGGGTTGCTATGAAAGCCTTATCCTCACCATCATAACCCTGAGAAAAATTAACACGATGCACATTACAGAAATGAAATAAAAAAATGTTTTATTATTCTGGGACTGTTGTCCCTTAAGAACAAAATATAAATACAGATTGTATGTCTGTGTGGTTACAATTAAATTGTATATTTACAATAAAAGTTGACTCAAGATAAAAATACTGAAAAGAGAAAGAAAAGAACAAGTAAATTGTACATATATATGAGAAACTAAAATAACCTTAATAAATTGAGGTAGTCTCTGGTGGTGCTCAGATATTTCTCTTAGATATATTTCACAATCATTCGGATTGAGAAAGGAGTAGGTGCTTAATGAGGAGAGGTTTAAAAGAGGAAACTGATTGAGCGTGTCGAATATCAGCAGGGATGGAATTCCAGAGGGAGGCGGAGGATAGAGGTCAGAAGTATGAGATCTGGTGGGACAGGATTGGATGGAGTATTTGAATTGTAAGCTGTGAAAAATATAGGAGGGTCGATGAGTTCTGAAGATTTGGTACAGAAAGGTGGCTAGGAAGTACTGACGGCGATAGGATGGGTGAGTGAAAGTCATTTAGCCAGAAGTGAAAATCATTTAGAATAATAAGTCATATGTAGAGATCAATGTAGGACTTTTATTTCATTCTCTTCCTCCTGGCCATGAGCAGCATTAAATATAATAAAGCAAGGCAATTGAAAATCAAGTTATTATAATTAACACATTTTTTTCTACAGGGACTCAATGTTAACAGGTCTAAGAATTAAATTCATTTAACAGTAAATCCAGCTATATTTCTAGAAAACTTGTTCATTATTTTTAACTTACATACCTATAATTTTTTTTAAATTAGGTTATTTTAAATTACAACTAGCTGTGCCCCACCCAATTTCATCTTCCATATAAAATTTGGATTGTACGAGCCTATTTCATACACAAATGAGTACATGACATTGGATTAACAGAACATTTTGATAAACACGGTACTATGTTTTGAACTAACACAAACCTTACACTATATAATTATTTGTCCATGAGAAGAAGAAACTCTTCTTAAATCTACTCCAATATCCTTATAAATTTGTCACTGCAAATGATATGCTTAGGAAAACCTGTGCTATTGTAATTTTTCTACAGTCTTCCAGATTGATTGACATTTTTGGATAATACTATGTTTCTATGGGTCCTAGGATGATGTTATGAAGTTTAAAGCAATCCTCAAATAACGGCTGATTTAATGCAAAAAGCAAGACATGGGACTGGTAATTTCAGAAAGTGACGCGTTCAAATAAACTCTTCAGTTTAACAAGTATGGATTTATATGAAAAGAGCTTTGATAATGATCAGGAGTGTTGCATGGATGACAACAAAAAATATTCCTATAAAGCAAGCAATTTTCATAGTATATATTATTATTTTATCAAGATTAATATGGACGCTGACATACTATCAGTATAATAAACAGTACTACTAATTCACGACATAATTATTTAAAATGTTTCAAGATAATTACAATAATACTTATTAGTTATACTTACTCTTATATAATTAGCATTAATGTATCCAGGAAGGTTATCAGACTTTTCATCTACAGGCAAAATAACACGTGTGGACTCATTAGGAATTACTGTTTTATATCTGAAAAAATGAATAAATAAAATATAAACATTGCATGCAAATAACGTGAACCAATGAAATTTATTTTTCTTAGTAGAAAATTGTTATAATCACTAAAAAAAAAATCTGGTGCGAGCAACACACAACTTTCACTTACCGCTCTGCTTTGATAGAAATTATTTTCTGGCAATGCTGGGCTATTATATAATTTTTAAAGTCCAGTTTAAAAAGAGCTAAAGGTTAATGCTAACAGATAACAAAAAGTCTATTTATTATATCGACGGTAGGCAATAAAAATCTAGTTACTCCATCTTCTTTTATAAACTACATAACTTTAGTCTCTGAACCTTTCAGTTGACAGAATGACTAACTTCAATATCAAAATTTTTGAGTAATGTAATTTTAGTGATATTTCTAATATCTATACAGACAGTGAGTAAGTTGATTCCAGAGTAGGTGGTAGCAGTGTTGAAACAAAAGCTGCGAATAATAGTATAAATTTTGCCACTAGAAATATCACTAAAATTAATAATAAAGAATGTTGAAATTGGGGTTAGTCATTCTGTCAACCGAAAGGCTCATATCTGCCTAGAGAGACTTGAAAGAATTGTATATTTAAATATTTAACCTATAAATGATTATGGATTGTAGGATTATAAGTTATCAAACTGTTATTTTCCATTGTAAAGTTTATTAAAATGAAATTAGGAGACTTTTATTGTCTACCGGTCAAAAGTTGTCTCCTTCCTCCAGTTTAAGTCCTATTATCCGTCTTAGTATTTTCCTTTCAAACCGATCTATTCGTTCAGCAGATGTCTTTATTAGAGTACATGTTGCATATGTTGCAGCTGGCCGAATAATCCTTTTGTATATCCTAAACTTCGTTGTACGACTTAACAATCTACTTTTCAGAAGACTCGCTAGAGAAAAGTACGCTCTGTTGGCAGCCATTATTCTAGCTTTTATTTCCTCCTCTTCGTTATTGCAGTTGTTAATTATGGACCCGAGGTAGGTGAAACTTGTATTATATTGTAAAATGTAGTATTGCATGAAAATAAATAAATTTAATAACAAGTATAATAAGCTATTAATTATTTAATACCTGTTCTTAGCAGATGATCCTGGAACGATGAGTTTATCAGGATGGTTGAGGGGAAGATCCCAAAACTCCCTGTGTAAAGCTCGTACGTCTTTTAAGCATGCCCTTAAATTTTCTCTTGTCAGTATACTTGAGCAGGAAAGTAGATATTCCTCGGTAGTGCTAACAAATAAATATTTAAAATTAAAAAAAATAAATATTATTTAGAAAATAATTAATTTACTAAAACAATAAAAAAAAATGTAACCTCACCATTCCCGGGTGGGGGTGACAGTGATGTTGTCATGGGAAGGAGGATGTGCTAAATCGATTGTTAAGCTCGCACTCGAGCCACGTCTTTCGAGTAAGCCTTTGGCTTTCGTCTTCATACATATATTTTCACCTAAATCATACATTTGGAATTATTTATAATTTAAAGTAAAAATATCGCTGTGAGAAGTCGTAAATAAAAATACTAATTAATGTTCTCATAATTGATAATTCATTTTAAACATTATCAGGCTACCCTGAAATTTCATTCAGACATTTGTAACGATGAATGAGGTCCAAAAATAGATGTAAGCCACACCAGTAGGAAAAAATTGTTTATAACAACATAACCATTTTTTGTTTAAAAGTATGCTAATTAGAGAGATTGCACAAGTACATATACTTCAGCATAATGTTGCTTTATGGCAGAGTTATTAATATTCTTACAATCTTTATAAGACAAACAAGTTTAAAAATCAGATTCTAATAACATTTTCTTTAATAACTAAATTTAACATTTAGAGGAATTTTGTCGAATTTCTTTAGAAGACAGTAATTCAACTTTTGGAGGACGTTTTAATAAAAAAAATACTTTATATCAGATTTTGTATAAGATATGTCTAAATAAAGTCAATATATTGTCAGTAACAATAAAGTGAAAATGAAATAAACAAAAGCGAATATTTCTTTAAATAAAAAATATTGGTTACGATCTAGTCGAACCAATGTACCATAGCAAATTCTGGTAAACTAAACTATAAACTTTTAAAACTAAACTATAAAAAAAAAAATAACACTCTTAAAATAATAATAACAAAATAAAAATATATAAAAAAAAATATAAATATAAAATAAAAAAATAATCTTACCAGCAGGTTGGGTAATGACTTGCGGGACTATGACAGGATGAGATACCCACTGTTCTTCATCAGTGCTTTCTTTGTCATCACCCTCGCCACCGTAACTCATTGTGCTTCTAAGCCAGATCAGTCCCTGTGCCATAAATAACATTAAATGTTAATTCTACCTTAAAGTGTTAAGCTTTATTATTTTTTTAATGATAACTAAAGTTGATAAATAAAAAGCCTTAAATTACTATATTCTAAAACATTTTAATTTAATTTTATGACAATTTGGTAATTTCATGGAAAAAATACATGATGAGCAGATATACAATTCAAGTGTTAAAGAAAACATTGCAAAGATTGAAATTCCACTTTTCAAATAATTAAAAAAGGTTCAAATTTAGCTACAAATTGGAAATAACAGTGCGCCTGGGAGGGATGGTGAGGACTGAGGTGCGGGGGAGGAATGGTTTTAGTCCACTGTGACAAGATATGCATTATCTAACATCTCTTAGCTCTACTTTATAAACATGCGTTTATAAAAGCTAATAAAATATATTTTAAACTAACTATTTCTATTTAGAAATGACAGGATGAGAGAAAAAAAGGAAAGATATTTTTTGGATAGTTTTGGTAGCTGGAAGCACTATTCTAAGCTAAAAGGTATAAGGTACCTCAGATAAGCTATGCACTAGCAGGGTATAACCAAGCCGTGACTTCACTCTTCGGACGTAGCACTGCCCCCAACATTTTTCTTGAACGCTTATTATTTTTGTTAATATTTTTATTAGTTGGGTATGTCAACTCGATGGAGAGTTCTGGCCTCCTCAACCAGCTTCCTCCAAAGGTCTCTCTCTATCTCTGGTAGCCACCGTCTAGTCCCTGATGCTGAGCATATTTCAAGCGTCCTTTGCCACATCACACCGTCGAAGCCTTGGCCTCCCTCTCCTTCTTCTAAAGAGCTCATCTCTTAACAGCTTCCTTGGCATCAATTCACCTTCAATTTGGGCCTCGTGGTCAGCCTGACATAGGCTTCCTGTGCGTATTCCTCGATTTAAAAGATCTTGGTCGCTCCTTCACCTCCATTCATTCCTCCTAATATTCTACGAAGAACTTTACTTTCAAAGATCTAAAGCTCTTGCTCACTGTTCTTGAAAAGGGTCTTTCCTGGAGAGATATTGCCTCACTAAGTGTCTATGAAATCCAAAGTAACACCGGTCAGCAGAAACAATTCTATTCTTGATCTCCTGTTCGACGTCATTATCCTATGTTACAATCGACACGAGATAAGTGAACTCTATCTTTGCCAATAAGCTCCAGAAAGATATATAAAAATTCTGGGCTTTTTGCATTTTATTGTTGAATTCTTATCTTCACCGAAAAATAGAAATTTAAAATTCATGTAATCACCCTATTGCTTCGTTCATATCTTGAGATATCATGATAAAAGGTGTTTCTTTTTTCATTAAATATCTCGATTCCATTTTCTTAAACTCTAGACAGAGATCAGTATGGTATCAATACTGCATTTAGTATGATATTTAAAAACTTAAAAAATTTATTTGAAAATTTTCATAGTTTTTAAGTAGTATAGGAGAAAGCAAGATCTCCTTAAATACATAAGACAAATAATGAAATTATTGTGGAACCAATATATTAAAATTTGTATAGTATTGGAAGTCATTTTTTATTCATTCAGATCAAGTGAATACGGTATTATTTCAATTTATTCTTTTTGTAAATTAGTTCTGCTTCATTAAATTTAATGCAGAATAAATAATAATAATACAAAAAGATAAATTGGGGAAATAATTGTTTAATTATTGAACAATAACTAAAAGTTACATTAACTCAAAACTACATCCTGTAATTATGTACATGGTTTCCCCTTTGCATTGGCATAGAATTCACTTAGTGATAATTTTACAGGATTAAAATAATGTTAAAAAAATTAACAAAGCTTTCCAATCTACAATCAAGTTAAGACTTATATTCAAGCCAATACGTACTGGAGAGCGTTTAAGGATAACTTGAATATATCTATTAATCGATGAAACTTACAATTACAACGAGGAGGATAGTTGAAGTGAGCACAATTAAGGCAAGGAGGACAGGTAAAGGCCAAATGATAAGGTCCTTGTCCCAAGTGGCTGCGACCCCAACCTCGTCTCCTCGCTCCATCGTCCCAACATCATCTGGAAACATTTATTTTACTTTAAATCAAGTGATGTATGTTAGGGTTTCTGTTGTTTTAAAATACTTTGTTGAAAATTAAATAATTTTATAAACAACTAGATTTTGCAAATTTTAAGCAATTTCCAATAGCAAAATCAGATGTGAAATTATTTCCTTATATAAAAGGGAAGAGGTTGCATATTGCCCCAGTACCAGCTGTTACTTATGTGCAACATGTTCCAACAACTAGAAGCCGGTCAATTAAATCCTGACTTTTTTTGTTGTCCTCCCCTTCCTCACTGTTTAGACAATATGGGGATTTCACGGGCCAGGAGATGAATGCTTGAGTTAAAAGGGCCCTCCCTCTCTCTAGCACCAGTACGCCAAAATCGTAATTATTTTAGAAAATTATCCTCCATCAGTTTGCCAGGCAACACAGTTCTATGCACACCCGTTAGACTAATCGGCCATCCCATCCCCTCTTAAAATCAGAATTCTGACATGAAAATACCAACGGTACTGAAGAGCCAGCACGATACAGGAACTCCGCATCTCTAACAGAGCCTATGCTTTATGCCTTCTGTGAGACTGCTTTATTTAAAATAACTGTAGGTATATCAGACTAAAGTTGGTGAACACCACTAACAAAATCAGATGGAGGCACTAAGGTCCTTAGGCTTCTGACATAGATCTGCTTCTCGACATCAGAGATTAGTATCCACAGGCTACTCATTCTAAATAACAGTTTTCATTTTTTTTCTAAAAAATTAAATAAAATTCAAAAAATTGATGAGCTGTATCTATAGTTTTCATAAGGAATAGTTAAATAAACTAGCTACCCTTAAGTTGGAAGCAAATTTTGGGAAACGTCAATTAAGTATTCTCCTGCTTCAAGGATGTTATCCGAATCTCAGAGTAAACTTGCAAGCTAACAAAAGAGAGGAAGTATAAATATTAAATATATATATATATATATATATATATACATATATATATATATATAATGGTGGAGTGAAGCAAAAACGAGTCAAACATATTGCTTAAAAAATCTCTGGATTTTGATGGAACCAATTTAGTTTCTTGATATCTAAAACAAAATGAGTGGAAATTTTGGAATCTGAAGAATTTTTTTCAACCGTGTGAATATAACATTCTGCTACCTTCAGTAGTGAGGAATCAAAATAATGATTAAAAATAAAGCTGTGTCAAAATAGTGATTAAAAATAAAGAAAAGAACACCTTTAACAATAATTTATTCAATAAGTGAAATAAAATTTATTTTTTACTCTGGATCTACTGTAAAAAACAATTAAAAAATCGAAAGATAGATAGATAGAAACATTTATTTGTCTGTAATAAAAAAAATCTAAAGTATTCAATCTTTTTCTAGATGTTTTTTTTCTGCTTCTATTTTCTGAAATTAAAAACATATAGAATATCTACCTACCCTTTACTGTAAGAATGGTGAGATCAATTACTAAAAAGCATATAATATTCGGCATGATGAAGCTGTTTCCAATTTTCTCTCCACTTTTTTTTTTTTTTAAATAGTAATACAGATATTTTGCCTCAAGTTTAAACATATTTTAGACATTAAGCAGGTAGAAAATAACTAGTATTAATCTTTAAATAACTCCTAATTTAAAATTTTTAATTAAAAGTTTTTAAGTTAAAAGAAATATTTTCGATGTTTCTATTATCTTAAATATACAGTAATAACACAGAAAGTGTAGTTCAGTATAGTAAAAGAGTAAATAATGAGGCCCATTTTTTCATTTCTTCTTATTCATAAACAGACCAAAACAATCAACTTCTGTAGATAATGAATGTTTAGATACATCAAAACTAAAGTGATTTCAAACAAATATAATTTTCAAAAATACTAAAAAAAAATCATTAATGTATTGACAGGAGGGAAATTAAAGGTATAAAATGTGTTTTTTGTCACAAATATATATAACTACGATTAGAAATTTTTCTTTTAAGTTATCAAGCTGCAGAATAAAACATCAATATAAAGAAAGGAGATGGTCCGGGGTGGCGGTCATAAATAGACTAAATAGTGGCAAAACTATATTATTAAAAGCTAACATTTCGACCCAACTAAGCAGGTCTTCTTCAGGGCTAGAAATTATAAACAATGTGAATATAATTTTTTGTCTAAAATTATGTAACTTTCACAATTCTTCATCTTGCCCTGAAGAAGACCTGCAATGTCGGGTCGAAATGTTGGCGTTTAATAAAATAGTTTTGCCCACTATTTAGCCTATTTATGACCACCACCCCGGACCATCTCCTTCCTTTACAATGCAACGGTCAACTATTAAATATTAACATAAATCAATATAGTTTTAAACATGACAGCTCGCCAATGATTACCTTTTTGTTAAATAAGATCACTTTGGAACTATAGTATTAAATATCATCAGTCTATTGAAAAAAAATCACTAAGCACATGTTTGACAAAGCTGAACTTTTCATAGACTTTTAGCGGATTTTGACCGTTTTAATAAAATAAAAAAATACAATAAATGCACTAAAATGACACAAACCCTATTATAGATAACACATAGTCACAAACGCACACAATTTTCTGATTTAAAAAGAGAAACTTCATCAAAATTCTTAGTGATCAAGGTTATGAAATGTTATTTATGCCTTTTTGTAGTATCCTGATGATATAGAAAGTAAACATTTTTAAACTAGCTTAATATTTAATTACGAACAACTAAACCGAAAGGTGAAATAGGAAATTTAAATAATTGAATTACCAATAAAATGTGCTATATATCATCCTCAATAATAACAAATCTACTTACTGTGTGGCAGATATTCATTAATTAGCATTTAAAAGAGGAATAATTTAATGAAATATCTTCTAAATGTGATATCGTGATACAACATTGCCTAAATTATTAACACTTTCATAAATCGACTAAAATAAACAACAAAATATAGAGAATATATACACAAAAAGCATGGTTTACCTGTGGTTTGTATAACTTTTCTTGACAACTGACCAAATTTCCAAGTAAAAGTAGGTGAGTCCATGGGCTTATCTAAATGTCTGGGGCCTAGGGTAGGCAGCCCAGAGCCCACGACTTGATTTTTTTGGTCTTCATTGTAAATTACCGCTCCATCACTACCTGAAAAGTAATGTCACTTTAAAAACACAACGGAGGACATGTACACAAAGTTTAAAAGCATGTCGTAATGGAATAAAGCAGAACCAAATCAAATTCCGAACTAAAGGGGAAATGTAGATTCAAAATAAACTCATTCATCCGGTGTACGTCACCTATCCCACCCCCGCGAGGTGAGTCCTATCAGTCAACTCAATTTATTGATCACTTTTAAAGGACGAGAGGTAAACAACACATACACGGTTTAATACTCAACTTTAATTAGGAAACTTTTAAAGGCTGGCAACTTACTTTGCAAGGCTATCACCAGGTACAACCATGAGAAGAAAGCTCGTTTGCTATCTATCACAACAAATGATAAATCCAGATCTTTTCTCCAGCAAGCAGCAGCCATATTGACGGAGGCAATGTGTTGCCAACCTAACCAAATCAAAACAACTAGGCACCATGACCTACCATCTTTTGAAAAAATGTTTTATTTAAAACAAATACACCTCTTCAACAAAATCAAAATAATTTTTACAATTATTAAAAAATATAAGAAACTTTAATTGTACTGATTCTATACTGAAAGATATGTACCAATGTAAACAGTGTTAGTAAGTTACCTTGCCTAATATTTACTTATTAAGAATATTTTACACTTAATTTGTAAAAAAAAACATAAAATATGAGTAAAGTATAGTCTAAAGCCCAATATATTTTTAGAAATTTCAGTACTAGAACTTATTATTACTACCTTCACACAATATCATAAGAAAAACAAATTCTTATCCGTAAATTTCCTTTCTCTCAGGAGAAATGGAATGTTTTTAATTACTGTTTTTAGATAAAAGATGCAAAAATATAGAGAAACTTCAATTTGATATTCAAATAATATTTTAAATAGGTTTTTAATATCTGATATGTAAAGAATTTTCGAATTGCATCAACCAGGAAACTATTTTATTTAATAACAAAAACGTTCAGTTTTATTTAAAATAGAATACCTTGGTATTTTTATAGTTATTAATTGTTCACGATTAATGTTTGTCTTCGTTCGTACGCACATCTATGAACCCAATTTAACTACTCACCACAGGCGGATCCACGGGGGAGCTTTCGGGCTGAAGCCTTCCCCCCTCCCCCCACAAAATGGTAAAATATTACCATGTCTTAAGAAAAAAATATTAAAAATTACTCTAAAAGTATTATTGTTTGTGTAATTATATTTAATAGGACTTCAAGAATAACTTAAACACCATTTTGGTATAGGTAGTTAGTTTCTTTCCTTTTTTTCCAAAGTAATTATTGTAATAATTAAAAAAAAAAATTCTTTCGGGCTGAAGCCCTCCCCAAAATGAAATCCTGGATCCGCTAATGCTACTCACTATAATTAATGTTTGACTATATAACATAGACTAGTGTAACCTCTTTTGTTTCTTATGACTTAAGCTAATGGACTTTCTTGGATCCTAACAACTTTGCAGTAATTTATCCAAGATGTTTCTCCATGCTTCCACAAATATCCTTTTAAATAATTTTCTGTTCGTTATAAGGCGTTACATGGTAATTCTCAAGTTTCTTACATGGTAATTGATTTCAAGGCCAATAGGCACTCATGAGTTCTGTGGCTGTATGTTTAAAGTCGTCCAGTTGAAAGACAAATGTTTTATCCAACCTTCACTTTTTTTACATTTTCCTTTAATGTACAAATAAAGAAATATTGATCCACAATACCATAAAATTACCTCCTCCATATTTGTCGATGGGCTTTTAGATTACCATTTTCATCGACTCATTAGTTTTTCACCACCATTTTTGTCGACCATCGGTACTAAAATTCCGAGACGCTCCCATGTCTCCCACCACTACACTGAGTTAGGGTGGCTCTTCCCCTCCTTAAGAAGACAATATTTCCTAGGCACTTTCCTTTATCAAATCATTACCGATCATCGTCCTTCTTATGCCTACAACCTTCTCCAATTTAAGTCCTCAATCCATTCCCTCACTACAAGATCCCGACCCTCTGACCTATACATCCCTTCTCATAGATCTGCCTCATTCCAAAATTCCTTTATAGCCCGCTCTGTCAACTTTTGGAATTCCCTCCCGATCAAAATTCGACATGCCCCTTCCCTATACACATTCAAAAACCTCCTATTCCAATTCCTGTTCCAAAAACAGTCTGATACCAGCTAACTATTGATATTATATATGTATTGTGTAGCAATCATATAATCATAACACTTGGTAATAGATAGTACATGCATTTCCTACTATCGACGTAGGAATTTCAATACATACATTTTTTTTTATATATTTTTTTTTATTCAATTATAAGTAACTGTTTATTTTTATATATATATTCAAGTAAAGTTTTTTTTTTTTTTTTATGAAATGAACTCATTGTATCTCTTTTTCGTTCTTCATTTCTCAAAGTGTATGTTTATGTTGTTCAACCCTTAAATATAATTTTGTTCATAGTTCAAGTGATTCGTTCATAGTTTTAATTGTTTTGTTCATAATTTTAAATGCTCTGTGCATAGTTTTATCTGTTTGTATATAGCTTGTGCACCTAAGATTTTCTTTACTTTTTATTTTATTTTATCAATTTTATTTATTGTTTCAAACGTTTAGGCCAGCAATATTCTATTATTTTGTACATTATTGTTATTCTGAAGGGACTTAGTCCCAGAATAAAGTTTTTTTTTCTATCTATCTATCTAAAAACATTGAATATCGACTTATTTGAAAATTTGAATCTCAGAAAGAATAAAGCCCAGTTTCAAATATGGAGGAGGTAATATTTAGTACAACTAGTCATGGGCTCCAAAAGTAAAGATGTAGTTCAACAGTACGAATACTTAGGACTAGTTCTCACGCCTACTTTCTCAATGTCCCTGGCAGAAAAACTGTAGAATATATTATTTACGAAAACTCTTGGTATTGGGGCGTTTTCAATCTGGATAGGATCAAACTTTGTCTATTTAATTAGATACTAAACACTCGTAAATACCCACTTGCTTTCTACTTTGATCGTAAGATAATTAGATCATAAAATCGAGAAAAAAAGGTGGCCTACAAAAATATTGGGCCGTTTGTCCTATATAACCTCGTTTTTTTTTTTTTTTTTAATTTGGGGGTTTGGTCACTCCAACCGGCACAATATTTTTGACAGTAAAAAAGTTTTACTGTTTGAACCGCAAATAGGTACCAAGGCTGAATGGCAATTTCACCGATGAACAGTGGGCCGAATATAATGGAAAACCTGCTACATCGGCTAAAAAAGTATTTTTTTATATCTCTAAAAACTAAATAAACTGTTTAATTGATATCTCAGGCAATTTGTGAGAATATTTTTAGTTGACAGAATGAACATTTTATACTGTTTTTTAGCAAATAGTTCAATTGAAAACCTAGTTAATTTGTGGAATATCGCGTGATTTGTAGATTTTGTAAAATTGCTTGGGTCGAGCTGATGGTTGATAATTTTTTCTTGAAACTGTATACACTTTGTATACCCATTTTCATGTTCTACAGGCGGATCTACGGGAGAGGGCTTTCGGGCTGAAGCCCCCCCCCCCTCCCAAAAATGGTAAAATATAATCATGTTTTACAGAAAAAAATATTAAAAACTATCTCTGAAAGTATTATTGTTTTTGTAAGTAAATTTAATAGGGCTTCAAGAACCACTTAAACACCATTTCATGTAGGTAGTTAATTTCTTTCTTTTTTTAAAAATAATTATCGTTATATGCATATGAAAAAAAAAATCTTTCGGGCTGAAGCCCCCCCCCCTCCAAAATTAAATCCTGGATCCACTAGTGTCATGTACAAAATTCGTTTTGATCAGTACAAAAATTCTGAACAATTCATTTTTAGCGAACAACAAATTTAAGAGCTCTTATAACACAATGACAAGAAGCAATATGATCCAAAATATTTGATACTTTGGTTTCTTGTCAAAAATAATTTACAATCTTGGTGAAAAATCAATTTTGAAATTGGACAAAATTCGTCTGATCTGGAGCTCCTCCACTGTCCAAGATGGGACAACTTAAAAACTACAAAGGTAAAAGTTAATTAACTACTTTGAAAATTGGAGGGAAAGTAATTTTTTAAAATATTTCCTAGGGGCGTCGCGTCACTTTTGAAAGAGAAATAAAAAGTTAATAATTCATAGTACATATATGCATACATATACAGATCTGCCTCATTTCAAAACTCCTTTATTGCTTGCGCTGTCAATTTCTGAAATTCCCTTATCAAAATTCGGTATTCCCCCTCCATATCCACATTCAAAAACCTTCCTATTCCAATTTCTATCTCCAAAAACAGTCAGATGCTTGCTAAACTTTTGATAGTATACATTTTTATTATATCATTCATCATCAAATGACAGTACTATTCCATACTGTAAACTTCACTAGGGATTTTAGAATATCGTCCTACTCTCAATGCCACTGAATGCATCTATTGTTTGTTTTTTTATTATTTTTATTCTTATACAAATAAATTTGTATCTATAGTTACAATAAGATAATGATGTGTTTAGATATTATTCATTATTTAAATACTCTGACATTTTATATTGTCAGATTTGTCTTTCCTTTGCTAGCAGAAACACACCTCATTTTAAAGAAGAACTCAATGTATTTTTTATTATTTTATTTTTCAAAAGTGTATAATTATAATTTTTCCTACTGTACATAGTTTTAAGTGTCTTTTTTTTTGTATATAGATTTTTTTTTGTATATTGCTTGTTTAACTAATGATTTCTTTACTTTCTCTTTTTTTTATTATTGTTTTATTTTGACCAGATGTAGTCTTTTAATTAGGTACTTTTTTGTTATTTTAAAGGGACTTTGTCCCGGAATAAAGTTATTTTCTATTTATTATTTTTTTTTCTTATAGGTTCAATCAAAAGTTCATTCATTCAAAAGCAACTGGATACTAGCCTAGTATATCAATTTCAATTCTTCAATAACATTCGTTAGTGGGGTAGTATTACCGCCATATGATCTCACAAGAGATCCGTTCCTTCCTAGCTAACTATAGTATTTCATTTAGTATTAAATTTAAATGACTAGCAATATACAGGATGTCCCGTAAGAAGAGAGAAATTTTTATAGGAGCGATAGAAACAAAAAAGGTCATATAAACAATGGGCCAATTTTCAGTAGAAAAGTAGAAAATCAGAGTTTTGTATTTTTTTTAGTAAGTCATGTTTTTTCTTGAATATGAAGCGATAACTAAATAAATATTTAATTTAAGTAATTAACAATTTCTTTCACTGTAAACTAGAAAAAAATTTACTTCAAATGAAAGTAAAGTTTGTCATTGTTAAAACCATTTAAAGAGGACTTTTGAGCACCTACACTAAGCTAAATCCTATTTTAAAAAAAAAATCAT